TAATAGGTTACTATTACTGTTTTTACTTATGCTACTCTAGGCTAATATAACTATATTAGATATTATTTAGAAAGCTATTATATATTTTAATAAGCCTATTAAATATTACTAACTTATATTATACCTTTTTAACTTCTTTATTTATTTAAATATAAAACTTATTATTATTAATAATAGTAATAAGGTATAAGGTAATTTATTAATAGTCTTTAGGTATAAAGATACTTTAATTAAGAAGGAAGTTATAAAAAATTAATAGTAGTGTTTTACTAGTAGCACTAAAGAGGGCTTTATCTTATCTATTAAAGTAATATTAAAAGTCCCTTTAAAGCTTATAACCTATAAGGGTACACTTAGCCTATTTAGCTATATAATAAGTAAAGTAAGAGTAAATAGTAAAAAGGTCTTACTTATTAAAAAGGATTTCTTAGCTATACTTCTTATAGTTAATATATCTTACTATAAAGGTAGGTACCTTAGGGTATAAGGTACTACTAGATTAACTTATTATAAGGTTAGTTATTAAAGTTAATTAGTAGTAATTACTATATAACTTTTATAGTAGTAATTAAGTAGTAAGTTTTTTCTTAATATAACTTACACTTATAAGTCTAAATAGTGCTAAGTTAGTTTTATATATATAAGGTAAATAAAAATAGATTTCTAAAGGGGTAAATATAAAGATAAAGAAAAAAGTTAAATATAGTAATAATTATTATTACTTAAGTGTCTCTTCTTAATAGCACTATAGTTAGCATAGAAGAGGTTCTTGCTTATTAAAGGGGTTCTAATAGTATAATAGACACTATAGTGTTTCTTATAGAGGTAAAGTAGCCTTAATAATACTTAACTTAGTTAGTAGTCTACTAGGTTATAGTAGGCTAAGTAAACTCTTATAATAGTAAGCCTTATTAATTACTAGTTATTAGTAATAATTAACTATTAATTAATATTAGTTTTTACTAGTTAATTAATAGGATCCTATATCTTATAATATTATAAAGGTTAAGAAAAGGTAGTTAAATTTATAGTTATTAATAGTTAACTAGTTAACAAGGTAAAGTAGGAGCACAAGTGTAGTAGCACCCTTGCGTATAGGCAAAGGTGGGGGATTCTGCCAGTAGGCGGTGTGTCACGTGACCCACCGCCTCCGGCCGCATCACCCATATGCCAACAGTTTTCATTGGATCATGCTGCTTGGGACCTTTGGAATGGCCTGCTGCTTGGCTTTGGGCTGGATGGTTAAACATGCGACGTCCTGGTTGTGAGTCGAATGGTTTGATGTCACCTCTATCCACTCTACACTGCTATCTCCATGATTGACACAAGGTTGTAATCCACATCGGGAAGGTCGTCAAGTCGATATCTAAACCAAAGTTCCAAACCCAAGTTCCAAGCCCGAGTTCCAAACGTATGCAGGTATGAGGCAGAACTCGGCCTGCACCGAACCAATACTTGGCTGAGCTGGAACCGCCTACTTGAACATGCTGATGACAAACTTCAGTAAGACCTGAAGGCATCTTCAAGACAATGAAAGTAGCCGTAGTCAGCTATAAAATCCGTCGTTGTTCGCAGAAGAAAAGGGGAGGGGGGAAAGTCTCTCACCATCTTCGAAGAACTCTCGTGGTCTACTACCTCATTGCCTCATTCACCTCCAAGCCGCTCCCTTCAAAATGAAGCTCCTCCTCTCCATTCTCAGTCTGTATGTGGCCTTCAGCACGGCTGACTACCTGGCCGCCCGATCGCTGGACAATGGCAACAACATCGAGCTCGGAGATCTCCAGAGCCTTGACGAGCTGTACGCCGTTCTCGGCCCCGGGTACATGGAGAACTCTGTCTACGAAGACGTGACCGAGTATGAAACCCTGGCTACGATCGTCGAGGACCTGGGCGTTCCAACGACACCGGTGGCGGGCAGGGGTCTCGCCACCCGTCAAAACGAAGACGTGTGCTCCGATCTGACGGGCATCACGCGCATGGTTTGCGACAATGTGCCCTCCCGCTGGTGGTTCTGGGGAGCCGGGGGTGTTTTGCTCATTTGGTACTCCCCCGAGGGTATAAGGTCGTGGCTGGTGGTAAGCTCCCATATCTTGGAGGCTTGAGGCATGTAGATGTGTTCGAGGGCATCTGGCCAACATGTGGCGGCTTTTGCTTTTCTTTACAACAGTCCATCTCCGAAGCGATCAAAGCAGGAAGAGACCTCCGTAACACCTGGCGAGACGGTACTGAACTCAAACGCGCCGAGGACGCTGTCGACTACCACTTTTCTCTTCCCTACATCCTCAACGAGAATGCCGAGCCCGATGCGACCCCCCAATTAAAGGCGGCCTCTCTCGGTGAAGGCGAGGAAACCGAGAGTCTTCACGACTATGTATTCAGCGAACGTGAAAACACCATCTGTAAGCCTCGAATCTTCTTACCAAGTTCGTTCATTTCTCCAGAGGATACCTTGCTTACTAACACGGGACGATACAGATTACAAGGCAACCAGAACCTTCTTCACAGCACCCAACATCGACACGACGCTGGAATCATCCCTAGATTTTTCCAACTTGACGACCGAAGAAGCTGTCGAGAAGCGTCAGACAGACTCCTGCACGATCAACCTTCATATCGTGCGGCGCACGACCGCGACGACAACCGCGAACCCCGGGTGCCTTGCAAATATGCTCAAGTTCCACATCGACAGGAGCAGCGAGACCAACCGCTTCGCCTGCCGGCCTATCGACAACAAGGGTTCGTGGCACGCCACCTTTTGGCTTATGATCAACAAGGGCTACAGGAACACCGGAACCTACGGCTGGTGCTGTTGAGCGCCTAATACCGGCGACCCTCATCCCTGTGTGGAACATCTGATTCGTCATGATAATCAGAGGACGAGTGCAGAGCAGGGCCCCTTAAATTCCATGTTAATGAGGGTCCGCTCGCTATCAGTTGCGCGGCGTGCCACTTATTGTTCTGACACATTCTCTATTACGCCCCTCGGCATTCTCTAGGTAAATCTAGCCAAACTAATGAGGCAATGTATTTACCTCGTGACTACTGCAGAGGCTGAGCTGGAACCATACGGCTCGCAATATCCTTGACAACATATATCTGCCCGTATAGATCAACAGTATCCATGAATGTACGCAAGACAGCCATCCTTCGCTCCTTGATTCTTCGGACCGAAAAGTTCGGCTCTAGAGCGGGCGCTGCCTCCAACCGCGCGAGCGCCGTCTGCCAGCAGCTCCTCTCGTACTCGGCCAACTTGAAAAGTGCATCCTTGGGCGGCGAGCCGCCCTGCGTCCGAGCGAACTCGGGGAAGTGCAGCGAGTTGACGTTCTTCTCCAGGCCGTCGCGCACCGCTGATCCGTGATCATTGTACATGCGGCACATGGTCGCCAGGTGAAGGCACATGTCTGCGGCGTAGTACTTCTCCTCGGCCGTGGTGAAGTAATCGGACGGCCCGTCCTGCGACCTGCTCATGTTCCCTACCGCGTACGGCACCACGCACAGTGCCCACGCATAAGTAAACGGGCACGCGACGTGACGTGCCGCCGTTTCCTTGACCCATTGGAAAAAGGAAGTTTGTGGAGACAGGTATCGCTGTTGCTGGTCCTGGGCGCCGAACCGCTGGTTGTGCTTGATCTGGTCCACCTGGGCCAGGAAGTACAGCCGGAACTCGCGACGCAGGTTCTCCTTGTCCTCCAAGCTCGCCGCCACGACTGAGGGGTGCTCCATCACGTGTTTGACGAATCGACGCATGCACTCTCGGGCATCGACGTACTCTGCGGTCTCTCCATCCGTGGCGGATACGTTTGTGTCAATGGGCTTGGTTACCCCGTTTTCCGTCCCATTCACTGCCTTGATACCGTTGACGTCCCGTGGCACTCTGAAAAGATCTTCGATAATCTCGACGAGCTTCGGCAAGTTATCGGAGAACCAGGATCCAGCTACGGCCTCCATGAACTCGTCAGCCTGATAGTCGAGGATGGCGATCCTCATCATGTCATATAAGAAAGCAGGCGATGAGAAGGCAGCTCTTCGGTTAGTGCAGCCAGTCCATGTAAAAGGCACGATCTCAAAGTATTTGTCCTCCTCCATGTCCCTCCGGGGAAATATCTCCAGGTGACGTGTCCTGAGCAGGGGCAAGAAGAGACTGCCTTCGATGAGTGATGCGCGGATCAGCCATGCAGGTGTGGATGAGAACATGGGCGTCTTGTTGTACATTTGGTGGTACCCCGAGATCTTTCGTTCTGTGATGTCCAATGGAATGCCGCGTCCAACGATTTTAGGCGAGGTAATCGCTGCTTTTAGAGCAGCTAGTCTGTATGACTTGGTCAGGAGAAGGGACGAATACGTGACCTTTTCGATCCAGAGAAGGTCCGGTGCGATGACTGCGTCTTGAAGAAAGTAAGTTGCTCTCTTAATTGAGTCCGAAATGTCTGACTGTATGAATTCAAAGTGTCGTAGCCTGCGCGATTCTGATAGGATCAAGACAGCGTACGAAGTTTGTTCGACCGACTGGCTCCAGGATCCGTCCTCTTTCTGCTCAGTCATGGTCCGTAAGCCTGCCTGAAAAACGGCAATGGCAACCTTGGACCTCAACTCTTCGGCGAGGAAATCCGAAGGCAAGCGCCCTTCATCAATGATCGCTAGCAGTCTGATAAACGCCTCGGTCATAAGCATTGTAGGATATAAGTGACACAAATTCTGACTGGGTTAGCGAACAGGAACATGAATGTTGGAAAAACGACTCACCCATTTGTCTTTGATAGGACCATCGGTATTCCACCAGGTCTCGGACAGGAATCGGACCACCTTCAGGATCTGGGCCGAGAAACTCGACAGGTCTGCTTGGCACAACAGAGCAAGAAGAGCGTTGCAGTTGGCGCTGAAGCTTGGATCCCTCTCTTTGGGATATGTCTGGAAGTGGGTTTCGCATTCAAAGGCCTTGATCATGCCGTCTATTGGGGTGCTGTAACCAAGCGAACCTAGGCAAATCAAGGCTTTGGCTGTGTCGTCGACGTCGGCCTCGATACCAGGCGCTGCACGTCTGTTAGCATCAATAATACGTGATCAGCAGTGTCCAAGATGTTTTCAACTCACAGAAGCCTATGGTTCCACTCTCCTTTAAGGATCGGTATATTATGGAGGCCATTTTCTCCAGCTCGGGGGACTTCAAATCATCTGCTGTGAACCCGGCCTGGATTAGGGTGGAGAGTATCTGCACATTGTTTTAGCAAGCTAATCCAACCTGGCCACCCCGACGCCTAGGATTTCTTACCCACGTGTACTCAAAGTTGGTGGAAGGGAAAGCACTTGGAACACCGCCGCGACCGTTGCCGGGTCCCCGAGCCACAACATTTCTGAGATATTGTTCTGCTTCATCGTCCCACGCTGACAGATTCATCAGAAAAGCCGCGGTTGCAGATGGCGACGACATTATGGCACCGTGATATCTGTGATGCGTGACCTTGTCAAAGTCAATGAGGCCGACAAATGACTCGAGCGAATGGAGCGCTGTCAACTGCGTCTTGCCGTATAGAAACTCGGGTTTGAACCGTGACATTTTGGCAGCATGGACGGCCATCAACTCATCTTCCCCGCGCCATTGACCTATTTCCACCCCTGCCTCCTTTAACAACCGGAGCAACGACGGTAGGATAATCTCATAGCCCACGTGTAGAGTTAGAGATACATCCCAAGCATCCAACTGATGTTTCAGGGACGCTGTGGCGAGTTCAATACGTCCCACCAAGTCTTCTCCAGAAATGGCGATTTGGAGTGGCTCCGCGGCATGTCGTACAAGACTGAGGAGACCGGCCGCTGTGTTGAGTATGCCATCAATCTGAGACGCTGCGGAACTCCAGCTTCCGTCGGTATTTTGCTCTTCCATGAGGACTCGAAAACTCTCCGGGAAGAGCCATATTCTTGCTCCGGTATCTGGCTTGGTGACCATGGACACCCAGGCGGTGTCATAAATGGCACAACTCATTGCCCCGGCCCCATAAAACTCGTCGAAGCTTTTCAACGCATCTTTGAGTAACAGTACTGCTTCATGGTTGAGCAGGCTACTGTTCGGTATCTTGAGTTGCATTATGATCTTCGTCGAATCTAGAAATAGGGTTAGGGTTCGATCGCAGTAACACGCTCCAGTCGGCCACTGTTGGTATATGTTTGATGGTGAAACAGAAAAAAGTTATCTGGCTGTGGGAGTATTATTATGTCACCAGTAGTGTCAAGATATTCCATCGTAATAATAAAGACCCGAATACATGAAGCAAAAGCACAGTCGGGTGCCGAGTCGAGTCTTCCGGGCTAGCTGATTCGGGAACTGCGAGTTCATGTGTTTTAGTTTCCTCGGAGGAACATAAGGAGCAGTCCGATATGTCTGTGCACGTGTCAACTTGGCCTGGCCATGACTTAGGTATCATTGACAACTATTCGCTCCCTGTCGCATACACTTGTGGATAAGACTCTACAGTAATTGTCTATATACCTGTTCTCAAACGCTTGGTTGGGTAGGTTATAACAAATTCACTTGGACGTCCGATTTCAATCGTTAACCCCGCATATTGAAGAACAATCCTTTCTACCTGAATATCTGCTTCCAGAAAAGCGCCACTGAACACAGACTTCTTAGGTGATACAATGTCTTTACCGATCACGCTTGACCTTGGTCTCGTGCCATATCTGTCGACTGCACTCCTCGCTCTGGTCGTATGGTTTTCACTTGAAAGACCCAAAACCGCCAACTTCCCTTTAATAAACAAGAAGAGGGAACCATTCGACACTGCTGGCATCGACTTGGTGCGAAACTGGTTGGCCAAGAATGGGGATCAGCCAGTCAACGTGACGGCCGATACCGGGCCTTTCACCATTCTCCCGCCAAAGTATGGCCAGGAGCTCCGCGATAAGCCTGAGCTGAACTTCGCCACCCTCAACTACATTGTACTGTTTCTCCCTCATTCCTGTCCAGCGACGTTGTAACTGAATGTGTGTCATGGCAGAAATTCCATGGGGGCATACCTGGTTTCGATGCCTTTCTGCAAGGGACCAAGCCAATCAGTGCCAAAGTCGTCAGCACTTACATGACGCGTAGCCTGGGTAAGCATCAGTCTAAACCTCAATTCCGAGATTGATATTTTTGACTCTCAATTTAGCAACCATTACGCAACCAGTAGCCGAGGAAGTCATCGTCGCTTTAGAAGATCTATACCCGGATAGCAAAGGTAAGATCAAATCAGTTCTGGGGTTTATACGAGACTCACACCAAACGACAGACTGGCAGGAGATCGCGCCCGGAGAGCTCAACATGCTGCTCACTACGCGCGCCACCGCCCGCATCTTTCTTGGCGAAGGGGCCTGCCGGGACATGAACTGGGTGAAAACCAGCTGCGAATACACAGGAGCCATCTTCTTTGCCGCCGATAAGCTTCGTGCGTGGCCCGCAATTCTCCGACCGATCGTGCACTGGTTCCTTCCGTCCTGTATATACACACGCTCCGTGCTGAAAAGGGCCAAGAACATCATAGAGCCTGTACTCGACAAGCGGCGTCAATCCATACAGCAGCTTGTTGCCCAGGGCAAGCCGACAGCAGATTTCAACGCCGCCCCGGAATGGTTCGAGCAAGCTTCTAATGGCGGTGAGCTTGAGTTTGATCCGGTTGCAGCACAGCTGTTTTTGGTATGTGCTGGCATGGGCCGCTATCCCTTGTTGCCAAGTTGAAAGTGAGGTCCAGGTTCCGCCTGAGGCTTTTCCTATTCAGTGGGGTATATATGTTACGGATATAATTCACGACTGACTCCCAATTCTTCAATAGGCTGTTGGAGCAAACCATTCCACGGCAGATCTCCTGACACAGACCATGCTGCAGCTTGCGCTCCACCCCGAATATATCGAGCCTCTTTGCGAGGAGATCAGGGCGACTATCCCCCGCTACGGATGGACGCACAACGCACTATTGAAGTTGGAACTGATGGATAGCGTTCTGAAGGAAAGTCACCGACTGAAACCTACAGATCTTTGTAAGTGTCCACGGGGATATCTCTTGGCATTGCGCTCACTGCTGCAGTTACGATGCGCCGCCTTGTGACGAAAGACATGACGTTGTCGGACGGGACCTTCTTTCCCAAGTCTAGTATGCTGTCGGTTTCCGCCTTGAGGATGTGGGATTCTGCGGTTTTCGATAACGCCGAAAAGTTCGACGGCTACCGGTGGTTGCGCATTCGCCAGAATGACCCAACGAAACAGAACTATGCGCAGTTGGTGGGGGTGAGCGTGGATCATATGGGTTTCGGCTACGGCCAGCATGCTTGCCCCGGGAGGTTCTTCGCGTCCAACGTGATCAAGGCCATGCTGTCGCATTTACTGCTCAAGTATGAATGGAAATTAGCTGATCCATCACGCCCGATCAAACACCAAGAATGGGGCGGTACACTTCGGGTGGACCCACAACTTCGTCTGTTGGTGCGTAAAAGGGCTAAACCTGTAAACATCTAAGAAAGGAATGCATAGGAAAGAAGATAGAAGGTAGAGTTAGAGGCTATAGCCTGTAGGGGTTATAGTTTCCCTCTCTAGGAACAAGTCTCTGAAGAAGGGTTAGCTATGTATGAAATACACAGACCAATGCCTTTTTTTTCTTGTGCTATTTGTTTATCGCTTACTTGTTGTGTCATGACGCGCGCGTTGCCTGCTAATACTCTTTACGATCTTATTATTGCGTCTCTTCACAGGGCTCTCGTGTTGTTGCCCTTCAACTCACCACTGCCCGCTCGCCCTGTCAGGTCTAGAACGAGTGCCAGGAGGATTGTGTCACTGGCTCTAACTTAGGAAAATCCAATGACACATGCATTTTACCCCAGAGGCTACATACTTTGCGCGGCAACAGGGCAATGCAGAAAGACCATACATGTTTCTACACATCACACCAATCAAACTTAAGAGGGCTGGCTTACTAGAATATGAAGCATGCTTAACATTCAAGGAGCTCCGACTTCTTTTGTCACATTTGACACAAACAGCCTACGTTTTAGATAGTAAGACCAAAAATACTCAGGAGTATTGGGCTGGGGTGAGGTGGGTCTCCTAGCCGGCCCAGCTCAGTCAAGCCGTCCGAGTCAAGTCTTCACTCGGAAGCCCCTTTACGGTAACCGAGACAATCCCTGGCTAGCTATTGAGTTGATGCCCGGAATCTCTTTTTTCTCGACTAGATAACCGGAAAATGCGGGCCTCTTCGCATGGTAATTAGAGTACGCACGAAATGGCCATACTTGTGCAACTGCATCAAGCCCTGCCATAAAGCTTTATTCCGTCTGTCATCACAAATAACGTGTGACCACACCTTGAGTTTACAAACACATCTACAGAGGAATCCATCCAGTAGACAATGCCGTCAGCCTATCATGTCGTCGCAGCAGCGGCAGCCACTGTACGTTATACTGTTGAATTCCCTCATCTACAATTGCTAAAGTGTGTGCAACTAGTATCTATTATTTTTCATTGCAAGGAGCATTTATCTGCTGTACTTTCATCCGCTGTCCAAGTATCCTGGACCAAAAGTTGCTGCCGTATCCTATGTAAGTAAAATGACACTGCGTATTTTTGAAGCGACTCTGAAAGCCAACTTGATTTGAAGGTTTGGCGCGCGTGGTCTTGGGCAAGCGGCCAATGGCCATTGGTCGTCACAGAACTTCATGATAAGTATGGTCAGTTCATTGTACCTCGTCATCCGAATGGATGCAACCAGGGCGGGTAGTACTTATGCTGACGCTACTCCAAGGACCTGTGGTGCGGGTGGCACCGGAAGAGCTTTTGTTCTTCAATGTTGAAGCGTACAAAGACATATACGGTCATGCGTATCAGGGGAAGAAGACGTTTGTCAAAACGGATTTCTTCAATGCAGGCGAGGAGGAGGGAATTGCGACAGTCAAAGACCCTGCAGAGCATGCAAGGCAGCGAAAGATGTTGTCCCGCGGGTTTAGCCAGCAATCGCTCCGTGAACAAGAACAGTGGGTAAACCAGTATGTTGATACTTTATTGGAGCAACTTGGAAAGTTGGGCCATCCGTCAGGACCGGGAGTCGACCTGGTCGAAGCTTTCGTCTGGCTCACGTTTGACGTTATATGTATGTTTGACGACGCCATTTGTGCACCATCCCATTGCAGGCTGACACAGTGTTTTTACAGCCGATCTTGCGTTCGGCAAGCCATTCAATGCCGTTGCCAGCGGCAAGACACATTTTTGGATTTCTCTCATCTTCGAGGCCGCTTACGCAAGCCAGCTGGCGTCTATGCGTCGGCAGCTCCCGGTCTTGAACTTGATTTTGCCCTTTGTGCTCCCCAGAGGCTTCCTCGCAAAGTTTAGACAGCATAACGAGCTGAGTCGCGAGATGGCTTCCAACCGCGTGAAGCAAGGCGATACAGGCCGGGCGGACTTCTTCTCGCATCTGCTCCGCCACACCGATGAGGCAGGCATATCTGAGCCAGAGTTGCAGAGCCAGGCGAGCATCTTGATCGTGGCCGGTTCCGAAACCACGGCCTCCTTTCTCGCTGCCACCAGCTACCTCTTGTTGAAGAACCCCGACACTCTAGCCCATCTAAAGGATGAAGTGCGGTCAACTTTTCCCTCTCTGGACGACATCAGTGCAGATGCGCTAGCGGCGCTGCCCTATCTGAACGGTGTTATCGAAGAGAGTCTACGGATGGCACCACCCGCGGCTTTTGGTCTCCCGCGCTTTTCTCCAGGCGCTGTTGTTGATGGGCATTACGTGCCTGAAGGCGTCACCGTGAGCGCCGAGCCTTTCCCGATAGCACGCGACCCCCGTTACTGGAAGGAGCCCGATTGTTTCAAGCCTGAACGCTGGGTTGGAGATGGCTTTGGGGATGTGAAGGAGGCATCGCGGCCGTTCTCGCTGGGGCCGCGCGCATGCTTGGGTATTAACCTAGCGTATATGGAAATGCGGCTCGTTCTCGCTAAAATGTGCTGGAAATATGATTGGGAGCTGGTAGACAAGGATATGGACTGGTTTGGAAGATCTCGTCTGCACGTATTCTGGAAGAGACCTGCGCTCAATGTAACATTTAAACCCAGAACATAGTAAGTAGATTATTAGATAATTTATCCCATTGAGTGCGAAGTGACCTCACATAACCCAGAATTGGGTCTCTGCAAATGATTAGTGACAGCTATTGGATAGTTGGCCTGGATTGCTGTAGTCTTATTGGTCTGAGGTTGTGCGAGGTCACTTCTCACTCATAATATTTGTGTACCTATGATAATAACGCTTACTTTTGACATGTTTATGGATATTTTCTAGCACTGAATGTTCTTTATCTAGTATAGTTCTGTACACTATTTCTGTACCTAGTGTAGTTCTGTATTGCTGCAGGTATTATGACCAACCCCCTGCTATGTTTGTGGAGACAAACCTGTGTCTCTTACGTATGCTCTCATTCATGATCTCGCAGTCGGGCCAATGCTGCGCAACAGTGATCTGTCTTATCTTGGTTAAGAGGGAACCGAGTCGTTTGACTCTCGAGTTCAGCAGACCCTGTACTATATGCAGCTCATCGTCGTCGAGATCCCACTGGCGTAACAATTGTGAACGTGATCCGTGCTGCTCGCCACTCCCCGTCAGGCCTCCCACCCTTCCATCTCGGATGCTAGTGTTTCTGCCTAGTCTCCCCTCTAATCGAATGTCATCTTCCGGCTGAGCATCACTGGTTAACTGCAGGTGTATATTCTCGATGCTAGCCATTATCATATGGCACATCCTTATCACCAAGATGACCCGTTCAGACCGGGAGGCACAAGAGCCGCAGTTAAGTAATGTCTCGCAGCTGGCCATGGTGCCTTTCTGGCACCGCCATATTCCATCGGTGAAGATATTCACTGGAGGTGATTTCCTCTCGTCCCGGCTGGTAAACAGCGTGACGCTAAGCTTCTCATTTTGGAGCAACAACAGATTAATACAGTCGCAAGAGCTGGTCGTAGGTTCCGACAGCAACGTTGATGGTGTGCTACAATCGGATGTACTTCTGGCCGCCCTACTGCTTGTGGATTGAACTGTGGAAGATGATCCACTAGACGTCGAAAAGTCAGTCGTGCAGGTGTTGGCGTAGCCCAGATCTGTGTCGTCATAGGTAAGCGTGTGTTTCGGACTGAAATTGACACTAACATACTATCTATGGCAACAATATCCGTGCTGTCAAAGGCAACGGGGTCTGGCCATTGCACTTCGTCAAAATCAGCCGTGTAGTTCCAAACATCATCTTCACCCCACATCATTTCGACCTCTGACGGTCTTTCGGCCGTAGCTGGTGTCAATGTTGAAAGATATGTTGTGTCGCTCGGAGTAGGTAGGGCGGCTGAAGAAGACTGTCGACTGTGGGAGGCCGAGATAGCCCTTGCGCTAAGGTACGTGCATTCGATATTCCTGGCTAAACATCGTTGGCAGCCATCTGGCTCTCCTGAACATTTCAGCTGTGAGCTGTTAGCGTCTTCAACGCGGATGCGAAATTCGAGTTGGCTAGGTATACCTTTTTCTCCCGGCAGTAGCCGCATGCCACACGCGCGAGTATTTTTTGTCGCTTGTTGAAGGGTGGCTCGGAGGGTTCAACAATATATCCGCTTGCTCCACTGGGACACTTGAGTGTACTGAACATTTCGACTTTACAAGAGCCACCGGGAATTGATCAGTGCGCATCCACGATAGTTTCGCAACCTTGAGACGACGGGAATGAGGAAAGACAAGAGGGTACATGGTTTCTAAGAAGAAGTATATATGCCGTATATGGAACTCGGTTCCCGTGGGCCCCGACTAAACGGACTAAACCGGCAGTTACAAATACAAGGCATGACTGGGAACAAAATATTTGTACATAGTATGTGCGGTAAACCTTAAAGGAAGATCAACAAGTTGTAATGCGACGTCTACGTTGTAAACCCCTCGGCTTTAACCCACCCAGATGGGACACTGATGTGACTTACGCGATAGTTAGACGAGTCAGCTTGGGTGGACTGGTCATAATAAGTGTTTGGATGGGCGTGCGCATCAAACCTTGTGCGACTAACTTTGAGTCGGCAAAGAACTAACCCCGAGTACCCGTGCTTATACTATGTAGGGAAAAAAACAAGGCGATACCTCGTGAGATGGCCAGGTACACGATAATGATCACGGCCTGTAAAAGAATAAAAATTGAAACCCAGTGTAAGATGCTATCCCTAGTGTACAGCACAATATAATGTTCAACAGCATAGAGCTATCCGGGTATTGACGCTATTAACCAGCCAAACCATAGAGTTTATAGGTAACCCTGTAGAAAGAGGCACTATCCCTTTGAGTGCGAGCGGACCTCACTACGTACTCACCCCTTTTGCGGGGTAGAGCCAATGCGTTTACAGCATTAAGTCCGACAAGCCAATATTTTTACAGTACTTCTATTTATATAGCCGTTTAGCCATACTAAAGGTAGTACATTCTGCTCTAAGTAGCTTTGCTAGCAATATCAAAATTAATAGTGGTGTGGTGCGTGGGAGAAGAGCATTCTTACTTAGTAAACAGTGTATCCGTATCGTTATCCGTATGTATCTCCGAAAATGAGGGGTAAACATGGCGCTCGGACCTAGAGGTTAGCGAGGTCTGCTCGCACTCAAAGGATAAACCCCTGACGTTGGCTCTGACTGCTGATCCATCAATCATCACACCATCTTTCCATCTAGTGTATTATCAAAATGCTTAGCCTTTGTTCTAATGCATAATTGCAGCCCTAATGAGAACGACATCAACATCAATAAGCCAAGACGCTTTATTTAAAGCCAGTCTCAGCTATACATCTATCTACTTTAACTCTTGCAGCTTAATTGGCTGCTTGGCTTTCTATTAGCGACGACAACGCTGGGTCTCAAACTCTGGTATCCATACTTTGCTGTTTGACCAGCACTCTCGCAATGTGTCGACCGGTTCCTGGTTTGATTCAGTAAATCCCCGAAATACTGGGACAATGAAAACACTATTATCATTGTACCAGGGGAGTAGGAAGGATATCCCTTATCCGAAGCGCATCCTACTTCCGTTTTAGGTTGGCGTTTGCCCAGCCGGCCGGATGAGCGTTCCGTCCCATTGCCAACGACCAGTGTATCCCATTGAGTGGGAAGTGACCTCGCACAACCTCAGACCAATAAGACTACAGCAATCCAGACCAGCTATCCAATAGCTGTCGCTAATCATCTGCCGAGACCCACATTTTGGTTATGTGAGGTCACTTCGCACTCAATGAGATAGAAGTACTGCCGTTACAGCCGGCCTGCCGGCCGTCGCATACGTAAAAAACAACAACTTATTCGACACTGGCCCAATGGACCTCACAACCTTAAAATGAAGGATATAGCCAGTTGGAAGCAATCCAAGCAAGCGTTTGATGCAGTTCACCAATCGTTAGCTGGATCGGGGTTTCTTTTGCTCCGATAAGCCAAGGAGTTGACAAACTATCTCTATTTTCTTAAAAGTGTTTTGGTTTCTAAGAGCGATTCCTGCGTTCCTGGTCCTAGTAAACCCTTCCACTAGCTGCTACTAACATTGATGTTGCTGGAACAGGCAAAACCCTTCTGGGCAATCGAGTTTCAGAATTTGTGCCGATGAGGCCGACAAACCACCCATGACAAACAACACTTGCCCGCTCAGACATTAAGAGCTTCCAGAAGCATTCTTAATCTGTCGTTCGTTCTACCTGTACTCTGCTCCACCACTTCCACTTCGGCGATTATCGCTATCCTTATATTCCTTAATAACACGGCAGTGTGCTGCAGGGATCCGGTCTCTCGAAATATTTCAAGGAACAGTTCCTTTTGGCCGGGACCCGCGCGTCCCGCCACTTTCCGCTGTTGCAGCAACCCTTGGAGAATGTTTAGAGTTTTCGGCTGTGCATTGCGCAACGCATGGATCATGATATAGCTATATTTACCCTCGTCCAAGTCCTCGCAAGTCCCCTTGGAGTCGTTGTACTTGTGGAGAACATAATCAGCTCAGGATCTCTCCAAATGACTCGGACAAAACATCTTACCTGGTCTGACACGAGATTCATGTAATCGTCGCGGATCTGGAAATATCGCCCAAGCAGCGTCATGAGTTTTCTCAAATCAGGAACTTGCCGCGGATCCCTTTTGCTAGCAACCAGCAGTCTGGCGATTAATCGGAAGAGGGCACCGGTTTCTAACTTGCCGCGTCAGCCCCGCCTCGGTTGCACTTCGAGCTCACGGTGAATTGACTTACTTCCATCGACCATCTGAAGGTACTCTTCAACCGTAGGTGGACACATTCCATAAGTCCAAAAAAGATCAAGGCCTTGGCCAGCCACCAGGCTCTTCATCTCATCTGTCAGAACCATGATCAGTCTAAGGCCAGGGGAAGTAAACCAGGCATGATGGCATATTACCGATCACCACCTCCAGGAGCTCGGGATTCTCAAGCTTTGAGGCGCGTCCGATAACGTCAATGACCATGTAAGTGGCCGAATTGACCGTCTGCGGTATGCCAAAAACGTTGTGGGTCGATGGTGCAGAGCGCCGGAGCGGAGAGTTATCTTCCACGTCATCCAGCCTCAGTTCTAGTTAGCCATCTGACGTCAGAATGCAAAGTTCCAGATTCTTACATTAGTGACATGTTGTGTATATCAGACACAAGTGAGATGACCACCTCCAGGCTCTCAGGAGTCGTGTTCACCCAGTCGTTCAGAGCCAAGGTGGCATGTTCACGCACGCCCTTGGACGGCAGAGAACTCACATAATCGAACGGAGCCATCACAGGCTGTAAGCGTTAGCAGATCACTCTCGAAAGATGTTGCAGGTTGCTGGATCTCTACTTTACCATGAGTGAACACTGGGTGAAATCAACATCCAGTACCTCCTTGGGTACTAGGCTATCCCTAGAGAAATGCTTGGTGCTGCCATCGTGATCTTGATCATTGCCATCAGTTGTGCTGGCCCGAGTGGATGCGGTGGTGCCATCGCTAGCAAATTCCTTACCGATGCACCAGCCTTCTGATGATACATCGGACGTGTTACTTGCTAGGGAATCCGCGAAAGCCTCGTGTCCGTCTGCCGCAGGTTCAGTATACGGCCGATTAAGACACATAATAATGTGATAATGCGAAGTCGCCGTAATGCAGGTCAAGACGTACCAATACAAGAGGCCATGTTACATTTAAGCTCGGTCTCGCTGGACATGATGGTAGTGAATAGGAGGTGATTGTTATGAGGAATTTCCGGCGTGGAGTAAGGTAAACTGTAAGAGCTATGGAGGCACTGACACTCGACTCTGAGGAAGAAAGCAAGGTCGAGGCGAGTTCAGGTTTTGTGGGGGGTGTCTTCAATGCCAGCACGACGATAAGGATACTAAATCAGATTATCAAGCTCGGTGAGTTGTCAGTGGGGTATTTCTAAACACAGCTTCCAGTGATGTTACAGGTTCATAATGCAATTGATCCTGCAGCTATGAAATTCCATATCCGATATAAGTGGGCACTAAGTCATAGCTCTCGGGGTTCTTCATTCGTCATGGCCGGACAGTCCGGCCGGTTGGGGTGCTAGGCGTTACCTTGTTCCATGATTCGGAATGTTACAGCCGAGCCACGTTAGCAGTCTTCGGCCGTTTCCACAATGGGCTGCACGGGTTGAGGTCCATGTACAATCGACAGTTTTGTAGTTGTGTCACTAGTTGCGGCGGTGAAGCACGTCAATGATTACAGACTGACGACCTGTTGCCGAGGATATATTATATTTTGCAGCCGATTCCCAAGTGACATTCATTAGCCGGGCGCTCCGTTGGATAACACTTGGCGGCAAGAGGAACAGAACCAATTTTACCAGCAAGATGGCTGAGCATGATGCGATTGCCATCGTAGGGCTATCATGTCGTCTCCCCGGCGAGGCATCGAGCCCCGAAAGGTTTTGGGACTTGATGTTCAACGGACGTTGTAAGCCGCAGTCTTGTTAGCTTTCGTAACACAAACATATAACGGTGGCTAATGCGGGCAATATCTAGCGGCCTACTCAGAAACGAACAAGCAATGGAATGCTGCCGGATTTTATGGTGCAACAGATGACCGCCCCAACATCTGCGTGGCTCGGGGTGGTCATTTCCTTGATCAAGACCATTCTGACTTTGACGCAACCTTTTTTCATATTAGCCAGCAAGAGGCGGCGGCCATGGACCCCCAACAACGGCTCATGCTCGAAGTTAGTTACGAAGCTTTTGAGAATGCTGGTATGAAGATGGATCAACTATCAGCGTCTCCGACCGGCTGCTATGTCGGTGTCATGGGCACCGAGTGGAAGGAAAGCTTCTCCAGGGACCCGGAAGCTGCCCCCAAGTATGCATACACTGGCTCTGCCACCGAGTTTGTCTCGAGCCGCGTTTCGTGGTTCTACAACCTTACTGGTCCCAGCATGACGGTCAACACGGCTTGCTCGTCCAGTCTGGTCGCCATGCATCTGGCCTGTCAAAGCCTCCGCACCGGCGAGTGTGAAACGGCACTCGTGGGCGGGGTAAATTTGATGCTCAACCCGGATTTCTCTTGTCACCTCTCTAGACAAAGGTTCCTCGCCAGTGATGGCAAATGCAAGACCTTTGACTCGATGGCGGACGGATACGGAAGAGGAGAGGGATGCGCTGCACTGGTTCTCAAGCGAGCCAGTGATGCAATCCGCGATGGCGACTCGATTCGAGCAGTCATTCGTGCTACTGGTCTGAACCAGGACGGGAAGACCAAGTCCATAACTCGTCCGAGTCAAGATGCGCAGGTGTCTTTGATACGATCAACGTATAAGCAAGCCGGTCTGGATCTCGGTGAAGCATCATACTTTGAGACCCATGTAAGCGAGTCGCCCTCCCACTCCACCCAAACCACTCAGAACTTCACTACTGCTACCACAAATATTCAACAGCGGCTGAGCTAATTCGCAAAGGGGACGGGCACGAAAACTGGTGACCCTATCGAACTAGGGGCAATCTACGAGACAATTGGGATCCTGCGTGAAGAAGGAGACCCCCTTCACATCGGTGGAGTCAAGCCCAACGTGAGTTTGCTCAGCCAGTCGTCTGACTCTAGCTGTATCAATGCCATGACGCTGACGATAAATTAGATCGGACACGGTGAGGCGGTAGCGGGACTGTCATCCGTCATCAAGTGCGTTTTAATGTTAGAGAAGGATACGATACTACCGACCACGGGCATCAACGAGTTGAACTCGAAGATTCCGTTTCGAAAATGGAAATTAGAGGTCCCTCGAGCTCCTCTGCCATGGCCATCGACTACAACGACGCGGGTCCTGAGTGTCAATGGATTCGGTGCTGGAGGTACAAATGCACACGTCGTCCTAGAGAGCACCGATAGCTACCTTGGACGCCCCGGCTTAAGGAATGGATACCGCCGGGAATCGAATGAAGATATCGAAACACACCCCGAACGTCCAGCAAACACTCTGAGCCGACCACGCCTTTATATGGTAGCATCGCAGGATAAGGAAGGCATCAAACGACAAAAGCAGCGTCTGCGACAACATGTTGAAAACTTGTCAAACCGGGTTGCCAGGGACGATGGCTACCTAACTCGGTTGGCGTTCACCCTGAATCAAAGCCGATCCCAACTCTCATGGATGTCGTATGCTGTTGGCGGATCCGCAGAACAGTTGGCAGAATCTCTTCAGGACCCCAACTGCGTGTCCTTCCGGCATGATGGCAGCCGTCTCACAAGGATAGGATTCGTCTTCACTGGGCAGGCTGCCCAGTGGGCGAGAATGGGATCCGAGCTACTACAGTACGACGTATTTGCCAACAGCATTAAAGCCGCCGATCTCTACTTCACCAGGAAGCTGGGGTGTTCGTGGTCCGCACTGGAGGAGCTGCTCCGCCAGAGCAGCCTATCCAACATCAACGACCCTGTCTACGCGCAGCCACTCACCGTCGCCTTGCAGGTGGCTCTGATAGAGCTGCTGGCATCATGGAATATCACACCTTCATCGATAGTTGGACACTCAAGTGGGGAGATTGCTGGGGCCTTTTGTGCTGGGGCCATATCTAGAGAAGACGCATGGAGGATTGCGTATGCCAAGAGCCAGGTCCTCAAAAACATGACCGGTCCTCCTGGAGCCATGCTGGCAGCGAGTTTGTCGGAGGATGAGGCCCAGACCTACATCGCCAAGGCAGCATCAAAGGGACGGGTCGTTGCAGCTTGCATTAACTCCCCATCAAGCGTCACGCTCTCCGGCGATACTGCGGCCATCGAAGATATTCAAGAGCAACTCAAGGCCCAAGGTCTATTCCAGCGACGTTTGGCGGTTAGCTCTGCCTACCACTCTCACCATATGAAACCGATCGCCGAGGAGTTCCGCAGCGGCATCGAGGGTATCCGATATATTTCAAACGGCACCACCAGCAAGATCCCAATGTATTCCAGCGTGACAGGAGAAGTTGTGGATCCGTGCTGCCTTGGCAGTACGGATTACTGGGTCACCAATGTCGTCTCCCCCGTCCGATTTTCAGAAGCTATGAGCGAACTCGCAAAAGCCGGAGTGGATATTGTCCTCGAGGTCGGTCCTCATTGCGGTCTCAAGAGCCCGATTACGCAAATCCTCAAGGCTTGCGGATTGAGTGACGTTAATTACCAGTCAATCCTCTATCGCGGAAAGGACGCCGTCGATACCGCGTTGCAGTGTGCGGGTGCACTGGCTGCCCAGGGAGTTCCCGTCAATATCGAAGCTGTCAACAAGGATGCAAATCTCGCCACCGCGCTTCGTCGTCCAGTCACTGACCTGCCTACATATGCGTGGAACCATACACGAAGCTATTGGGCCGAGCCGCCTCTGAACCGTGATCATCGATTGAGGTCTCAGCCACGACGCGATCTGATAGGGGCACCATTTCCCTGCCTGTCTGCGTCCGAGAGGATCTGGAGAGGTTTCCTACGCATCAGCGATGAGCCTTGGATCGACCACCACCGAGTCCAATCGGCCATTCGCTACCCGGCTGCCGGCTTCCTCGCTATGGCCATTGAAGGTGCGCGGCAGCTTTCGGACCAAAAGCTGACCGTTCAGAAGTTCAGAATCCGGGATTTCGAACTCAGGAATGCTGCCCTGATTCCCGACGACGGCGAGCTGGAAACTACGCTCACAGTGAGACGAAAGGCTGGCGGTCCACTGCTCCCGGCGACTGGCTGGCTCGAGTTCTCAGTCTCATCTCGAGGAGTAAACCAGGACTTCCGTCTAAATTGCCACGGCCTCATCAAAATTGAGTACGACGGCCCAGTGTCAGCCGCCGTTGGTGAAGTCACCGATGCACAGCATCAGGACATGTGCAAGCGAGAATTCGGACGCATAGAGCAACAATGTACACAAGTTCAGGACCAGGACTATCTCTATAACCATCTCAACGATAAAGGCCTTCAATTTGGCCCCAAGTTCAGAACTCTCTCCGAGATTCGAAGAGGGAACGACGTATCGTTGTGCACCATCACCATTCCTACGTCAGGCTCAAACTTCACTCCGGCGGTTCCCGAAAGACCTCATATAGTTCATCCCGCGACCCTAGACGGATTGATGCAGTGCTTCTTCGCCGCCACCATTGGCAAGAATGGGAGTCTTGAGGTCGGCATGGTGCCGCGGCGGGTGGACGAGGTCACAGTAAGCGCCAAGCTCCCATGCCAGGCAGGGACACGGTTCCGCGCTTGCGCAGTGGCCAACAAACACGGAATGCAAGAAATGCGCTCGAACGCCATGGCGTTTGATGAGAATATAGACGAGCCTCTAATGACGATCCAAGGAGTCAACTGGACACCCCTCCAGGGTCTAGCGGCTGAACAGAGAAAGAAAGGTCTCTGTTTCGAGATGTCATGGCAGCCACTCTTGTCAGAGGTCGCCAATGGTACTGCCAATGGTACTGCCAATGGTACTGCCAATGGTACTGTCAATGGGGATACCCATCTAGAATCTCGTGCAACCGTTCTGAACGGGGCGTCAGACAGTGGTGGTCAGGACATATATCTTATCGAACCTGACGGTCTGGAGCCTACCGCGGAGCTTTTTATAGCCAAGCTGTGTGACCATGTGACAAAGCGTTACGGTGGCCGTATGCAAAGAGTCAAGTTCGGACAGGTACCGTCTGACCTGAAGAAGAAGCGGTGTGTCTTTCTGGAGCTCGGCAAGCCTTTCCTCGAAACACCAGACACGGCAGAATTTGCGAGCCTCAAGCAATACATTCTGTATTCCTTGAACATCCACTGGATCACGTTCTGCGATGGGCCAGGAGCGGGACTCGTCACTGGGTTTGCGAGGACCGTCCGCAACGAGATCCCCAACCTGACGTTCCGAACCCTGCATTGCACTCGGGGCATGTTATCGGAGACAACAGCGACGGACATGTCTATCATATCTCGATTCGTGAGTGAGGAACACGACAACGACGGATCTATCGACAGCGAGTTTCGACTTCGAGACGGGAGACTTGAGGTATGTCGAGTCCGGGAGTGCTTGGAACTGAACGACGAGATCTACGACATGGCGAGCAGGAAGGTCGCGCCAGTGGCAGTGAAAGACGTCACAAGCGATATCGTGCTTAAACCGCAAACCATTGGAAGTCTAGACGCCCTCAGTTTCGAGGCAGTCGGCCAATTAGCAGGGGTCGAGTTGGCTGATGACGAGGTTGAAATTGAGATTAAAGCCACCGGTCTTAAGTAAGTGCCAGCACGGAATAAGCAAAATGAAGACTAAGAAGAAGAAAAAGAAGAGAACTTTAGCTAACTTGTACTGTAGCCTCCGAGACGTCTTGACTGTCATGGGCGAGATCCCTGATGACAACATTGGACATGAAGCGGCAGGCGTAGTGGTACGCAAGGGCGCTGCCGTGACGAGATTCGAGTCGGGCGACCATGTATGCTGTCTCGCACCCGGCGCACACAGGACGCGTCTTCGGGTTCGCGACAAGCTGTGTCAGGACATTGGCGACATGACTTACCAGGACGCTGCCTCGCTACCCCTGATCTTCTGTACCGCATATCACGCGCTGGTAAACCTCGCACGCCTGAAGCCAGGACAGTCTGTTCTAATCCACTCAGCGGCCGGAGGTGTAGGACAGGCTGCTATCCAGGTTGCAAAGCATCTCGGTCTGGACGTCTTCGCCACCGTCAGCTCGGCGGAGAAACGGGTGCTTTTGACGAGGCATTACGAAGTGCCTGACGACCACATCTTCAACTCGAGAGACTTGTCCTTCCGAGAGGGTATCATGGCGGCGACGGACGGCCGCGGCGTCGACTGCGTGCTCAACTCGCTCGCAGGAGAGGCTCTTGGCGAGAGCTGGCACTGCTTGGCGCCTTTCGGCACCTTTGTCGAGGTTGGCATGAAGGACATACTGAACAACAGCGCTCTGGACATGAGGCCGTTTGGCAGCAGTGCGACCTTCAGCTTCTTCAGCCTGGAATCGATGGAGAGGATCGCTCCAGACATGCTTGCCGACATCTTCAGCTCCGTCTTCTCCCTCGTTCGCCACGGAGAACTGAAGCCAGTGACGCCGGTCACGTGTTACCATATTTCCCAGGTCGAAAACGCGTTCCGGTTGATGCAGGCCGGCAAGCATCGGGGCAAGATCGTGCTGGGTTTCGAAAGTCACGGCAACGAGTCCATCCGAGTGGCCAAGTCGATCCGCCATATCGCCAAACTATCATCTGATGCAACCTATGTCCTCGTCGGGGGACTCGGTGGCCTAGGGAGGAGTCTATCGAATCTATTGGTTTCTCAGGGCGCCCGGAATCTCTGTTTTATGTCCCTATCCGGTGCTGCATCACCACAAGCCCAGTCGTTGGTCCAGAAACTCAAATCGTCGGGCGTGCGGGTAAAAGTCATCATCTGTGACGTTGCAAACGAAGCCGAAGTCAAGGAAGCCCTAAAGGACTGCACCAGAGACATGCCGCCAATCAAGGGCGTCATCCAGGCAGCCATGGTGCTGCGCGATGCCGTGTTCGAGAGAATGACACACGCGCAATGGGAGCAATCCCTGGGTCCCAAGGTGCGAGGGTCGTGGAACCTGCATAGGCACATGCCAGAAGACCTTGACTTTTTCGTGATGCTCAGTTCCTACTGCGGCATCTGGGGCAACCGAGGGCAAGCAAACTACACGGCCGGATGTGGTTTTCAGGACGAACTCGCGCACTTCCGCCATCGTCAGGGCCTCAAGGCAATCAGCATCGATCTCGGCGCAATGCGCGACGTTGGCGTTTTGGCAGACAAGGGCGCGGTGGGCGATATGGCAAATTGGATCGAGCCCTTCGGCATACTCGAAGAAGAATTCCACGCGATCATGATGCTCGCGATCGCAAGACAGGTCGGCGAAGACTGGGCTGCCAAGGAACCGCAGCTCGTCACCGGCCTTGCGACCGGCGAAGCCGCGAGCCTGGCCGGCGTGTTTCCTTGGTACCTGGATGAGCCAAAGTTCTCCCTGATCGCGCAGTATGATGGCCAGCAACGAGACGACGCCCTCACATCCGTCGATTCGCCCGTCGCCAGACTGGCGCAGGCCAAGTCGCTGGCCGAAGCCGTCGACATCGTCGTCTCCAGTATCGTTGCCAAGGTCTCCAAGTCGCTCCAGATGCCGACCGAGGATATTGATGTAACTCGGCCGCTTTACTCCTACGGTGTCGACTCATTAGTGGCCATTGAGATGAGAAACTGGGTCATCAAGGAGCTCAGCAGCGACGTGTCTCTTGACGACATTCTCGCTCACGTTCCAATCACACAATTGGCCGAGATCGTAACCAAGGCTAGCAAAGCGTTCAGCGGAAAGGCGGGTGACGAGGCTTGATGTCGGTTATGGAATTTCATGTAACTCCACGTAATTTATATTGGTTTCAGTTGTCTCTCGTGCATAACCTTTCTCTTTTCCGAGCCGTTTGCTTTCCCGAACATTCTCCAACGGTCACAGGTCAAGTCACCCACGATGAAGCTGTAGCAACCACCATCTTTTACAGTTGCCCTTTCATAACCCCAATCATTTTTGAAGATACGGCACGGCTCTGCTAAGATAAATGTGTGTATTGTGTGTGTTCCGTACGATCTGACAAATAAATTCAACAACAGCCAACAGTATATCTCCCAGACTCAGCGCCACTACTATCAGTCCTCAAACCCCACAAGTTGATTAGACTTTTCCCACAGCTCCTTTTGCAACTTCTCGTCGTAGGTCCAGGATGCAGGTCCTGTGTAGTCGCCGGTGTGCCCTTTATCGGCCAGGTCAGCGAGATACGTCCCACCGCGGCCCTCCCACTCAGCGCTTAGCGCGGCGTAGGTGGTCGTGGCCGCTCCTTGAGCAGGAGTGCTGATAACCTTCCGTGCCGCATCATTACTCACAAGGCTCTCAAACTCAGCCAAGGACGAGCCTGAAAGATGCTGCATAAGACCTGTGTAAATGAAACCTGGATGGAGGGAGAGACCGTGTAGTCCCTGTGCACTATATTGCCTCTTAACTTCATTTATAAAAAGGATGTTAGCTATCTTAGAACGCCTGTACGTATTCTAAGGCTTATACTCCTCTTTTTTAAAGTTTATATTATCTAGACAGATATTACTATGGTAGTAAGCTATAGATAATATAGAAATAACCTAAGAGTATAACTTAGGCGTAGATAATGCCAGGAGCGTAGGCTTAAGCAGCTAGAAGAAGAGGAGATGGCCTAGGTGGTTAGTTGTAAACTAAGTCTTAAAGCTGTCTTCTGTTTTCCCCTGCGGTGTGCCTAGGACCTTAGTATTATAGATGAGGACGTCTAATCTGTTGCTTTAGGAGTGGAACGCTTGAGCTACTGAATGTACTAAAGTTAGGGAGTCAAGGTAAAGCTTAATAGTATGGACAGGCGCGTCAGAATTAAGCCTATTTTATATACTATTGATGGCTTACTAGGCCTTGTTGGTGTCCTTTGCTGTTATAAAGAGTGTTACCCCTGTATTGTGTATAGTGTACACTGTCTTAAGGCTAATGCTAGTGTTACTGCCTATAATTAGGACGACTTTTCTAGCTAGCTTTCCAATAAGCCCCTTATCCTTAACGACCTAGAGGGCTATAGGCTGCAAGTTACCTAGGCCCTGCGGGTTGGCGTAGGCAGCTACGTATCTTAATATAGCGTTAGGATTTAAGTAGTAGCTAATGCTGTTACTGTGTAGATATAAAAGTCCTAAATTATTTAATAAAGAATATGCATGTGCCTGTAATTAAACTAAGCTTAGATTAATTTTCTAGATAATAATATTAGCTTTGTTTTTAAAGTTTAGATCCGACGAACACTCTCAAACCGTGATGTTCGGGTCACCGGAGTGCTTGTCAAGGAGTGATCCGAGTTGCCGCGTGGTCTGTGCAGTAGGGGGGCGCTATACGACCCCGGCGTCGTCGTCTCGGAAGCATAAGATATAGTCGCACCGGCTCGGCCTTCCTATAATGGGTTTGGCCGGGGCATGAAACTCCGGACGAGGGCATTGGATAAGCGTTCTTCAACTACTTTTGCCCGGCTTCGTCCACACCGAATGAGTCAGCAATAACTGGTCCTCGACACTACAACGCTCCTCGAACAATTGGCAATGAATCCTACGGCAACTAGCACTGTTTACGGCGGTCAATGGCTGGCTGGTCTCCTAGTGGCCCACTACGTCGTTCTCTCTATCTCGATATTGGGGCTCTCAGCAACCAGCAGAACACGTTATGCCAGCGTATTCTTGCTAGGCGTCATTACCTTCAACATTCAGAAAACATTCGTGGAATTGTCCCAGTCTCCCTACTCGTCTGCTACCGTCGTGCCTTTCCTTTCGCAACAGCTCATGAGCAGTTCGGAACTTATAATTATTTCCCGAGCCGTTGGGACCGACTTCTATTCCGGAAACTCTTCATTTTCACTAGCCATCAGGGTTTTGCGCATCTCTCTCACGGTGTGGAATCTGCGACGGATCGGGACGAAATGGCTGATCCGGATCATACCGCCGTACAGCATGCCTCGGTCTCGCATTGCCTACGCCGTTAGAACGCTAGGGCAGACAGCTTTTGCCTATTTTCTAATGGACCTTATCATATACCTACAGCCTGACAATCCTGTCTTTTACTCTGTTCCGAAACAAACCTTGGGTCTCGATATTCTGGAGCTCTCATGGCAAGACCTCGGCGTTCGGTTAACTTCGACTGTGTTCTTTTACGCCACCATCTACTGCGTTTTGGTGCTCCAGTATAACCTTGTGTCATTGCCAGTCGTCTTGACGGGGTTGAGTAGCCCGAGTTCCTGGCCGCCTTTATTTGGCTCGCCTTTGGATGCCTATTCGCTGCGCCGATTCTGGGGGTAAGTCTGCAGATCCGCCCTCAAGTCCGATCATTTAGTCTGACCCTTTATAGTCTCTACTGGCATCAGACTCTGCGGAAATGGTTGACGGGTCACGCCGATGCCATCTCCGACAAACTCCTCGGCATCCCTCGAGGTACCAAGATGTCTGTTTACACTCGGCTATCGCTCACCTTCTTGCTCTCTGGCATATTCCATGTCACCTCGGACTTGGGCATGGGAATTCCATCCTCAGAAGCCGGTTCATTTACGACTTTTCTTCTTCAGCCTGTTGGCATCATGATGGAGGATCTGTTCCTCGGAACCTTGGGTAAGGTAATCTTGTTGCCAAAGGTTGTCAAGAGGCTTTTGGGCTTCTTATGGGTTTTGGCCTTTCTATCTTACTCAACTCCCACATGGTTCTATGCGCAACAGCGGCTGGCAGGAAATTCAGGAGATTTGCTGCCATTCCGCGTAGCCCCAAAAATGATATCTTACGCTACGGGGAATTTCTCAAGCTAGAATGCATACTTGGCATGGTCTATCTATATATACTCGTAGAATGTACAATAATTGTCACGTAACAAAATAATACTGTTGTTACGTAGGCAGTAATAGTAGCTTATATATTGTGATATACCCCCTAGATTTAACCTAGAATATTTGATCTGAACATACTTTTGATAAAAACCTAGTTAGGTACATCTCGCTAATTATAGGTGATGAAGATCTATATAGACTTTAGTAGGATTTTTAACAAGGGGACCCTGATAGGAATTAAACCCACGGTGCTTAAGATCTATAGCTAGTTACTGCGCTTAAATTGGCATATATACTATTGTGGTATACTAGTAGGTAGGAGCTAGGCTTATAACTGTCACGTAAAAGACAAAGCTGTTAGTTATGTGGGCAGTAATAGTAGCTTATATATTGTGACAATAATTAAGGCATATATTTCTTATAAGCTTGTCTAAAAGCCCTACTACTGTTACAAGTAGGATACTACTATAGATGTGAAAAGTGTAAACATTAGAAATCTGTCCTCCTCGCTGTGATTTCCAGCTGCTTTTCACTGTTAATTTACACTACAAACGGGATGAGAGGTCAAAGGCTGGGAGTTAACTACTACGTAATCTTATAGCTTGTCCAACACAATGTTGTCCGTTAACCTACTACCCAAACCGAGAATGGGCTTGGCGACAACTTTGAACTTCTGCTACGACATAATAATGGTTTTTATAGCTATTTTATCTTGATTGTTCCCGACTCTTCCCACTCCGATAGCTGCCTTTGTAAGTTCTTCCAAACTGGACCTGGAAGAGTGGCCTCGGCCCAGTAGTTTCCATCCAAGTCTGCCCCGTGAAGCATGATAGAGATGGCATAGCTATCTTTTGATTGAGAACAACCGCACTGCCACACAGGTAGTCCGACATTGTCTACCTTGCTGTGTGGCCCTTTCGTAACGACGGCTGGCTTGAAGTCGAACACGTTATGCCAACTCACTTTTGCGAGATTAGATAGAACCACAAGTACGCTGTCTGGGTCGGCATAGAGGGGCATTCTGCCAATTGTCGAGATGGACCAAAGATTGCGTCGGACGGCTGCGTAAATCTGAGACTCGGAAGTCTGGCGCATGAGGCTTTCCCGAATTTGGCGTGCAAAGAGGCTCAAGGGGGCCATCAGTACGTCGGCCAAAGGCACAAACGTATAACTAAAAGCCAAGAGGTTCTGTGCGTAGACGGTGTGAGGTTTGAACAGTTTCTGGAGTCTCGATCGTATGTCAACTGCTGACATGAGAACAACTGATCGATTGGATAAGGTGAAAGTTTCCGAGCACACCAATCGTACCAGCCACGAGCAGAGTATGTCTCCATTACTGATGAACGGTTTCTTGGTTGGATCATCCTTGAATAGAGCCTCTTGTTGTTCGAGAACCAGTTGCTTGACGTGGGCGAATAGGGGACCTGGTATGACTATGCCTTTGTGGTGGATCTTTGGGGTGAAAACCCAGGCAATTAGAGATCTGATGGAGAACAAGAACAGCCCGAAGCCCCTTAATTGCTTTTGGTCAAGGTCGAATGGCTCTTTGTCTGGGCCTGTATCCGCGGCCACAACAGTAAGAGGATCTTCGTGTAGTCCACCCAAGTCCTCAATTTCGTTCTTTGAACCTGACAAGACCTTGCACCAGTTCTTTACTATACCTATATAGCCCATGCCATCGGTTAAGGCGTGCGGCCAGGTCAGTGTGACCAACGTAGCGTCTGCGTAATTGATGACATGAAGATTTATCAAGGGTATGTCACGCGTGACATAGTCTTCAAGAGACATTGCCGTATGGGGACCCACTAGAAAACGCCGTGCGCTATCCGGTATTTCAACAACACGGGCTTTCCCCACATGGGATTGCAAGATTTCTGCGTCCTCGGTCTCGTCGATATTCCCAGAATACTGTGCTTGCGTGTAAGAGACAGCAGGTACCGTCTCTGAAAAGTGGGCGGGAACATGGATTTCTAGGTCATTGGCGCTCTGTATGAAGCTGTCAGTGTCTGTTACCCCTACCAAAAGGCATCACATGCATGGGAGGCGCACATTAAGCCGAAAACGACCGCCAAGCTTCTTCCAATTCCCGGTGCTCACGAGCTCTGTTAGGGAACTGTATAGTAGGTCTCCATCAAGAACGTCGTTAAATCTCAACGCTTGACTAGTCACAATCGCCTTCAGAGTAGCTGTGTTGTCGATCGCGTGGACCGGGAAGACGGTGTCGGTGGATCGCCACTTGGGTGCAGACTTGTCCCTGTCGCTTTTCTGTCGTCGACGAGGATCTATAGATCTGAGAACCATAAGGAAGAACGAAGACATGGCGAAGGTTGTAATAACAGACTGCTACATTGGCCAGAGGTTTCTCAACGTGATAGAGGACCACAGATGCCTAGCGAAGCCATGAACTGTATAATAACCAAAGTTATCCGGACATGGTTCTGCCAAGAGTCGCTATTACTCGGCTTTCCCAGCCAAGTCTCCCGATGCTTTCGGGCTGGGTGGAGCAAACACGAGTCAAACTCGGATCTAGACCTACTTATTGTGGCAATTGAGTGGCTTGTCATTGGATCGGAACGATTTTTCTTCCAGGGCCGATCCTGAAAATAGGCAGGTCTCGATTGGTTCGGCCTGTAACTAAAGGGGTTGTCCGATTAGTATCCACAAGATAGTGGTGGCATTGTACCCCCAAGGCCACGCACTTTGCGTGCAACAGGGCAATGCAGACCATCGAGATAGATGGACGTTACAAGCAAGTAACAAACAAGGATTATTGCAACCCGTATACGTACTCGAGCAAACTTTATTTCGGCCTGTCACCAAAGTAATTGTCTGATCTACCACAAACCTAACTGTACAAGTAATGCTACGGAAAAAAAAAGTTTATAATCAAACATAGTTGCCTCTGTATGTGTAGATGTAGTGGTAAAATCCAGCATCGGGCTTTTAGTCTTTATCTCAATGCCACAATGGACGAACTCGTGTCAACCCTAACTTCGACTTCCCCTTTTGAAACGGGGACGACATTCACCAAGACAATCCACAGAGAGCCTTACTCGGCCATTCTTCCTTCCCGCCAGGTGCTATCTCAGAATGGGCGTACGGTCCTCATAACAGGTGGCTCTGCAGGTATCGGCTTTGCTGTCGCCAAGAGCTTTGCTCAAGCAGGAGCAAAGCGCGTGATTATTCTTGGCCGTCGCCAAAATATTCTTAATGAGTCTGTTGAGAAACTCAGGAAAGAGTATAAAAACGTCCAGTTCAGTGGGTTCCAGAGCGACGTAGATGACCTTGAGAGCAACGAAAAGCTATGGAAGGGTTTTGAAGAGGATGGTACTGTTATTGACGTCTTGGTACTTAACGCTGCTCAGATGTTTGCTCCTGGCTCTATTCTAGCGACAGGGAGGGATGCCGTATGGAAGGGCTTTACTACAAATACCCTCTCGTTATTAGACTTCGCTGGGAGGTTTTATAACCAGAATAATAGTAAGGGGCAGCAAAAGGTAAGTTGCAATCACGTATAAAGTAACTAGGCAACTAACTATCGACCTATAGTTTCTCATCAACGTTTCTAGCGAGGGCATCCACAATTTTCACAAGTCAGGGTTATATCCTGCTTACAGTGCTAGCAAAAATGCGGGAACGCTTTTGATGCAGCTAATTGCTAAAGACACATCTCCTGAGGACATGCAAGTTATTAGCTTTCATCCAGGGTTGGTTTGGACAGAGGCGTTCAAGAACGGTGGCGTTCCAGAGGACATGTTTGATTTTGACGATGGTGAGCTTCCCTAAAAGAAAAACAAGAAGGAAAAAATGCCATTAGGTCTGTTGAATCCCTAACTGACATGAAACTTTTTTCTTGTAGTCATGCTGGCTGGAAACTTCGCTGTCTGGGCCGCTTCTGAGGAGGCGCGGTTCCTGCACGGCCGCTTCGTCTGGGCGAAGTGGGACGTCGAGGAGCTGAAGGGTGGCGAAATAGGAGAGAAGATACGGAAGAATGATCATTACCTCAAGGTGGGCATTGTTGGGCTCCATCAGTAGGGGGAATCTCTTGCTGGTGTTGCGATGCTGCGGTCTCGCCGATGTGACGGGAGCTTGTAGTTTAGCTGCGGAGGAGGGGGGTATCAGACCATTCGGGGAGTGAATAGATGTTGGTTCCCGGGCTCGACGCAAAAAAGCCCTTCAGAACCCTGAGCTATTCCCCTCTCTCTGCCGCCCGAGATCGCACTAAGATAACGTCTAATATTGAATAGACTCAAAAAGATGTTTGTAACCTATACAGATGAAGCGGATTCAGGTGGAATTCTTCCCAGCAGGGTGTCTTTTTTTCCAGCCACGCTTGAACTTAAGGAACAAGATTTCTAAACTTTGCTTTGTAATTCAAACCCTTTTCTTCAAAGAAAACTTGATATGCCCCCTTGTGACTCACACGCCCAGATTGAAAGTCTCTGACACCCTTATATATCCAGCCCGTTCCCTGTTATCCCACACATCCGACAATTATTGAATCACATTCCATTCCACAACAATCGCATACACTCACATCAAACTAATTCTACCTATATTAATCAGTTAATCACCGAAACTATTCAAGCACTTGGTCTATCACACCATGCTCCAGCCACGGGGCTCAACATGGGATGGCTTGCCAAGAGAGATCCGGCTTCTCATCTTTAAATGCCTGATGCAAGACGGCTGCAGACTGGGGCCGTTGGCCACGGTGTCTCGAGAATGGCAAACGGAGATCGAGCGACATAACTTTTCTCGACTCAGACTAACTCCCTCATGTCTAGCCAATTTTAACGCGGTGATTCAGAGGAACCGGGCTCTGGTGAAATATATCTGGTTCTGCTTAGAACTTGATGATTACGATTGTACCACGTGCGCACCTGACCGGGGAAAACTCACCCAAGACGAGTACGAAGAGGCATTTGAGATCAGCGGTACAGATAAATGTCCCATCACCACAGGATTCCAGGATCTGTTTTCGATTCTCAGCACATGGGATCCTTACAATGATCTAACACTTGATATCAGTATCTATTCACCTAGCGACTCAAAACATTGGTTCCCATACCTGAACTTTATGCCCGACGTCTCTTTTGATACGCCGGGTGATCATTGTCCAGAGACGATGATACTAAACCGGGACCATCATGACCCTCAACATGGCTGGGTTGCCGGTTTTCGACACTCGGCCCCACCCAGCGATGCTATCTTGAAAGTGTTCAATGAAGTCATGGAGGTGGGACCGTTTGATAGTTATCAGTCGGAGCTCCAATGGTGGGATCAGCTTCCTTCAGTTCCAGCTGTAACCAGTTTACTTCTCCGGCAACAGAGCCGCCGGCGATGGAAGTCGGCCTCGCTAGCACGTATGTTTGCCCGGTTTCCCAGGCTTCAGGCAGTCTATTATGAACCCTGGAGGGAATGGGACGTCCTGCAGAGACGTACAGATAAAGGTGAGTACTGCTGCGCAACCCCCGTATTCTTTCAGGCTGTTGCCCGCCCTGAATCGTGTAGGTACTCATTTGCTAATGATCGGCTTCATCTGTCTAGGCTACCAACATCTTTTCGAGTCTATCCAACGGTGCACCAATAGTCTTAAAAGACTCGTGGTCTTTGAGAATTTTAATCAACAGTACCCAACTACTATGCAGCGATTTCTGTGGGGAGAGGACTTGTCCAAGTGCGACAGGATCCGCAGCCCCGACCCCGCTGTTAGCCAGATGGTTGCGCTCGCCAGTCTCAAGCTTGAGCATCTCGCAGCATCCTTTATCGCAGATGCCAGCTATTTCTTGGAGATTGATCCCACTTGGGAGTGGCCAAACCTAACATCACTTGTTCTTACTTCAAAGTTACTCACGCCCGACGAGAATCCGACCGAGACTGGAGCTATGCTTCGGGCAGCAGCAGCAGCAGCTATGAAGATGCCCCGGTTAGAAATAATGGAGATCTGGAACGGAAGAAAGGGGCTAGCAGCACTCTTCAGATACCAGGCGTTCCATAACGCACAACAAGCTGTAATTGTTTGGAAAGGTACATGGAGGTTTATCATGGAAACATCCATCATTCAGGCTTGGGAAGCTGTTATGAGTCAGTATGATGGTCGGAAACTCGAGTTGGTACAGGAACAACTGGATGGAGCTGCTATCGAGTCTCACGGCGATGCACTTCACTACTTGAAGCTTTCAAGCCAGGCCATTCGATCCATCTCATTACAGCAAATCCGAATGGAACAGAAGGCTTTAGAGGGCGTAGACACCATACAATAGGAATAAAAACATCAATAACAGGAAAGGTATAGCCCGCAAGCAACAAACATGGCAGTTCGAGGAGGCGATCATTATGAGGGCAGTCTCATATATGGGGGCTGTGTCTGCTGACAACTGTTGCTACATGGCCAACCTCTATGAAATGAAGCTTTCTGGCAAGTAAGGCGGATCAGTTGCCGCAAGCATAACACTAGAAATACTGGAAATACTATAAAGAACGCACCTCTGAAGAGAATTAGTATTAAGTACAGTAGGACACCCGGCTTTCGCTCTTTGCTCGTCTGCCTTGGTGCTATAGCGAGTTTATAAGCCATGTTAGATCTATAAGGCATTACCCGCCTTTGATTCTACGGAGGAGGAGGAACTAAAAGCATCATGGTGTTCGTCAGAACTCCTAATGGTTAGCCACGAGTTTTCAATGGCAATTTTCCTTCCATTTTTCATCAACTATTCTTGACTTTGATGGATTCGCATCTGATGGGAAAGCAAAAACGTTTAGCCTTTCGCACTCAGCTGTAACCCATGCGATGCAGGAATCCTCAACGGCGGAGTTGTAACGAAACAGAATTTCGGCCTCGACAATACATTCTTGGTGAAACGGCAATGCGATTAGGTTGCGCCCATTCCAAGTAATCCATTGTCCGCTGTGGCTGATTCTAAAGCCGTGCCACTGCGGTGCTTGTACCTCGCAAAGCAGGCTTGTCGGTCCCCAACCATCTCGAGAAACCGTCACGCCTGATATTCGGTATCAATATCTTGCCATACCGCGTGGTGAGAAACAAGTCGTCCGAAGAGAATGAAACTTCCTGAACCCAGTGCACAGCCCTGAGCACCGCAAAACATTGACCCAAAGGGACCGACCAAAGGTGGATCAGACTCCTCGCGTCCACCAGCGCAAGCTTTTGCGAACTATGAGAAAATTCGAGGCTTGTCACTGTGCCGCGAATCGGCACATGTTTCAGTAGTGTCCTTTCGAATCCTGTATGAACACCCCAAAGTGACACTTTCCATCGCTTGTTCCCCGGGATTGTATCGGTTGTCAGTGATGCTATCCATGTTGAATCGGGGGAGATTGCGAGCGCCGACGTTTGGGCCCCCTCGAGCGGAAAGTCGGTATATCAGATCGGTAGTCTCCCGGCCATATATTACACATGTTGTAGCTCAAAGGTTGCTTTTTTGTGAGCAAGTCCAGACAATCGAGCGCGATCTTTTGATGTGCTTTTTTGAAGTCCACTGTCTAATGCGAAGTCTCCTGCCTTCTGACCCAGTAGAAAATCGCGAAAAGAGAGATGGAAAGGCTTTACTGCTGATCTCCTGTCCTCAGGAACATCAATCACTGACCTGAGGTAATCCAAGATGCGATCGACATCTGTCTCGTCGGTCGCCAACAAGCCTGCTATTGAGGCAACTGGCAATGGTTTCTCGAGGAGAACGAGCGTGCCAACCACTCTGCGGAACCTTTCGAGTAGGACATCTGCTTCTCGCTTGCTTCTACCCGCCTTGAATTGCCATAGAACCGGGAGATATGTTGGAGTCAATCGGTCGTTAATACCGCTTTCCATCGCAGCTTTGAGGACACGGGATAGTTGTTTCTCTGGACTATAGAGGGAGTCTGCGATAAAACGGCAAGTGGTCGCCGCAAAGATGAATAGACGATCGGCCATGTCAGCTAGTGCTTGCAACTTCCGGGTGCCCGGCCATGCGGCTTCTAGCTGCTGAGAGGGATCGGTGGATTTCCGTCAGTTCCATCGCTCTCTGATCTCGGATAATTTGTCTCTCAGGAAGACCATGATGTCTTGAGACACGAAATCTGGCTCTATTTCGTGAAGTTTAACTCGTAAAAGTTCTTTAATTGGTTCCCACGCGTAGCGTATAGCCACCTCTGGCCTGCTAGTCACGAAGACTTTGAGGCTGCACGCCTTTGAAGATGCAAGCTTGGCAAGCAGCGGGACGAATACTTCGATATCTTCGTCTACCGAGCACTCGTCTAGTGCATCGAGAACCAAAATCAGTGTCTCTGGCCCTGTGTCCCACACATGTGTGTTGCAGGCCTCCTCTAGAGCTTCTTTTTGAGCCTCCTCTGAAGCTTTCTTTCGAGCCTTCTCCAAAAAAAGGTTCTGGAGCTTTCTTTAGAGCTTCTTTCAGAGCATCATTTCTGGCAGTCACCTCCGATACGAACGGAGACCTAGCTGGGTGGACCTTTGGAGTATTCTTGCGCTGTATCTCATGTTCTCGTCCTTGATTACATCCAAGCCCAGTCTTGAAAATCATTTTGTAGTTTTCTTCAAAAGATTCTCCATGGATTTTTCGAGTTTCTTCTCTTCTTCATCTGGATCCAATGACTCTGAATCTGACGACCCTAAATCCGATGATAGTAGTCCATCGAGGCTCGCTGAAAAGGCTTTCCAATAGGACTCTCTGAAACGCGTCTTGTACAGTTTTCCGAAGGCAATTTCTGCGTAGGCTCTTTCCAGTGGGTTCAGAATGAGATTGTTGAACTGGACTGCGATGCCCTTGGAGGATATGTTTTCCGCCTTTGCGATGGCCTTCAAAATGAACTGCTGGGCCTCAGGTCGCCGTCTTACCAGCTGACGAGCAACTGGGCTGAATAGAAAAGATGCCGTGCTACAAGACGCCACGACTCTTTTGAAGAAGAACGTAGCAGCGAGCAGCTTTTCTTCGGTGAAATTCTTGGCAGCTGTCCGTGAGATGGTCGACTTTCCGATACCGGCGGATCCGATAAGCCAGTACACACGTTGGTCTCTTCGGTCTTTCGCCCATGTTTCAATTTCCTTCAAAAAGCTAACCCGTGTTTCCGGATGGTATTTGGGTTCGTGCTGATTGAAGTGGGAGTCATACTCGGCTTCCTCGGCAACCGATAGCCTGTCCAAGACGCGGCTGTCCATTTGATTTCCCATTTGATTTTCCATTTGGTTTTTGACTTGAGCAACATCCTGTTTAACCTTTTGCACTGATCAAACGAGATTAGAGTGCCGTCCATCATCTAGCATAACGGTTTCTTTGTTTATTTATTTACTCTGGGAAGTAAGAATTGTCAACTTGGGCTCGTTTTCAAGTCTAGTTCGCTGAACTCGGCACACCAACGCCTTTGCGTACGCAGCAGCCGTCATAGCTGCATAACCCTACCAATCTTTGTTCTTGTGCGAATCTGAATAATCACTAGACACGGAAAATGGTTCATTAGCCCGGCAGCCTCCATCTCGAAGCACAAAGCCCCCTTGTCGGTTGCAAGCTGGTCTCTCATATTTGCGTCTTTCATGAGTTGATTTGCTGATGCAATCAACCCATAAAACACTGCTGGGTTATCTTCATCAGATGTCCTCAGCTTTCGGGAAACTACCAATTCCGGCCCAGGGTTCTCAATGGGATCATTCGGGTTCAAGGTGACGTGACTCAAAAAGAGCCTGTCTGTTTCTGGAGGAGGTCGGCTGTACTTCGATCATAGTTTAGGCCTCCTTTTAAGGGCTTCTTCAATATCCTCGTTGATTGCGTGACCTCTCTCTTCAAACTCGGCCTTGAGACCAGCTACAGCAGCTCTGAGAACATCAGGTGGCTGGTTGAGGATCCGAGTTGGCTTGAACGATTGGCCTTGTACCAACTTGCCAAAATCATATTGGAACACACCACCATGTCCGTCGCGAGGAGAACTGACCACAATGTCCCCTAAGCGAATATCGCAGCCAGGACTACGCGTCGGTGCTCCGCCCGCAATCCCAACCATGAATCCCACGCGAACATCAGGGAAGGAGTTCAGCATGCCCTTGGCGACCGCAGATGCTGTCGATAAGCCATATTCACCGTCCGATAGGACAGCAATCACCACGTTGTGTTTGCCCATTTGGCCCAGTGTATACTCGTTGCTATCGTGGGGAGCAACATGCTCGGGCGGGTCGTGTACCGAGTCAAGGAAAGCTCAGGCGGCAACGTATTCGGTACTGATGGCGCAAATCCAACTGATGGTGTAGCCCAGCGGGTTAGACATACTGGGTGTTGGGTCTCAAGTGGTAAAGCATGCTGACGATGAAGAACTAGGGAGAATAGCGCACTCGTGGCGGTCGGCTTGAGCACTTTGAGTGGGGAGTGGGTGCAACTTCCGGCTTGAACGATGCGTCTCGTTTATCTGCCAGCCGTCAGCCAAGCCGCTACTGACCAAAGTAGCTAAAACCGTTGAGGGGTGGGCGCATATGTGCCGCGAATGGCATGCAGAGAAAATGGCCTGGCCATTAAGCCTGAATACTACCTATGTATCCGTAAAGTAGACCAGGCTGCTAAGTCACTCCCTCGCCTACGTGCTTTCAGTATGTTTTTGCTGTTTTTGCCATCCCAGCCAGGTTTCTGCCTACATCACACAATTCTCGGAGTGTCACGCACAAAGGAGCAAGTGAGTTTGTGTAACATGATATGTGTATGTGTAAAGAAAGTGCTTGTTAATACGGGGTTGTCAAGCCCCAGTTACGGCCTGGTTGCCTGCCAGATACGATACTATACTGTCCCGAGCAGGTTTCCGCGTACAGCTGACCGGTCAATCCCACGATGTCCCTTCACAAAACGCTCATAGTGTCGGGCAGGAGGGAGAGAAAGAAAGAATTGTGCAGGGTGACGATGGTAAAGAGTGCTTGAGAGCACAGGGTTGGTTGCCAGCCCCCCCCTTTCGACCTTGTTGACCACAGCGATTTATACGTCGACCTGTGTCATGCCGTCCGCCCTAGCCCAACCGTTAAAAGATTGTGTCGAGAAAGCCAGGATTTTTTTTTCTTTTTGTGCGCCCCTCGGACGACTTACACAACTACACGAGATTGCCGAAGATGTCCCTGAACTTCTCCGTCGACTCCATGTAGGAGACCGCGCGCTTGGCCTCCTTGTCAGCGAGGTTGTTCTGATGGCGCGGGATCTTCCAGAAGCGGACGCTGACGCCACGGTCATGCAGTTTCTCGACGTCTAGGAGCAGCGCCTCCCAGAGGTCGCGGTTCTTGACGAGACCGCCAGTATACAGCCGCCAGTCCTTCTTGACCCATGCGCGAGCCCAGTCAGTGGCGCCGTCGACGACGTAGGTCGAGTCCGTGGCGATGACGATGCTCTGAAAGCCCTCGTCGTGCCACGCGCGGAAGCGCAGCGCCGCCACGACGGCGCGCAGCTCGGCGCGGTTGCTGGTGTGACGGTACTCTTGGCCGTCCGGGCCGCGGTCCTCGAGCTTGAAGGCGACACTGCATCTCTGCCCGTTGAACTCGTAAGGCTTGAAGACAAATGCGCAGCCTCCGCGGGCGTCGGCGGCGCCGTTGTCGGAGCAGGCGCCGTCTGTGTAGATCAGACACTCGGAGTCGTCGCAGCGGTTGATGAAGCGCTTATAGGGGAGGTCCGCTCGGGTGATGTAGCTGCCGGGGAAGAGCTCTTCGGGCGAGACGGGCGTCCTTCCCTGGGTATTGAACTTGGAAGGGAACACCGTGCCGGAGTGCTTGGTCTTCTCGGGGCGAGCCTTGAAAACAATATTTTTGTTGTTGGATTTGTCATCGTCCACAACCTTAATGGTAGCATTAGAGCGTCTCGAAGCGGATGGCGCAGGGCGGCCGTATCGGCTGGCCGCGACCTGGGCGACGCTCACGTCCCGAGGAAAGGGGGAGTTGAAGTCGTAGCCAAAGGGCCCGTCGGAGAGGTCAAAGCTGAAGTCGAGGCAGCACCTGCCGCACGTCACCATCTTGTGAGGTGCGCAGACGGTGATGGTTCGCCCATTGGGCAGGTCAACGTAGTCGATCTCCGGCAAGGGCATGTTGTGCAGCGATGGAATGAGATGAAAGTGCGGAGAAGGACAAACGAGTTGAGTCGAAGAGGGATTGAGTTAAGTAAGGGACGGCGGGAGGAAGTCTGTCTTTAAGAGACACGCAAACACCAAAGGTACAGAGAGAGCGGGCAGGCACTGGGATTGCAAACAAATTGATATGTACCCCTCCCTTGCTAGGGTGGAACATGGACATATTGCTTTTTCTTCTTCTTGCAAATGTGATACGATACGCAATCGAAGTGGTGCGCAAGACAGCCTGCAATTGAATCCCTCAATTACATTGGATTCTTCGGTAGTTTTGGCGCTTATAAGGGTTGCGCTTGGGGACTCTTGATCTGCTCCCCTGTTAGGTACTGAGCAACCGATCGGCGAAGGTCGTGTGAATAGCGTCAAAACGGTACCCGAGATGTCTGCAGACAAGCGGGACGGGCAATCGGGAAATCAACAAAGAAAAGAAAACCGGCCATTGTGAGCTTCAAATTTTATAATATAGAGCATCCAAACACCAAAACAGATAAGAAACCAGTAAAACAAGTAAAACAACAAAAAAAGATATTTTTCTACGCCCTGTTCTTGAGTGTGGTTCGAACAGCGCGCCCCCAACGAGCCCAGTGAGTTTCGTTTCGGGGGTATTATGTTAAAGCTTTAACCAGCTAGGCCACACACGCCGTCATCGCTGGACTGGTGACAGAGAGGACGGCGGGATGGATCAAATAGACATCTTCGAAGCTGGGTGGCTGGCTGGCTGAGGTAGGGCTCGGCGGTGACAATAAGGTTGTCGTCACGGAAGGAACGACCACCGCGTCACGGAATGATATGGTCCCCACCGACCAGACAGCACAGGTACCCGCGTTCCGTAACTCGCCAATGCTGCTCCAGAGCTTCTGTGATTGTGAACTCCGCAGAAGTGATAGACAGCCGTACGCAGACATGGAAACAGGCAGGTACGGGCCTTCTCACCAGTCTTCCGTTGTTGAAGATACCGTCCAGCAGCCAACGCCGATGCTCGCAGCCAAACCAAAGTGGCATTGTCCACCCGGAAAGTCGTCGGTGGTGGGGTATCTATCTAACATACTTGCTCATGAATCGTTTGTGGAAGTCGGAACGCAGGAGATCCTGGACGCCAAAGTCAGCATAACCATTCCGCGCCGGCCCTTCACGTTTGGGAGGGCAGTGCAACTTACGTTGATGAATTCCTTGCTCTTCCCCTTGTCCTCCGTGCCCCTCGCCTGGTTCTTGAAGACGACATCGTCGTCCCATCGCCGCTTCATGTTGAAGTCGGGCTTGTTCAGCAGCGGGTTGCCCAGCGCGATGTCCCTCTCCCTGGCCTCCTCCTCGACCTTGGCCCTCTCCCGCTCCTCGCGCTCCCTCTTCTCCGCCCTCTCTCGCCGGATCTTCTCCATCTCGCGCTGCAGCTCCGCCTCCTCGTCATCGCTGTCGTCGTCGCTGTCATCGTCGTCGTCCTCTTCTTCCTCCTCGTCCGAGGACGCGTCGATGTCTCGCGACTCTTCTAGTATCCTCCTCCGTTTTGTTTCAAAGTCTTCCTCGCCGTCTGCTTGTGACCCGGCCTCGAGTGCGCGCTTCACGCCGCCGGCGGGCGCGTCGGTGTCGTCGTTTGCGGAAGGGGGGGGCACACCGCCGTTCTTCTTGGCGAAGTGGGCAGCCTCGGCAGCGAGGAGTTCAGCACGGAGGTCGCGGGCCTCATCGTCGGCATCGCCGCCCTGGCCGGCCTGGCGGAACTTGAGCTGGGTGTGCGCCGGCAGGAGGCGTTGGTGGTATGCCGGCCCGCGGAGGGCTTCCTTGCCTCGGGCCTAGTGCATATTAGCAAGCTGCAATAAAAATCGAAAAGGACTTCCGTACCGGATCGAACGTAGGGCGGTGAGCGGTAGTCATCCTGGCGGTCCGCGTATGGTGTGCAGGAAGAAAGAGTCGACGTCTGAAGGGGTTGAAGTTGCTAGTCAAAGTCGCCGCGGATTGACGTTCGTTTGTTCCCCTGCAAATGCACGCGCAGCCGGCGGCTGGGTGGGTCTCGGCTGCTGCAGGGAGGGAGGCAAGCAATTAAGGCATTCACCGCCCGGCAGAATATTTGCAGCGCCCCGCCAATGCGATTGACCTCACTAAAGACCTGAAGGTCACTCACTGCCAGATTCTCATGAGGCCCCCAGGTTAAAGGTCACTTTTTCGCCGCCCGATCCGCCGCAAACATGCCCAGAGAAGCCGAGCCGTCAGCAAATGAAAAGGTCTTTGTCACACAAGCTCTCAAGGACAACTTGAGGCTTGACGGCCGGGAATTCGACCAGTACCGAAAAGCCCAGCTCACTTTCGGCGATGAGTTCGGAGTCGCCAATGTCGAACTCGGCAAGACAAGGTCAGAATACGACATCAATTCATATTGGTTTGGGCCACTAGTGCTAAAACGCCTCACAGGGTTCTCGTCAAGGTCTCGGCAGAAGTCACAGTCCCCTACGCAGACCGCCCCTTCGAGGGCATCTTCCAAATCACCTCCGAGCTGAGCCCCATGGCCTCGCCTGCCTTCGAGGTCAACCGCCCAACTGAGGCCGAGGTCCTCCTCTCGCGCATCCTCGAGAAGACGATCCGACGCTCGGGCGCCCTCGACACCGAGTCTCTCTGCCTCATCGCCGGCCAGAAGGTCTGGTCCGTCCGCGCCGACGTACACGTCCTCTCCCACGACGGGAACCTCACTGACGCGGCCTGCCTCGCCGTCATCGCCGCCCTGCGTCACTTTCGCAAGCCCGACACTTCCAACGAGGGCCAGTCCCTCACCATCTTCACACCTGCCGAGCGCGAGCCCGTACCCCTGAGCTGGTTGCACAGCCCCTTCTGCGTGACCTTCAGCTTCTTCGGCGACGAGGGCGAGATCACGCTCGTCGATGCGAACTGGATCGAGGAGCAGCTGCGCACCAGCAGCATGACGGTCAGTCTGAACAAGCACGGCGAGATCAGTCAGATTTCCAAACTAGGAGGCACACCTGTTGAGGCGGTGACGCTGCTGCACTGCGGGAACGTAGCGTTACAAAAGGCCAAGGACTTCTCGACACTGGTGGACGAGAAGCTGGCGGAGGACGCCAAGAGGAGAGACAAGGGCGGTCTCATATCGGAGCTCTTGTCCGCGGAGAACGACAGGGTAGTGGATGCATAGACGGAGACGGAAAAGTCCAGGATGCGAAAAAAAATTGTAAAAATGATACCCAGCCATATACGCTTCGAAAGATCCAATGCCTGCAACAGTGAGAGCCGCTCCCTCGGGGCGGACGAACTCGTTCCCGTCGGGCCCTTCAACTCCAGCAACGCCAGTCTAGATGGTTTCCATTTCCTGTGAAAATCATGCCTCGTAAACAGCTGTCCATCGCTGATGGCTACCGCATCACCGGCGGCCGCGATTCCTTGTTCCATTTCACTCTTGATCTCACCCACTCCACCGCCTCCTTGACGCCCGTCCCCGTCAGCGCGCTGACAGGCAACACCCTTGAGTCGCGGATACTGCTCGCTTTCTCGCCCTCAAACACCTTCTTCACAAGCCCCTCCTTGATCCTCACGACTTCGACGCAGTCCTCGCGGTCCTGCTTATTGGCTAGCACCAGCACCGGCACGCCCTCGGTCTCGGAGTGCTGCAGCACGTCCTCGAGCACGAGGCGGCACTCCTCGAGACGCCCTGAGCTGTCGTTCTCGAGGGTCCCGTTTCCAATGTCGGTCGAGTCGATGATGAACACGATGGCGTGCGCCGAGGAGTAGTAGCTCTGCCACAGCCGGCGCAGCGAGTGCTGGCCGCCCACATCCCAGATCTTGAGGTACATGTCCGGCAGGGTGATGGTCGAGACGTTCTGTCCCACCGTCGGTACCGTCTTGAGCTTCGGGTCGGGGTTTCCAGGGAGGAAGAGGGACTTGACCTGTTCGTGGAAGGTCGTCTTGCCGGCATTGTCGAGGCCGAGGAGGATGACGGAGTACTCTGCGACAGGGAGTGAGAGGTTAGCCAGGGCGACGACGGGTGCAGGCTGCTGTGTTTCATGCGCGCGAACCTTCTTTGCTGGTGGCCAGGAGGTAGAGGCCCTTTGCGAGGTGATACATGGCGGGCAACTATGGCTCTCGAGCAGGCCGGCTGCGATGCACGGGATGGGTGGAGGGTTCGGTCGGCGCAATTGGCGGGCTGTGGATGGATGATCGAAGTGCGACGGGACTAGGTGCGGAAGCTTGTGCCAGCTTGTGCTGGTTCTGCGGCGCTGACACGCTGTCCAGTGCTATGGTGGTGGGGGGAGGGCGCTACAGGGGTTTCAGGGGATCTCCTGTCAGCGGCTGTTCAGCCCTATGGTACTGTCCGTTGCACCACGGCCCAGCCCATGTGTCATCTGGAGGCTGGACGACACGGCATCTCATCTCAACGATCTTTCATATAAATTGTATGATTCTACTCGATTCGAACTCATGATTTCGTGAGTATGGTACGAGAAATCCTCAAAAGTGCATGAACGTGAACGGCATATCGCATCTCAAGGCAAGGTAGGCCAACTCTATTCATCCAGGTCTAAATTCTTTCATGTCTAGATAAGTCGTCACCCAACAAACTCCTGATGTGTTACTCACATCTTCGGGATTACGGTCGCATAACCCTCAGCCACAGCGGTCAGAAGCCGGTTGGCAATGGCCGTAGGAGGGGGCAAACGGAGGCCACCCTCTTTGTACCCCTCCGGAGCAGGCTCACCAAGGCCACTGACGCCATACTTGAGGGCATCCCGGAGGACCTCGAGAGGGTACCACTGCGCATCCTCCAGCTCGGGGTCGTTGCCAAGATCGATCGTCTCGCCGTCGGGCAGAGCCTGGGCAATAGCACCGATCATCAAGCTCGCGGGGTAGGGCCACGGCTGGCTCGAGTGGATAACCACACGCCCGACCCTCACGCCGCTCTCCTCCAAGACCTCACGGCGGACAGATTCCTCGATGGACTCGCCGGGCTCGATGAAGCCTGCGAGGGTGCTGTACCAGTTAGGAGGATACCTCTTGTTGCGGCCCAGGAGCACCTTCTGGCCGTCGGAGGAGATGACCGCGGCAATCATGGTAGGATCCGTCCTCGGGAAGCTGATGTTGGAAACGCCCTTCCGAGTGGCGCATTCGGCCCGTTCGCGGGGAGTGTCCGACCCGGCAAGGTCGGTGGGAGGGCACAGCCGCTTGTAGCCAGCATTACCGGACAGGGACGGCTGTCCACAGCCTGCACAGAACTTGTGGCGGGTGTTCCAGTCTGTAATGGACCGGGCCTGGGCATAAATTCCAGCTGGTGCGTGCGTCAGCGACCGAGAAAGCGGGTGATTCAAGAGAAAACCTTACCGGCGTCCGGCTCGAGGGTCATGGGCCTCATGCCTTCGAGGAACTTGTGGCCTTTGCTAGCCTGCGCCTCGATAAGCTGGTTGGCGGCATCGGCATACGAGGCCCTGGGCGTCACATCCACAGCAAACCAGGGCCGGCCCTTGAGCTCTTTGTACTCAAAGGGCACATTTGCGCTCTCCTCGAGGCCTAGGAAGACGATGAGCGGTTTAGTAACTGTCGAGTCGAAGTTCTTGATGAGGTCCTCCTCGGAGGGGCCGAACGGGTCCTCGGTGGTCAGGGGCTTGACGTCCTCAAAAGACACAAACTGGACTTTTGCGGGCGCGTTGGTGAGGGGGCTAAGGTCCTTGAGGAGCATGAACTTTGTCTCCTTGAACTGGAACGCGGCCCTGAGGAAGGTGTGGTCGGTACGCAGCCAGCCCACACGGTTAAGGACGCTGCCTGCGAAGTAGTTGACGGTCTCCCGTCCGAACTTGCGGGACAGCATAGAGTCGGGGTCGTCGACTGGTGCGGGGAGTTTCCAAGCTTGAGAACCCATGCCGAGGTTCGGGGGGTGGTGACGGTGAAGCTATCGCGGGATTTCCGGGTATCGGTCTGGTGATCGACGTCGACGCGCTGGATATCCGGCGATAAGTTGAACTTGAGGAAAAGTGATTCTTGAAATATCACGACGATGTAAACAAGGGGATGGTTTGCAGCGTCCAGAAGTGGTGGGATATCAAGAGACGTGCAGCGGTGGTGGGCTCAAACGGCTGATTAATCAGTTTATCGACGGACAGGACAGGAAGAATGAGAGATGGGAGAGCGACCGAGCGACCCATTGCGATGGAGCCGTTACGGTGAATCACTAATCGCCGCCGAGTCCCGATAAATGGAGCTCCCGGTAGATCCCCCCCTTGTCACAGAAAACTGTGCGGGACGCTTGACACCCAAAAATGGACTTGTCATTGAATGGCCGGGAGTTGTCGCGGAGTTCGGGGCTAAGTGGTGGCCCAATAAGCGCGCTGGATGGTAGGTAGGCTTTATTGCTTCTGTAATCTGTCCTTCGAAGATTAGACGAGGGGTAAAAGTGTATAGATTCGAGCCGAGGGTTGTCAGTGGATGTCAGGTAGACAGAGGGTCTTCGCGGCCGATGTCCGAATTGTCCATCCGTCTCCTTTCAATGCCAGAGATAATTAAATGAGGACCAACTCCATCGAGGATGCGAAACAATGCATGGCAAAGCCCAAATGGCGAGTGTTATTGCGGCATCTCGGATGTGAGTGGAATCAGAGAGCATACGGAGTACACAATTCCACCTAGGAATAAGCTTATCCACTCACTCGACTTGATCCTCTAAAATGACCAAGGCGCAGGCATGGGGGTACAGAAGGAGAGCTTAGTCATGTGAGCATTCTTAGTGTGCAAAAGGTACGTAAGATTGAGCTGGGTGCGCCAAAACTCTGCATTGCGTACGTGCCTAGGTACATTACAGTAGTGTAGGCATGTAGGTACCTAACCTACCACGCAAGCAGGTAGAGCCAACTGTAAAAGGTAGATGTGCCAGCGCACCCTAGGCCCACTCCCCCGCATTTTGCTCTTTTTCCGGCGGTGGCAGTGACGTCGCGACATTTCGGCTCTTCACTAAAGATCCTAGCCAAGGGCCTCGCTTCCGCTGGGTGAGAGAGCCTGGCACCCCTCAAAGAAACTTGCAAGCGCACGTGGGACCCTGATGGTGTGTGTCCGCCCCCAGCCAAGCGGAAGCGGAAGCGGAAGCGGACGCGGGAATGCGCGAAATGGCGACCATCTTTGCGAAATGCTAATGTCTTTGCCGATGCGAAGAAAAAAAAAAAAAGTCTTCCCACTTCATCGCCAGACCCTGAGAGGACATTTCTACCTTCTCCTTTTTTCTTCTTTCTCTAGCCATTGCAGCCTCGGAAATTGCAAAGGCCCCTGGTTTTTATTTTATTTTTTATTCGTAGGCATCGCTGTCCATAATCTAGGCTTCTTTTACTGCTGAGATTCTTTTTTTTTTCCTTCCTCACGAGCTTCGTTCCCCCTTTGTTAATCCTTTTGTCGCATTCTCCTGTGTCCGAAGCCGCGTCATGGCTCCCCCTACCGCACCCCTCAACCTCGACGTTGAGGCCATATCTGGCATTTGCGGGTAAGTGCGCTCTTCTACCCCTCATGAGATTGTAATCACTCCATTACTGACACGATGCGCCTAGTTCCATCTCAATTGCCTGCTGGGTCGTTGTCTTCTCGCCCCAGATCCTCGAGAACTTCCGTAGAGGCAGCGCCGATGGCCTGTCGCTGCAGTTCATCATTGTCTGGCTGGCGGGCGATGTCTTCAACATCCTAGGAGCTGTCCTTCAGGGCGTCCTTCCTACCATGGTGAGTCAGAGCCAGCCCTTGCAAACCTGTTGCTTCCGCCTTACTGCTTCGAGAACCCCTGGCTAACGCTATGACTCCACTACCCCTAGATCATTCTCGCCATCTACTATACCATTGCCGATATGGTGCTCTTAGGACAGTGCTTCTACTACCGGGGGTTCACTTGGAGGGACGAAGTTGTCCCGCCAACCCCGAAGCCGCGCAACCGCACCGGCGAACCGAACGAGCGGACCGGCCTCCTCCCCTCGGCCCTCATCGACCGCGAGCGCCGAGGCTCGGATTGGTCCAGCCTCTCACCCGCCGCGCCAATGCGTCCCGAGAGCGTGCCCGCCCCTCCCCCGAGACCGACGACGACGATACAGGCACTCCTGTGGAACACCACCGCCGTCCTCATGGTCTGCGCCGCCGGCGTTGTCGGCTGGTTCCTCAGCCGCGAGTACTCACGCCCCGACGAGCCCGGCCACGAGACCAACGACAACGACGCCCTGACTTTCAACACCCTGGGCCAGGTCTTTGGCTGGCTCTGCGCCGTCTTCTACCTCGGCTCTCGCCTGCCGCAGCTTCTCCTCAACTACCGCCGCAAGTCCACCGAGGGCGTCAGCATGCTCTTTTTCCTGTTCGCATGCCTCGGCAACTTGACCTACGTACTCAGCATCTTCGCTTTCGAGCCCCGCTGCAAGCACGACGAGTGTGCTCCCAGCGAGGCGAGCGCCATCTACGGCCGCTACATCCTGGTCAACCTGAGCTGGCTGGCGGGAAGCTTGGGTACCCTGCTGCTCGACATGGGCATTTTTGCGCAGTACTTCATGTACCGCGCCGACGATTTCGCGACCGAGGATGAGGAGGAAGATGACCAGAGCATCGACGAAGACCAGTGGGACCAGCGTCCTCTGCTCGCGCGTGGTGATTCCGTCTACCACCCTTAAGGGGCGGTACAATCCCCCCCTCCCCCCACTGCTTAATTGTAAAGGACTGTATTTGCGAAAGTGTTTTCGGGCGCACGCGATGCACGGGAAAAGTGCTGGTGGTCATTATTTGATATTAAAAGTATTTATTGCATTACAGGTTTTTGGGAGCTGGGTTTAAAAGTACATTACCATTCGGAAAATCTGGAAAATCAGGAAAATCAAAAAGGCACGGGCTTGGAGACGTAGATCATCTGACGTAGATCATTTGATAATCTAGAAGAATCAATTATTTCTTCAATCGGTTATCAGCCATTGACCTCTACCCAATCCTCTTCCAGGCAAAGCTGGCTCCCCCCATGAGAGCAGTAACGCCCGTGAACACAATCAACGTCCCGTAGCCACTGCCATACCCGAACCCGGCTTCCCCCTTCCACGGGGCGCCCTTGATCAGCGCCTCGCTCAGTGGGCCCGAGATGACGTTCCCGACCCCCCGCCCCGCAGCCAGCATGCCAAACACCATGCTCGGATCGACACCGCGCTCCCGCTCCCGCTCGTGCTCCACCACGGCCTTCATGATCCCCGGCCACGCCGACGTGTACGCCCCGGCGAACAGCCCGTACACGACGCAGAAGACGTACAGCACGCCGAGGTTCGACGAGAACCCCCACGCGAGGAACGTACCGGCGGTTGCCCCCGCGCTGGCGAGCATCAGGCACGAGGGGGCCGAGAAGCGGTCCACGAGGGACCCCATGACGATGCAGCCGAAGACGGAGGCGACGTTGACGAGGAGGATCGTCAGGGCCGAGGCGTAGGTCGATGCGCCGAGGACGGACTGCGCGTAGGAGGGCAGGTAGATGCCCGGCAGGAAGAAGCCCATCGCCTCGACGATGCTGGCGACCTGGTACAGCGCGAAGGGACGGCACAGCATGAAGCGCAGGTTGCTGAACGGGCGCGCGTGCGTCGCCTGGGAGACGGGCAGTCTCGGCTTGATGAAGAAGGCCAGCGGCGCCGTGAGGGCGAAGAGCAGGCCGGACCACAGGCGGAGGGTCGTGCGGAAGCCCACGTGGCCGAGGAGGTACTCCATCAGCAGCGGGAGCACGACGCCGGCGAGGCCCGTGCCGGACCACATTATGCCGTAAGCAAAACCCTTGCGCCGGACGAACCACTCATCGATGTAGAGGATGCAGGGGCAGTAGGCGACGGCGCCGCCGATGCCGTAAAAGACGCCCTGGGTGACGATGAGGTGGGTGACGGTGCGGGAGAAGGAGGACGCGGCGAGGGCGACGCACATGACGATCAGGCCGAGTATCGGCGCGTGGCGGGATTCTCGGGGGAAGAGGCGGAGGAGGCCGATGACGACGGGGCCAGAGAGGTACATGATGCCCTAGGGTTGTTGTCAGTATACAGCATCCCGTCCAGCAACGAGACGTCTCATAAGACACGGCGACCGGATATTCACCATCGCACAGGTGCCGATGACGGCAATATTGGGCTGCCCCGCGAACGGCGGGTTCGTCGAGTAGTGGTTCTGGAAGACGCCAAAGGCGAAGGGGAAGCCCCAGACGAGCATCTCGATGGCGAAGCAGGCGGCGAGGAAGAGCCAGGCCTGCCTGCCGCCGTCGACGGGCGGGAGCGAGGGGAACTCCTGGCTTTCGTCGTGCGAGTCGTGGACGCCGGTGCCGGTGCCGGTACCGGATTCAGCCGTCGAGTACGGGCCACGGAGGGGCGGGGCCGAGATCGCGGTGTGTGGGGTGAGGTACTGGAGCTCCGTCTGCGAGGACATGGCTGCGTTTCTCGGGGGGGGGGGGGGGGGTTTCGAGAATTTCGATTGAAAAAGTTACCGTCTCTGCCTGTCAGCCCTCCAAACTCGTTTTCTTTTTTTCCCGACCTCTCAAGTGACAAACGTTGTAGTTTGGCGGGCAGCATGGCGGCTTTAAAGCTGACGGGCCGGCCGGTCTAGCTAATTTCGACGCCGCGGCGTGAACCCACAATACGCCCTCCGCTTGACTTGTTGACAGGGGTCGATCAGCGGTCAATTTGAAGGAAGGCGTGAGCTTGTAGCATTACAACAGCGGACAATTAGGGGTCCAATAGGATCCGGGGGCGCATCTGTTTTGGAATTGGTCGACTGCGGTTTCCACCAAGCACCCGGAATTCCACAGTTGTTGCTTAGCAGCTCATCGTCCAACAGACCAGGGTCCGTCTTCCGGCCAATGGCGTGGGCGCGCATAAGCGAAACCCCTCAACCATCAGCCGTCGTCTGCTCGGCCTGATCAGCTGAGAGTGGCCTCGATGAGAATGACAACTCCTACCCGTACCATTCTCCGCCGTTCAAACACCCAGCGCAATGGGGGATGACGGTAGCGGGTCATCTCGCACTGGCGCCCGGTCAGAGCTGCACGGCACCGGCATTCAACACTCGGGCTCCGGCAATTTCAGCGCTCACAACATCTACATTGGTAGGCCCCCTCGTACGCATCATCGCGTCGTGCTGACCTACGAGACAGGAGCAACATCCGACGCCGACGCCAATTTCCTTAGGGATCTACGAGTGACCGATCCGCGCGATGACAAGGCGCGTATCGAGCGCACAAAGGGCGGTCTGCTGCGAGATTCGTACCACTGGGTACTCGACCACGATGACTTCCGCCGTTGGCGCGACAGCGAACAGAGCCGACTGCTCTGGATCAAGGGCGACCCGGGCAAGGGCAAAACGATGCTGCTCTGCGGTATCGTCGACGAGCTGGAGAAGCTGCCCGCTCGCACGCTATCCTGCTTCTTCTGTCAAGCGACTGAGCCACATCTGAACAACGCGACGTCTGTGGTCCGCGGGCTCATCTATCAAATCTTCGATCAACATCCTTATCTTATTGGGCGAGTACGGAAGAAGTACGATCATGCGGGAAAGTCTCTTTTTGAAGACACCAATAGCTGGGACGCCCTGTCGAAGATGCTGTTCAGCGTCTTGGGAGAGCTAAGCCTGCAGAAGACGTATCTGGTCATCGATGCGCTCGACGAATGCGAGGGAAACCTTAATCAGCTTCTACACTTGATCGTTCAAGTATCATCGTCGTCATGCGCGAAGCTGATCGTCTCCAGCCGCAACTGGCCAGACATTGAGGATGCCTTGGCCGATGCTACGCAGAAGATTCGGCTCTGCTTGGAGCTGAACGAAGAGTCGATCTCAGCCGCCGTCGGTAATTACATAAAGTACAAGGTGGATCAGCTGGTGCGGTCAAAGAAATATGACCGTGAAACACGAGATGCTGTGCAGCAGCATTTGACGTCAAACGCAAACGACACGTTCCTATGGGTAGCATTGGTCTGCCAAGAGCTTGCAGACCCGAAGGTCCGGAAATGGCACACCCGCGGCAAGCTGCTCTCGTTCCCACCAGGGCTCGATGCACTATACGCGCGCATGATGGACCGCGTTTTCAACTCAGACGATGCCGATATCTGCAGAGAGGTGCTCGGCCTCGTGTCGGTTACCCATCGCCCGCTCAGCCTGGTGGAACTCGCCTCTTTTGCCGACTCGCTAGAAGACTATGCTGAAGATGCCGCCTCTCTGGAGGAGATTGTCGCTACTTGTGGGTCTTTGCTGACTCTTCGAAATGGGGTTGTCTACTTTGTGCATCAGTCGGCCAAAGACTTTCTGCTCAAGAACGAATCCAGGATACACCCGGATGGCGTAGCACGAGAACACCGTACTATCGCCTTGAAATCGATCAAGGTTATGTCGAGAACACTTCAACGTGACATATACAACCTGCGCGCCCCAGGATTCTCTGTTATAGATGTCAAACCACTCGACCCTGATCCACTCGCACCAGCTCGGTATTCATGTGTCTACTGGGTCTACCACTTCGCGGACGGGGCCCCTTCCGGACAAGAACAGGACAGCGGACTGGTTTATGCTTTTCTGAAACAGCATTATCTTCACTGGCTGGAAGCACTCAGCCTTCTCGGTAGTATATCTGAGGGTATCCTTCAGGTGTCCAAGTTGGCTCATCTACCCGAGGTTCGTCTTAGTAGATATTACAAGCTACATTGTAGTCCATACTAACTCTAAACAGGCGTCATTAGACTTACACACGCTTGCTTGGGATGGGCTCCGATTTATTCGGACGCACAGAGAAAGCATAGCAAACTATCCCCTCCAGGTGTATGCTTCCGCACTCATTTTCACCCCCATGCGTAGCTTCGTAAGGGAGCTGTTTCGTCATGAGGAGCCTGCATGGTTGGTGGTGAAGCCAGATATGGAAGATGAGTGGAATTCCTGCCTTCAAACTTTTGAGGGCCACAAGGACGTTGTCGCCTTAGTGGCCTTCTCAGGCAATAGCAAACAGCTAGTTTCAGCATCAGCTGACTGCACAATTAAGACCTGGGACCTTACAACTGGCCAGTGTCTTCAGACACTAGAAGGCCATACTGAGGCTGTTGACTTAGTTGCCTTCTCAGGTGATAGCAAACAGCTAGTGTCAGCATCATATGACTGCATAGTTAAGATCTGGGACCTTACAACTGGCCAGTGTCTTCAGACACTAGACGGCCATACTGAGGCTGTCAACTCAGTTGCCTTCTTAGGTGATAGCAAACAGCTAGTGTCAGCATCAGATGACTACACAATTAAGACCTGGGACCTTACAACTGGCCAGTGTCTTCAGACACTAGAAGGTCATACTGATGCTGTCAGCTCAGTAGCCTTCTCAGGCAATAGCAAACAGCTAGTGTTAGCATCATATAACTACACAATTAAGACCTGGGACCTTACAACTGGCCAGTGTCTTCAGACACTAGAAGGCCATACTGCTGCTATTAGCTTAGTAGCCTTCTTAGGTGATAGCAAACAGCTAGTTTCAGCATTATATGACTGCATAATTAAGACCTGGGACCTTACAACTGGCCAGTGTCTCCAGACACTTGAGGGCCATACTGGTGTTGTTACGTTATTCGCCTTCTCAGGTGATAGTATGCGACTGGCCTCTGCGTCGCAGGACAGCACAATTAAGATCTGGGATATAGCAGGCCAGTGTCTCCAAACACTCACAGGTCATACTGGTGATGTTACGTCAGTAGCCTTCTCAGGTGATAGTATACAACTGGCCTCTGGGTTGTGGGACAGCACAATTAAGATCTGGGATACAACCGGCCAGTCTCTCCAGACACTCAAGGACCATAGTGATGAAGTCACCTTGATAGTATCTTCATATGATGGTACACAGCTAGTTTCAGCATCATATGACTGCACAATTAAGACCTGGGACCTTGCAACAGGCCAGTGTCTTCAGACACTAGAGGGCCATACTAAGGCTGTCGAATCAGTAGCCTTCTCAGGTGACAGCAAGCAGCTAGCGTCAGTAGCGTGGGATAGAACTGTTAAGGTCTGGGATATTGTAACCGGTCAGTGTCTCCAGACAGTGGGATTACTTTCTTGGTGTGCGGATGAGGATGTACGCTTTTCAACAAGTGGCGCACAACTCTATATTGGGGAAGAGGTCATCGACCTCAAAAGTCCATGTACCACAAGCACCACGCAACAACCACTGGCGGCCGTTGCCGCCGAAACGCCTCAACTTCATGGCTACAAAATCAGCGATGATGGAGTGTGGATTACAAGAAACTCTGTGGGTCTATTGTGGCTACCATCAGAGTACCGTTCGCATCTTTCGTGGGAACGGGCTGTGGCAGGGTCTACGGTGGCCATCGGCTGTAGATCAGGTCGGGTATTGTTGTTTCGTTTCTCCGAGAGTGAGCAGGGTATTTAGGAATATCTCTCTCTTATCTTTTTTCTATAAGTTGACTTTGGAATCTACGGCAGCTTGTTGGCATTTCAACTTGTCGAGATGCAATAATAATATGAGGGCCACTTTGATTTCTCCTTATATCACCAAGTAGAATGCTCTTACCCAACCTTGTTGTGATGATTGCATACCTGTATGATTTGAGAAGTCTCATCCCAATTGCATACAATTAATCACATGAAATGCACGACTTGTCGGCTTGTAGAGAAGTAGACTTGTAGCGTTCCATGCGACCTGACTCGGAAAGGAAACTATGCAGTGGGTGTAACCCCCCTCACATGCTTTATGCTCTCAAAAGAGGTCTCTATAGTTTGGCCGTCCCACAGATGTTGGCATCTTTGGCGAAGAACCCGAGTCGACTTCCTGGGGGATGGGAATGGTGCTTGATGTCGTTCCGTGGAAGGTCACACTTATTGAAGTTGAAATGCCGTTACACATCCGTCGATCACGCGCTCGGGGGGTGCATTCTTGAGAGACCACTCGACAAATCGCGCCAGGAACGGTTCGGGCTCCGTTTGTTCAACAATAGAAAGCGAGAGAGACGGGCGGGGCTACGGTTCTATATGCCGGTTGATGTCGCAGCAGCTGAACTTTTTGGTGGCGCAGGTAGCAACGAGACCGGCAGGCTGTGCAATAATGAAGCTATTGGCTCAGGCGGGTTCTCATTCGGCGTTACGAGCTTTGTCATAGGCTTCTTGACTGGGGTGTGGCCTATGTCAAGAATCAGCCCACAAAAGGGTCCTGGTCTTCGATGTGACGCTATTTTTGAGTATTGCCTTTGAATATGCCGGCGGAGAGTATACGGAAGCTGACCGTTGTTGTGGCTTGTATCTCACTAAGATCAACGAGTCGTGTTGAACGGGATGGGCCAGGGCCGGGGCACAGCCGGCGCTGGAAGGACATAGAAGGAAAATGTCATTGAGATCAATTAGTAGTATCAATTATATTGGAGAATCTCGGAAATCCGGCAGGTATATGTATATAAAAGTGACAAAAGTGAAGGCGCTCAAGCTTGATAATCAGATCTGTTATGCGGCTCTACGCAGCTATTGTCTCATTGCTACGGGATCGCTGACTGGCACTGGTTAATAATGTTTACCGCCTCTCCGCTCACAACGCTATCATAAGAACGTAAAGTTAGATGCAGATCCAATATCCCAAGTCACGAGCAGCTGTCATGTTTCCAGGGTTTCAGCCTTTTCGGAGCCAAGTTTAAGTACGCCGATAGCTTTCCAGCGCTCTCGCAGCTCGCCCCGTCCCATTGGGCCCCCCATCCGAAGTGCCACTGTTTCGAATTGAATCGCGGAGCCCTATACCGTATCTTCTCGTTTAACTGACACTCCACTTTTATTTAGGTTGGCCTATTAAATGGTTCTGTCAAACATCTGATGCTGGCTCTTTTCGGTAATTGCCTATTATCGTTAGCCCGAAAAGAAGTGGAATGTCAGTTAAACGAGTGTATACGGTACTCAAAACCTGCCGCTACGACTCTACCGAGCACATTGTCCATCTGGGGTCGGGCTCGTTAACGTCAACTGAGGCTGAACGAGCAAGAAAAACGAGGCACTCTGGACTGAGATCCTGGCACACCCCGTTGTAGCATCCGCAATACGACGCCAGATTGTTGCGCCGGGCTCGGCGCAGCAATACTGCGCCTCCCCTGGGCAGCCGATGAGACCGGCGGTGCTTATCGCGCCGGGGGGACCTTCATCTACTGGTAACGAGTCGGCATCGCTCGATCGGGGCCCTTCGGCGTCCTAGAAAGCCAGCGGCAGTTATAGTTCCAGGGTATCTCGAAGAAATCTAGAAGAAACCAGCTTGCCCTGCAATAGTTCGCGCCGCCCCCCAGCGACGCATCTAGCCTCGCGGAACATCGGCTCATCTTAATACTGTAGCATAAACTCAGATAGGGCCCAGACTCCAAAGGGCAAACCATCTTGATACCATCTCGAGGGGTAGAAGTGATGTAGGGCCAGCAACAAGCTTTCCTGTGCAAACCCTCCCAGCAGCTTGTCATACCGATGCATCCCGGAATCGCTGAGGTCATTCCACCCATTCCCTGTCCCTCCCCTTCGTGACCAGGGACCACCCCCCCCCCCCCACATTTATTCGACTGCTGCGCACCACCACGAGGTCAAGCTCAGGCCCTGTCTCAGCGTAGTCCTGGTAAGGATATCCCGAGCTCGCATCACGCTACCAGCCGGTCCTAACCGCGGGATAACTTTTGCGTGCTTATGATGCGCGTATCTGTACACGTTAGTTCCTATGCAGTCAAAGAAAAAGAGACGTTCCACATATTCCGTACTGTACACTAGCTGGACTCTTACCAATCCTCAAAAACACACCGAACCGGCGGGTCGCCTGACGGAAGCCTCGCCCATTCTTGCATCGTTCTCTCGCATTCCATATGTCCACCCCGATGTACGTGTACCTACGTACGGGGAACTATTGACTTACATCATGCGTCGTATACCACCTGGGTAGGTGTCACAGGGAGAATGCGCCGGAAACAAAAGAAAGGAGGAGAAAAGGTCAACCCGGCGCAGGATGCATGCCGCCAGCCCACGGTCGCCCCTCTGGCCCGGCCTCGAATCACGGTTTCCTGCCCTTTTTTCCCATCATGCGAAGGGGTGGCCCGGGACCTCGGAGCCACGCACCTCAAACTTGGTTTCCCAAATCTTCTTCCATGCCTTCCTGCCCGTTCGTTTCCTACCACTTTCTTCTTAATAAGAGTAATTGATCGCTGTCTCGCACGTCCTCTTTGTAACATCCCGGTCGCCGTCTTAGTTTTTTGCCTGGATATTTTCTTTTTTCCCCCTCCCGACGTATCGCACAACCTCACTTACACACATACACACATTCATCATCCCTATTATTATCACCATCACTGTCGTTTCTCGAACTACTGGCCGGGGTCGAGTCCGTGACCCCACGAGATACACTTACACTCGCGCAGACGGAGGACGCTGCGCTTTAATCAAGAAGAGAACAACGCCGCGAAGCTTTCGCCAATAATACGTAATCCCAGAACGACAAGATGTCGGCCCAGATCGAGTACAATCAGATGCCAAGCGAGCCTGCCCCAGCCGTGCTCCCGGAACAGAAATTCAGCGCAGAGCAACCTGTGAGTTCCCAAGCAACCATCTCTCGTTCGCCAGCTGTCGAGACGATGGCGCACTCTGTCCCGCATCGAGTTGTTCCTCTTTCCCATCTGCCCGTGGGCAACTGCGCTCCAACATGTCCATGATTGTTCGGACCCGAGCTAACCGGCAACGGTCTGCAGCGCCCGAACCAGCCCATGACGATGGACCAACAAACCCACCTTCGAGGAGGTGAGGCCGGAGTAAGTAGACACCCCCTTCCTCGTAAAGCCCATCATGCCCTCAAACATTGCCCCCTTCCTTCAGCCTTGACTCCCCCTCATACCTGCGCAAAAAGAACCACATCGATCTCTATCACGTTGCGTGAGAAGGAGAACAAAGGCCGGGGAAGATGATGCGCGAGACCCCCCCTCCCCCTCTCGGCCAAGCACGATGGCTAACAGCCGACCCCCTCCTGTATCAAGGCCCTCTGCTGCGGGCTCTGCGCCGGCCTCTGCTGCTACGAGTGCTGCTGCTGCTGCTGCTAGTTCCCTCTCCGATTAGTGACGTTCAAGGATGTTGTCGAAACCGAGGGAGTCAGGAAACCGATGACCTCGAGTAAACGGATCGAAGCTACCTCCGAAATGAGATACGAAGGTGGGATCGAGCCCGAGAAGTCCCGCCGTCGCCGGTACGCGCCACAGTGCGGGAGGTGGTTGATACGGGGAGGGGGCGGGTTACGGTAAAGAGGGAAGCAAGGCGTACACCACATCATATATATATACCAGGGCATCGGGTTTTTGTTTGTTTTTTTGTTTTATATCACAGATTTTGGTAGCATATATTCTTTTGAACAATCGTGCTTCTTTGTTTTTGTCTTGTAGGGTATTCTGAGCTCGTCGTACATCGCTCTCACGCCAGTGCTCGGCGGACACTATCTCTCAGCTACCCTTTCTCCCTCAACGTGCCCAACCGTATCGCACAACGGTTGTATCGTTGCTGTTGCCCAGACTTACACAGACTTACGTCAACCACAGCATAGCTCTGTCCCCCGTCACTCGTCCTATCCAAAAACCGTATCTTTCCTCGCTTACAGCTTGGAGCGGACGTCCTTGGCGGGCCTGTCGCAAGTCAGCAATCAAAGTATAAATAAAAATAAAATCAAGAGACGAACCCTCCCCCCCTGGAGATCTCGGTTTCCCAAAAAGGGAAAAAGAAGAAAGAAAGAAAGGAAAACTTACGCGGCAATCTTCTCCGTCTCCTTCTTGATGGCGGCGCCCAGCTCAGGCGTGACCCGGGAGAACATCTCGTAGGTGCGCGCGCGGACGTCGGGGCGCGCGCCGGCCAGGGCGCCCGACACGTTGGAGACGAAGTTCTCCTGCTGGCCCGGCTGGCGGCCGAGGACCCGCCAGAGGCCGAGCGCCTGCTCGTAGTCCTCGGGCTTGACGGGCCCGAAGAGGTCGGTGACGACCTCGCCGGCCCACTTCTCGTGCGGGGTGTTGACGGCCTTGACGGGCTTGTAGTTCAGGGGGCGGAAGCTTGAGGGGTAGTTCTGCGGCAAGGAGGGTCAGCCAGCTGCTTCGTTCGTGCCGTAAAGATGGAGCACAAATATATGCAAAAAGAAAGACGAGGGTGGCAGGACGTACGGGGTTCGCGCCGTAGTTGCCGTTGACGGCCATGGCGCCGTCGCGCTGGAAGGGGTTGAAGGCGTTCAGGGGCTTGTTGACGGGGATCTGCTGGTAGTTGACGCCGAGGCGGTGGCGGTGGGTGTCCGGGTAGGAGAAGAGGCGGGACTGCAGGACGGGGTCGGCGGAGGGCTCGACGCCGGGGACCAGGTGGGAGGGGGCGAAGGCGGCCTGCTCGATCTCGGCAAAGTAGTTCTCGGGGTTCTTGTTGAGAGTGAGCTTGCCAAAGGGCCGGAGGGGCACCTCGCTCTGCGGCCAGACCTTGGTCAGGTCGAAGATGTTCCACTTGAGCTTCTCGGCCTGCTCGGGGGTCAAGGTCTGGACGTAGACGGTCCAGCTGGGGTACTCGCCCCGCTCGATGGCCTCGAAGAGGTCCTGGGTGTGCCAGTCGGGGTTCTCGGACGCCATCTTGGCGGCCTCGGCGTCGGTGAAGGTCTTGTTGCCCTGGTCCGTCTTCAGGTGGATCTGGACGTAGACGAAGGAGCCGTCGGGCTTGGTCCACTTGTGCGTGTGGCCCGAGTAGCCGTTCATGTGTCGGTATGAGTAGGGCGTTCCGCGGTCGGAGAACAGGTGCATCAGCTGGTGGATGCACTCCTGATTTGTGGACCAATAATCCCACATCTGCGATGTTAAATACGACGTTAGATACGTTTCTCACAGAAGCGATTGTCTGCATACCATCGTGGCATCCTTCAGGTTGGTCTGAGGGTGGCGCTTCTGAGTGTGGATGAAGACCTACAGCATGTTAATTTCAAGCTTTACAGACGCATACCAGGCGGGGCAAATATTACCGGGAACTTGACCGGGTCGCGGAGGAAGAAGATGGGCGTGTTGTTGTAGACCCAGTCCCAGTTACCCTCTTCAGTGTAGAACTTGACGGAGAAGCCTCTGGGGTCGCGCGCGGAGTCGGCGGAGCCCTTCTCGCCGCCGACGGTCGAGAACCGGACGAGGGCCTTGGTCTTCTTGCCGACCTGGTTGAGCATGTTGATGGAGGATATGTCGCTGATGTCGTGGGTGACCTCGAACTGCAGCCGCGATGTCAGCAATCCCGGTCACGTTGCCCCGTCCCTCTTTCAACAAAACGAACCTCGCCGTAGGCGCCAGCGCCCTTGGCGTGGACGACGCGCTCGGGGATGCGCTCGCGGTCAAAGTGAGCCAGCAGGTCGATCAGGTGGAAGTCCTGGAGCAGCAGAGGGCCCTGAGGCCCGATGCGCTGCCACGCCTGGGCGTTCTCGACGGGGGCGCCATTGGAGGTGGTGTAAGTCGGCTTCTCGTCGTACCGGTAGGTGGAAGGAGGCTTCTCGTCGTCGGAACCCATCTCGTCGGTCTGTTGTCGTCTTCGTTCGGGTGTGAAGCAGAGGGTGAGGTGAGGCTTTGAGTGAGTGTTGGTCGGCTTGAATCCAATTGAGCACTAACAGACACGGGGCGGCGAGTGGAAAGTCGGATCGGGAAACAGATCAAGTGAGATCTCTAGGGAGGGTCCGCTGGAAGGGAAATGAAAAAGATAAATACTCTATCGTACGGAGTACAGCAAGGCAAAAAGACAGCGGGTCCCTCCCGTCACCTCGGCCCCTCCCTCTGCTGCCCAGTTTCTTCAGCTCCTAGAACCGGCGTTCTCTCAGGTTTGTGAAGCTCCAGTAGAGTATCTGGCCAATGGGAGGACCGGTGAATGCAAGCTTGGGACGGCCGAGGTCCACCGGGAGGCTCCATCGCGAGATTTCCTAGCGTCACTCGGCCACCCCGCTTGGAGATAGTAGCTCCACCCCCTTGTTGCTGAAATGTGCGGGTGAAGCTTACGACATTGAGCGGCCTTGCCATGACTGGGGAAGTCAGGCGAACATTTACTATGTAAACTCACTCGCCTTGCTCGAGGGGCAACTCGCCTTGACGCACACGGTCGCGAGCCTCTCTTTTGCATTCGGTCATTGTAATATCGAGCAAACCCATGACACCGTGGGATTCTGCTGCTTCATTGGGAGTGAAAGCTTGCTCCAGAACTGACCCATGTCAACGCACCCTACCCAGTCCTTTTAAACCGTAATAATCATTCCACGCATCCAATAAATCCAAGGAAAATATCCTGGCCAGAATTAGGCCCCAAGTTGATCGTGTCTAAAGGTTGTTTACAGAGCTCCAGATCTAGCAAGAAGTTTGCATTAGATCACATTGGATCTGTACCAAGAATTGGCGATGTGATAAGATCCAAGGGGCTAGAACCTAGTGACTATGCAACTATACGTGGCGGAATGTGTATGAGCAGTCTCAACATATACCACAAGGGGCCCAATCGGCAACTCTATTGATTTCCGTTAGGGGTTCCGGGCTCCCACCACTCACTGCCAAATTGAGTTTTGCAACGGTTGCACCAGTCATGACCCGCTCCTGCTGACCTCCTACATGTTACCGCGTAGTGTAGATGTGTTGACCGAGGGGTTGGGAACACTCTACGATGCGGTCGATTATTGCGTAGACGATGCCGTATCTGCCAAGGGTTTCTTTCGGAGAACGCCCTCCAGGGCACGACCATGAGATGTGCGATGTATCAAAGAACAAAGGGCATACGGCGTCCAACTGACGGTGCCCCCCATCCACGGCGACTGCCCCTCGGTTTGGGAATGGAGCACAGGACGAATTAGCAGCAGCCAGAGCTGTGCGTTATCGCCGACATCGTGCGGGGCGCTATCGCCGCGGCAAAGGTCGCGCCCACACCAGAGACTTCTAGCGACCGCCAAGGTCTGCATTCAGGGAGACAAAACTTCTATCTCGCCGCGTCACATGGCCGCTCGTCGGGTTCGGCTGACGAGCCGACGGGGCCCGGCACGCTTCCCGGGCGCCGCGGGCTCTGCTTTGGGGCAAGGGGTGCGTGCTGTCGGCCAAGCGCCGAGGACTGAGACTTCGCATCTCGGCGATATCCCGGGGGTGGCCGGAATCTTGCATTGAGCCCGAAGGCTTGCTGGTGTGCATGCTATTGGTTGTCTATACACCAGAACGGACAAGACTCTAGGGACGAACCCCCTCCCCCCGATCGAGTCACGAAATGCTGCGCTGGGAGACAAACAGAACATGAAAGATCCTATGTCCGCCCGCTAGTAAGAGACAGAGTTTCTGTTTCAACCCGGGGAGGATCCACGTGGCTCCGCGGAAGAATGGAGGTGACGTTCCCTCAGCAAGACAGACGGCGCCTTCCGGCGCGGAAGCCATTCCGAAAGTCAAGCCGTTCCGGAGCTGCAAGTCTCAAGCTGCACTCTGTTCGTAGGCAGCTTAGAAGAAGAGCTCCGGGAGGTGATAGGGGTCAGCGCATTGGAATTCCCCAGTGACATCTGCCCAACAACCCTGTCAACTGCCAGCGACATAACACGACGTCGAATGCACGACGCCCCCGCTCTCACAGCTATAAGCTCATAGTCAACGAATTTGACGTAGACCTTGGCCGAGAAGCGCTTGCTATCCGTCATGCAATAGGTGTTAACGAGCTATTGAATATCAGAGCTCGGCTTGCCGAGCGGAATACCAAGTCTTGAATCAAACCCGCACCATCACCGCATCGACTTGGTGCTTGTCCTCTCTTGTAAGAGCCATTGCGGTGTTATGGTCGGATGAAACGAGATAAAAATACTTCCGGTGCTGGAATGGAGGGGAAATAAACGGGTTGTTTGCCCGTCATAGAAAATATGGAAGCGTCATACAGGGAATGTACGGCGAGCAACCTCAACCAGTGTCACTGACTTTTTGGCTGACGATCCTCGTCTTCGCCCACCGAGAAGGTGTAAGTAGGTCTCTATCGGCTTGGCCGACTTGGCAGTTCTCGTGAAAGGCAAATTTTACTTTCGTCGGACAGGTGAAGAGGGCAAGTCCAGCGACATATGATGTACGACGCGCCGGCTCGGGAGGTTGACGGCAGGACCGTCGACGTACGCCCTAAGGCCTTGCCTATTACAACCTCCGGCCATGCGGAACGAACAGGCTCATCATCCTCCCCCAACAACCCCCCCCCCCCCCCCCCGACTTCTGTCAAGTGTTACGGGTGGCTCTCTCCCCGCTCTATGACAGTCTTCGCCCCGAAACAGAACGGACGAGCTGGAGGCGTCACTCCCAACTCACCCCTTCAAAACCACGGTACCACACGAATCACGACACCACACGACGAAGGACAAGCGGGAGGGAGCAAACGTGGCGAATTCTCCGCGATGGGAAGGCCAGCGTCACACCCGCATCCGACCCGGACCCGAACGCGTCCTCTATCCGCGGTGGATGCTCAAGTAGGGGGTTTCCATGAGCGTGTGGCTGTGAGAACACATGAGTCTATCACAAAATTCACCGTCACACGCCATATGTGATTCACAGCAAACCCCTTTTCATCGCGGCTACAGGAAATCTCGCCGCCCGCGTTGCCGAAGCAGACTAAAAATCCTATATAACACTCCCCCAGCTCTGTTTTGGTACAGGAAAACAATATCTGGTATTTTCAGTAATCTTTCGAGAAAAAAAAAGGCTTTGAGATACAAACTCTGTGGACCTTCAGCCACCATAGAACAGGCCCATCATGCACCTCGCAACACCCCTCTCTCTCCTATTCATTCTCACCGCAGCAACACCCAGCCCGGCCCCGATACCGCCCCTGGACGATGACGACACCGTCTGCCCTGAGCGCACGATCGCCTGCGGCCCAGTCTGCGTCCGGGAGAACCAGCGCTGCTGTAACGACCCCTCCACCGCCGACTTCTGGTCATGCGAGAGCGCCCAGTCGTGCGGCCCGTCAAGGAAGGAGGGCTGCCGCAACCCGGTAGACCAGCAACCTTCCCCTTCCCCTCCCACTTCCCCGTTGCCGTCCCCGCCGCTCGGACCGCCGACCATCACGGTGTCGTCCACCGGGACGCGGACGCGGACGGTTCACACGCAGCCGACGCCTACGGGCGCGGACCAGCAACCGCCGACGTGCTTCTTCGACGTGCCGCTCGCGAGGCGGGCGCCCTCGGAGGGGAAACATATGCCCTGCCCCACGTCGCTCGTGTCCTCGCTCGACACCCCGGCCGGGGTCCCCACCGAGACCGGGGCCGCCGCCGCCGTCCCACACCGGCGGTGGGATATCGCGGCGCTTGCTGCCGCCGCGGCAGGGGCGGTTGCGTTGCTGGCTTAGCCTGCTCTGGAGGTCCCCATAATGATAAGGCAGTTGCTCGATAAAGTCGGCATTGCTGTTTTCTTGTTTCAAATAGGGCTCGCTCATGCTCATGAATCCAATCCGAGAATTATAACCACATCAGGTGTCTGCTGCGTGTGAGCCTCGATACTCCAGCGAGGTCTTGTGAAATGTTTCTTACGCACCTCTTCCACCTCATTTCCACAGTCATATCGTGCGGCGAAGACACAGACAACAAGGACGACCATGTCAGAACAGAAACCAGGGACGCGGTACGACGTCCCCGTGCTGGCATTAGAAGCGTATAAACTGATAAAACGACGAATCAACTCGAGTTTCTCTCTGTCTGTCTCGTCCCGGCCATGCCCTTTGACCGCCTCATGCAAATGTATCTGCGCAATGTATGTATCCATCCGTTTCCGATCGAGAGCCCATCGTTCCAACGAGGGCGTTGACGCCCATTAACAACTGGCGAGGCTGACCGGTTAACACTGCCCCCCAATTCCACGTTCATCACTCTGTTACACCCTCGACGAAGGCGAAACGCCGATGCTTCGGTACCCTGAGGCCGAAAAAAATCCTACGTGGGGCCTTCTCCCTAACCAAAAGACACCGACAAAAACACACCACTGATGCGCAGCTCTGCCCGGCTAAAGGGGCCGTATTATGAATCGTGAAGGGCGTTATATATAATGGTTGCTGGGGGTTGGCTGGCGTATGGGGTTCAAGGAGCCGAGACTCCTTGTTTATGACTCCTGGTTGACAGTTTGCTACAAGACGTCAGTACTCTGTTGAGGAAAATGACTTGCCCCTCAAGAAAGCCAAGGGGCGGGACGCCAACGTACGACAAGCCAGTCCATGCCCTCCGTAACACCACTGCCGTCGACGGCGGAGCAGGCCATGATGCTCCAGTTCCGGTCGCGCAGCTCGCCCAGGCGCAACGCCTCCGAGATCTCACCCGCGCCCTTGGCGCCGGGCTGATCCTGTTTGTTGGCGAAGACAAGGAGCGAGGCGTCCTTGAGCTCCTCCTCGTTGAGCATGGCGCCCAGCTCCTCGGCGGCGGTCTGCAGACGCTCGATATCGGTCGAATCGACGACGAAGATGACGGCGGCCGTGTTGGCGTAGTAACACCGCCAGTATGGGCGGATACTGGTCTGGCCGCCTAGATCCTACAGGCAAGGCGCGCGGGGCGCTCGTGTCAGTCTCTTGCGTGCTCGCTGAAACGTGTGAGGGGTGCATGGAGGGGGGGGGGGGCTCCGCGTACCCAGACGTTGAAATTGAGATTTTTGTATGTGACGGACTCGACGTTGAATCCTATCGTCGGGATCGTTGTGACAACCTCGCCAATCTAGACGGTCCAAAACGTTAGCTTCCCAGTTGTCCACACACGCGCCCGCGCGAGTGTCGGGGCTGTTTAGAGCGCAAATCCACCTTTAGTCTGTACAGGAGTGTCGTCTTGCCAGCGTTATCCTACATCCGCAGTTTGTCAGCCTCGTGCATCCGTGTCTGGACAGGGATTTGTGGTCTCCCAGAAAGCGGCAGCGATGGAGGGACGTGTCTATCGGGGGAGTTGTTGCGTACCAGTCCCAAGATCAGTATCCGAATCTCCTTCTTGGACCACAGAAGGCCGGAGAGCCATGACATGCTTGCGCCCATCTTGATGGATTATACGTTGGAGGGTTCGGAAGGCGTTGTTGCTGGTTTCAGGACTGGCAAGTAGCGACGCAAGGACCGTGGTGTTGCGGGCGAGTGTAGTAATGCTTGCTTACCACTGTACGCGGTTGGCCTCGGGACAGAAAGGTTGGTGGTGTAAATAGGTAGCAAAGGTGGCTTGTTTCCCAAGAGGCGGCAGCTGAATGACGGAAGACCCCTGGCGGTGAGTTGGGTACCTTATGTACAGGGCAATCGTACCCGTGTCCGCATTGATAGAGAAAAACCCAGGAGATCGGATGAAGCTCAGGGGTAAAATGACGAGAGGCCTGCCTATCCCTTTCTGATTTGGTGACAAATAGTCGCTCCGTCCGTTCCTTCAAGCTGTTTTGCCTGCAACCCAGTGGACAAAGGACCGTTGTACAAGAATCTTGACGGCTTGCTCCCCTGGGGCGTAAGGTAACGGTAAACGGGTTTCCCCCCTAATTGACAATTTTTAAGACATGCATGGGTGGATGGGAATTCCGGTCCGGGCGTTCAAACGGCACCTCTGGGGGCCGGTTGGGGATTATCACGTAATCAGCGTATGGTCTGACTGCCTTAGGCAGAGTTTCTCTGTCGAGTCATTTCTGAAAAAGGATAAAAAGACAAGAAAGTCTTATCTAATCAGAACTTCTTCGATGTAAGGAGGGGGAGAGCCACGCGGAGCCACACGATTAAGCCTCTGAGGCGAGTGACCACAGTGACTCCTCCGGAAAGCGTGACCGACCCCACCTCTTGCCCTGCCCGCCAATCAGGGCAACTGCGGGCTCGCTAACCCAGTACGCCTCCTGCGCACGAATTCTCTAGAAATCAGAAAAATCTCCCAAACCCATCGAGAGCACAACTGCACCCCAAGGACTCGACCAGTTTGATCAGCCAACAGCCGTCAAAATGCCGGTACGTGATGCCCACGCCCTCTTTGCGCGCCTCTTTTCGACGACGACGACGACGACGACAATGATGATGTGATTCCTCTCCTCGCGGTCGAATTACCCGGAAACGGATGGTGAAGAGAAGCGAACCCCCCCGCCGCGCGCGCGGGTTCGTGGACTTTTAAAGAGAGAGGTGGATGGGCAACACACATCATCGCTATCACGATCGAAGAGAAGGGGCCGCAACGAGGAACAAAATCCCAACCCGGAAGCAGAGCGCTGACATTCTTTTCGAATACAGAGCCACAAGTCTTTCCGCACGAAGCAGAAGCTCGCCAAGGCGCAGAAGCAGAACCGCCCCATCCCCCAATGGATCCGTCTTCGCACCGGTAACACCATTCGGTACGATTCACCCTCGGGGGTACTCCCTCTAGTCGTCCTTCGGCACTACGTGCTGGAAGGACGGCCAGGCGGGAAGGCCTCGACCCCGAAGTCTGATCGAGCACATGACTGACGTGAAGCACAGTTACAACGCGAAGAGACGCCACTGGCGCAAGAGCAAGCTCGGCATCTAAACCACTCGCCTCCTTCTCTCTTCAAAATCCCCTTGCCATACCTTGCGGGCTTTTCCCGGTCTCCCATGGTACCGCCGACCGAAAAAACGACGACACCGCGCTCGACTTGAGGAAAATTTTCTTTCACAACTGGGAGGGGTCACTCTGACGGACTCGTTAAATACCCGCTGGCTCGAGTCCCGATTCGAGGGGGAGGGAGTCTCACAGGATGGAGGGGAACCAAAATGGGAATGCCCGGCTCGGCTAGACTCTCTACGTATTGCATGTTACGGTCATAGGGAAAGGAATGCAAAATCATTGATTCCTCTGAACGAAGACACAAAAACCCCACGGCATCTTGTTGGCTTGGATTTCCATGACTTTTACGGTCGTTCAGGGTCTGGCTCACCAGTTTGGCTAGTCGGTATACGTCAACGTGTATGCTAAGTCAATTGTACTCGGATCCTGATGTCAACTCAGGTCGGCAAGGCCGCCTTCATCGGGTACAATAGGACTATTAGGTCGGCACCGAGATGACGCCGGTCCTGACGGATGCTGCCCATGGAGCCCAGATTTGTTTCAAATTTTGTGATTCGTGGACGATGCCCAGTGAGCGGCTGCTCAAGCACTTGCCGTTCCGATACGGGTAAGACGATCGCTCTTTTACATTGTGTGCAGAAGCGCCCTGGAATTGTTGGTCTATCCTGGTCCTCCGTGCCGAGTGCCCCGCCCTATTTCGGCAGTTCGCAACCAAAATAGGTTGAAACGCAAATATGTAGGCCCGAGGAATAGCCAGGCACAAGCTGTCCTACTCAGGACGTGCAATCCAGACCCTGTAGGCCTCTGGCTCTTCTAATGGGCAGCGCAACGAGAATGGATCCCCGCAGGGAACTTCACTTGGCTACCAAGCGAAAAAGAAGAATGCACACTAGAATCGTCTGGCTATCCTCAGGTTCAGAGAAAATGAGTACTCAAGTGTCTTGCTATGAATATCTAGCAAACCAACTGGCGGAGCATGTTTACTCGGCAAGAGGGAGTCGTGTGTCGACTGTCTCACTCACCATCCTGATGCCCCTGTCCGCGAACAACCAAAATCCTGACCTGTGGAGCAACCCGCAAACTTTCCAGGCAACCGAAACCGAATAAAAGAGCGATCGTCATAAACGCCGGAGTACGATGCATCACACATTAGGAGTGAAGAGAGATATCCGAAGAGGGATTCGAACCCATACTCCGGCCATCCACCACCCAAATTGACCAAGGTTCTTAGCGGTCCTCGGCCCACTCGTTCTCACGGCGGATCTGCTCCTCCTCCTCGGGTGTGAAGTCGTTGGTAATGTTGAAGGTCTTGCGGATCTCCTCGGGGGACTTGCCCTTGATCATGTTGGCAACGGTCTTGCAACCAACGTCGAGTAGAGGCTTGATGTCAAGGTAGTTGGAGGCCTAGACAGGTATTAGCTTGGACACGTTAACAATCAATCGGCGGCGGAGCGTCATACAAGGATGATCTCGAAAAGCATCTCCTGGTCAACCTGCATGAACTTCTGGTCCCACTCCTCGATCTCGGTGGTCTTCTTGCGAGCATCGTTCTCGTCGTCCTGGGTCTGAACGGGGTCGTTGCGGTGGTGGTCGCACCAGTCGATGACCTTGCGAAGGACTGCCTCATTCACCTGCGGAGGAAAGGTTAGCGCTGTGGTCGTGGGTAACGCAGAAATGGCGGGGTAACGACGTACGTTGGGGATGGGAATAGGGTTCTCCTGGCTGATGCTGTCGTCACCGACATCCTCGAGCATGTTCTTGATGAGCATGGAGCGCTCAGCGACAACACGATCTAGTGCCCTTCAGTCAGCAGGGTGCGACAAGGTCGAGTGGCGGCGGGAGGGGTCTGACGTACCAACTGGGATGGTGATGTTATCGTTAGACTGGACCCAAATCTTGGAGTCCTTCTTTTCGGCGGCCATTTTGTATAATACGGGCTGTTAATCGTGTGATGCTGTCCTGGGGGGTGTTAGCTTGGCTTGGAAGTGGTGAGTTGCGATGATCGAGCGTGGCTTGATTGATTGATTAATCGGCTGAGGGTTGAAGGCGGAGGATGGTGGGGAAGAAGAGCCCAGGTGAAGCGGATGTCGCAGGCTGATGTGCATTGACAACTTACGGTTGGGAGAAGTCGATATATAGGATAGGCTTTTACGTCCGTGGGCGAAGACAACCTGGGTTTTGTTTGAAGTAATGTCGACAAACAGAGTGGAAATGGTGTGCAGTCGGAGATAGCTTTTGATCACGTCTGGCAGGCTGACTTTGGGTTGGATGGTTTTGGGGTCGGGGGGCGGTTGGTTGTGGAGAAAAGGGAAGTCACGGAGGGGATGGCTACCTGTGGAAAACGCAGGTGCCAGACGAAAAGGAAGAGAGGCAGGTGCTCTGATTGGCTTGAATCGTTTGCTCTTAGCGAATAGTGGGTCCATTGCCTCTGGTGCCTGGAGACTGGAGAAGCTGGTCCTAGGCCCCAAACCATCGTCTTTCAGCCGACCTCAAAGGCCTCAGCCGAAGCCCCCCACTAAAGCTGCAGGGCAGCGGAACCCATTGCGCTTCAGGACAGGAGAGAAACCCCCGCTCTCGTGGAGTCTATTTTAATAAATCAATAGAAAGGTGTTGTTTTTCAGTTCAAGGCCCCGACGTGACTAGGCAGAAGCTGGAAGAGAGCATTCAAGATCCTCCTAGACCCGGGATGACTCCTTTCCGAATTTCCTTCATCTTTAGGGGGCAAGGAAAGGTGTTGCTGTCTGCATGCCCTTTGCGGGTTTACTCCAACAAGGACAAAAGACTCTCCTACGACTTGTAATCCGCAGCGACCAAGGCCAACCCAGCAGCGCTTTGAAGCTCAAGATGGAAAAAATAAAATGACAGCACTGGTAAACGTATTTGGCTCAGTTCTCTCCTGCGCTGAGTTATTACAGGCCTACCGTGGGCGACATAACACCTTGCGTTTCGGAACCGATTCGTTTGCCGACTCTCGCTTGGCTGATTCATGGTTGCTGTTGGAAAGCAGGTCAGGTCAAGCTACCGATAGCCCCAAGCCTTCCAGCCAGGCACCTGGCGGAGAGGGATCAGCAACACCATCAACTCAAACATGACCTTGACTGCTGGCCCTTATGAGTAGCGGCTGATGTTTGACGGCCTCATTTGCTACAGGCTTCTGATACAGGGCAACTATGCTGCATACACTTGGGGCTTGATCATATTATATTTTCTTGCTGCAGAGCGGTTGCCCTGGAATTAACGACGGTGCTCTGACGAAGATGCCAGATTACTGTGCTGAACGGTTTCAAGCTGAGCATATAAATATGCCAACTCAACGAATCACACAGATACGGTGCCGTATCTGGTTGGGCCCAAATTTTGATTCCCTGGAAGTCGGGTCTATCCCATGACAATAGTCCAGACGATGTCTCTTCACGAGACGCTTGTGACCGAGTAGACAACTCGTGACCACAGACGCCCCAGCTGACAAAATCGAGTTTGAAGCAAAGCACGCTCTTATCACCGCATGTGCCCTGGAAAGGAAATACAAGTGTAAGGTCAGGGCAAAATGAGATATCCATTTCCAGGTTTGGGTGTGTCAAGGAGGAACGGGAGAGCAAAAATGTTCCGGTACTGGGAGGACGCTTGCGCGACGCCGTTGGGCGGGTGCACATTTGCCAAAACCGACCGGAAAAGCAAACACCGGAACAGAACCGGGTCTTTGGCGCCTCCGTTCGAGTGCCGGCAATGTACCGCCTCCCGTTCAACGGTTGTTCGGTGAACGAGCTGCTCGGGCGGGATGGCTCCGACTTCCTAGGCTGATGCTTGCTAATAACAACGTCGGCGACGATGACGACGGCAGTGAATTTGGCGGTGGGGCTTGTGCTTACCGCCTGAGCGTGACTGTGTTCCTCATGGCACGACGCAGTGTTGTCAACTTACACGCGCCATGGATGTGGCCCTGTACCGAAGCCCATATCGGACTGGAATCTGGAGACGATGGGGGCGGGCGATAAGGCAAGCCAGGGCCGATGGCGAAAGCGAGCTGCACACACTTAAGGAAGCCTGTCTGCCCCAGGGAATCAACCCCCACGACACGCAGGGGAGAGCCAATGGTCTCATGACGCGCAGTCATATGGCGCAAGTCATTGGAGATGGCAACGTTCTGCGAAGCATTCCCTGTCGCGCAAAAAGCTCCTGAGCACGAGACTGGAAAGAAGTACAAAGATTGCTGGGTCCGTTTTCCGGACTTAATTTCATGGTACCGCTCCAGCCAGAGTAGGTGGCGCGCTTTCGTCCGTGACAGTCATCAATGGTTACCTATAGCGCCTCTAATGTTAATGGGCTCACGAAGTCGAAGCTTCCGTGGATGGATCTAATATGCCCCAGGCCAAATTCCATTGCATTCGTCTGATATCAGCCCTCACCGGACGAACGAGGTTTGTAAATCGACTCCATCCGGGCGTGGGTGAGTGTGTACATGCCTGTTACTCCAGAGATGGGTTGACTTCAGGAGAGCAACAAAGTTGACAAGCCGTCGCTAGGTTGAGGGTGTGCCGGATGGAGATGATGCATAATGACAGAAACCCGCTAGCTCATATCGTGTTATTTGGTTGGCCTTGGTTGGGGAAAGGGGTGTTGTCACCCCAGGCACGCAATGTATTGTACGGATAGCCAGTGGACGAGGAGGAGGACAAGTAAATCAGGTAATGGAAGGGACCATGGAAAGAGCCACAACACGTAGCAAGTACTGAGCCACTGACATGCCCTCGCCTTAGCCGTTTTGGGGGCTAGTAGTCCCATGCGAGGCCTCTAGCGAGAAGATACTGGCAGGGAACAGGGGGCCGTTGCAGCGACGTGTACATTAGTAGTAAGGTCGCGCGTTGGCAATTGGCATGCACCCCATCCAAGGAAGGTATAATGTGATTTTAAGGTGATGCTCAAAGCAAGAGCAAGAGCGGCATTACTGACCAACTACCCCTGCCCAGTTTCCTTGGTAATAGTACATACTCAGCTCAGGGAGGTGGCCACCTACGTAGGTAGGTAGAGGACACCGTGCCTGCTTGCTTTGAGATGACAGCCACCTTCGCGGCCTGTAGAATCCTCGAGCTACCTTTCCTCACCTGACGTCTCATGCCACCCAGCAGTCCCCTGGCAAGAAAAAGAAGCGAAGCACCAAGCAGAATTGAGGGCAGGGGCCATGTGCCTACCTCAGGAATTGCGGATACACCCTCATATGGATGGTTCTGGGTCTAATGCTGGGGACCTGGAACCTCTGGAACCTTACCCTTAAAAAAAAAAAAAAAACAGAGTAGGTACCCCCTCCGACACGTTGGGACTGAGCACTCAGCGTTCGCGTCTGCGCAGAAATACCCTGACCATACCTCACCTCTCTGCCTTGCGCTGTTCATTGCCTTTGTTTCTTTTTCTTCCTCCGCCCTCTCCTTCACCTTGCAACATCCATTTTCTGTTGGATTACTTGATCCTACGTTTCTCTCCTTTCATCCTCCACACCTCGTTGCCGACACACCCCTGGCGAACAATCGCATGTTCGGCTTCTTTGCATGCGCTCCTCCTCCTGATGATGCGACGTTGCGACCAATACTCCTCGCAACAAACCTCCCGTCGCCCTCGTCCCGACTAACAACCATCGACTTGTAATTCGTTTACCCTCGACTGCCGACTGATGCTCGAGCTGCACGCAGCACCCCCGACGGCCATACATTGATCAAAAGCGTGACGAGCTATGTGGCGGAGGACCTACCTGTTTCTGGTGTTGATCCGGCTGTGGTTCGCGCTATCGCCCAGCTACCTCCACCCCGACGAGAATTTCCAAGGCCCAGAGGTTATCGCAGGTATGTCTCATACGCTGTCCCCTTCGGTGCGGGTCATAGGTGCAACTCTGTGTTGTGCGCCGTGGAGCTTCCCTGAGCTTCCCTTGAGCTCGGGTTCGTTTTCGTCAAGGATCCAGACTGACGGCGTGGCGCAGGCCAAATCTTCAGCTACCCGGTCCGACACACGTGGGAATTCACAAACGAACATCCGATACGAAGCGTCTTTCCATTATGGCCTGTGTACGGCCTGCCCATGTTGCTACTGCGATGGCTGTGGATCGGTAACGGCAAGGACGGGGAGATCCCTCCCATCGCAGTCTTTTGGACCCTTCGCGTGCTCATGTTCGTCACCAGCTTTGTACTGGAGGACTGGGCCATCCACGAGCTCATCAGCTCCCCGCGCCACCGACGAGTTGCTGTGCTTTTGGTTGCTTCGTCTTACGTCACATGGACCTACCAAACCCACACGTTCTCCAACTCGGTTGAATGCCTGGTTGTTGCTTGGTGTTTGGTCCTGATTCAGCGCATTGGCGAGAGCCCGGTAAGGAACCGATTGGTAGAGCTTTGCGGCCGCGCACCGACTGGCATGCTAATGCTTGTGGCAGCAACAATCGTCGCTTCTTGCTTCTTCGATTCTCGGCGTAGTGGCCGTGTTCGGATTGTTTAATAGGATAACTTTCCCGGCGTTTTTGCTGATTCCGGGACTTCGCTTGATACCCCATTTTCTCAACAGGTTGGTCCATCCCTGATGTCATGGTATCAGGGATGCACTCGCCCACTAACAACGTGACAGGCCCGTCTCCTTCATCTTCATGGCATTGGCTGGTCTCACAACCACTTTCGTCGCCATCACACTGGATACGGTATTTTATCTTTCTGAGCCCATTAAATGGGCAGACCTCATTTCCCGGCCCGTCATCACACCACTCAACAACCTTCTCTACAACATTGACATAAACAACCTCGCGCAGCATGGCCTACACCCCTGGTACCAGCATCTCCTGATCAACATCCCCATGTTGATTGGCCCGGCGGCAGTGCTGCTCTTCACCCAGCCGCACATCTCGCTTCGACTCTACTCGGCCATCTCCGGCGTCTTCGTGCTGTCCATCTTCCAGCACCAAGAAGCCCGGTTCCTGTTGCCGACCGTCCCGCTCATCCTCTCTTCTGTGCACATGCCCAGAAGTCGTACTCTTCTCCGGGTATGGATCGGCGCCTGGATTGTCTTCAATCTGTTCTTCGGCATTTTGATGGGCATCTACCACCAGGGAGGTGTTGTGCCGGGTCAGGTATTTTTGAGCAAGCAACCAGATGCGACGCAAGCCGTCTGGTGGAAGACTTACACGCCGCCCATCTGGCTGCTCAACGGTAAAAATGAGGTTCTCACCACGCGCGACGTTATGGGCATGAAGGGCGATACGCTCCTCGAGGAGCTCACCAAGCTTGCGACGTGCGATACGCCCGCCGACCGACGCAACTCGGAGTATCTGAAGGAGAAGAACGGCACGTACCTGATGGCGCCGGCGTCGGCGACATGGATCGACCCCTATATCCCCAACAAGGGGCTCAAGGGTCTGCGGTTCCGCGAGGTATGGCGTTACAAGCAGCATCTAAACCTCGACGATTTGGATTTTGGTGACGACGGCATTTGGAACACCTTGGCACGGGTGATCGGTAGGCGCGGTCTTGTCGCCTGGCGGGTGACGAAGAGCTGCAAATGATCAGGAAGCAGCAGGGGAAAAAAGCAATGAATGAAAAGACTTTGAACGTTTGATGACACCATCTTGTCCGAGAATGGAATGAACTTGGTATCGTACATGTTTCCCCCCCCCCAGCCCGCTTCAGCCATCAATTCCGAGCCATATCTCGGAGCTGCTTCGAGCGCCGCACCGTTGTAGCCGGTTGCTTCCCCCCCACCCCCCCCTCTTTACCTCTACACAGGCCAGTATGATTTTGAATGTTCATTAGTCGTCCCAACTCGCGGAAAAGGCCGTTCCCGTTCCGTTACCGAGGGCCCCTTCAGCGCAAGACCAAGCGCCTCCCGAGCGCCGTCATATTTCTCATCGAGGGGCTTCCCGTCGCCCGGCGCCGCCTGTCCCTTCCTACTCTTCCGGCACTATGCAGCCTTGACCCCGGCGGCCGCACACAAGACAGAACAAGACCCGAGGGGGAACATAAGGCTCTTGGCGCAGGTTACACCTTCGCCTTGTTGACGTCCACGGCGAAGAGCCAGTTCCCCGACGTGTTCATCTCCCCGAGCCGGCTCTTCATCCAGCAGACGCGGTTGCCGTAGTACTCGCCCCAGCCGGCGCCGACGCAATCGGCGTGGGCGGCGCAGAGGTCGATGCAGGCGGCCATCGTGGTGGTGTTTTGCGACGAGAGGTCTATGGCGCCGTCCGCCGAGTTGTAGTCGTGGCCGCAGAGGAGGCGGAAGTGGCGGGCGGGGTTGTCCTGCGCCGAGAAGGTCGCGTTGTCCTTGGCCGGGCAGGTGATTGTTGCGTTTTTTGTTGACTCGAGGTTTGTTGAGTCGCTGGGGGAGGGGAAGAGAAGAGAGGTCTTTGTTAGCTGGGCAGGCTCAAACATGGGATGGCGAGGAGCCGAGAGCGAGACAGAGGCACAGATACAACGGGCACCTGAAGGAGGGAGAGAGGGAAAAAGGGGAGGAAAGTGAAATGAGACATACCCTGAGTCGCCCTGCGAGCGCCGCCCGACCGCCAAGCCCACGCCGACGCCGATGGCGATGGCCGCCACGGCAATGACGATGGCGACGGCCATGACGATGTAGCATAGCTTCCGACGCACGCCGCACAGCTTCCGCTGGCCGTCGGCGTCGAGCGACCTCTGGCTTAGCGGCGTCGCCGACGGGTGGTGGTAGCCCGGAGGGTGCTGCTGACCGCCGGGGCCGTACGCGGATGAGTACGGCGAGACGGGGGCGACCTCGAGGCCCGGGTTCTGTTTGTAGTAGTGGTTCCAGGCGAGGGCGTCGTCGGCGACGTGCGGTGCCAAGGCGGGCTTGGCGTCGACGTGGGCGTAGGGCACGACCTCTGGGAGCGGGATGTCGTTCGGGCGCCAGGGGCTCGGGGCGGCGACGACCTCGAGGCCCGACTCGAACTCCTGCTCATCTTGGTGTCGGTGATGGTGCGCCATGTTGAGATACTTCTCCCCCTCCCTCATCCCGTCTCCGTCGGCGGCGGTGCACTCGCGTGCTTCGGCGTCGTCTTTCCCGCTTCTGTCCATTCCCCTTTAAGCCTACCTACCGAATTCCCGATTTCCTCCGGCGGCGGATCAAAGAGCGCCGGCCGGTAATGAAGTACAAGGGCAGTCCCTTTCGCCGAGAGATGCACTCCGGATGGTGAGGGTTTAGACGCCTTTCGCAGAGTAACTTGGCTCTACGACAGAGCGGAACAAGAAGAACAAGGGGGCGGGGAGGAACGGCAGCACGCTAAGGGGAATTAAGAAAAGGACCGCGGCAGTAAAGCAAATAGGCAGCAAGGCTCGCGCAAAGGGTAAGAGAAACCAGAGACTGTTCAAGGAAAAGAAGGGGAAAAGGGAAAGAGAGGGCCAGACCTGAGACCATCTAGGCTGACCCGGTAAGCTAGGCCCGTATTAGCCCTGTACGACTCTTTGGTGCCGTTTTCTCCTCCAGCCCTGCCCAAGGTGGCGTTCGCGCATCAGCCAGGCACCAGGATAAGGATAGCCCAGGGAAACGCGTCAGAGAAGACAGCAGCGGGATCCGGTTGTCGCTGTTGTGGTCATCTTCCGTACGCATCTCTCTCTCCGGCAGACAATGATGCTCCACCTTGTATTTGCCAAGTGTGTAAGTATACTTGGTGCCGTGGAGGTACGGCCTCTTCCCCCATATGGCCTGCGGGTTTGAAGCTGTATCTACATCGCCTCCAAGGGGACCTTCATCGGCGGCGACCCCCCCCCTCCCCCCCCGACCGTAAGGCCAGAAACAATGATCCATAAGCTAGCGCGATAAGAGATGGACCTGGCGCCTAGCTAGGCTCGACGTCGGGCACGTCCTCTTCGCTGGCGCTTGTGTCACCTCTACGAGCTCTCCCATCTTGACAAAATCACGAACAGGAGAGAAAGAGAGGGTATTTCCCCCCCCCTTTAGTTGAGTTCCGAATCCTGGGTAAATCACAAAGCCAACATGGTGGTGTCGTATTCGAGATGGGGGGGGGGGGGGGGGGGTACCGTAGCAATCGTACAAGTTCCCCGGGAGTTGCAGAGTCCGACATTGGCAGGGGGAGTTCAAGAGCACCGGCCAATAAGATGGCTCGATGGCGCATCAGCTTGACAAAAGCTGAATGAGCTTGATTATTCGGCTACCCTGCGTGTCGGCACGGTCGGGGGTCTCGCGCAGAGCCAAGACTACCTCTTTCTCGTACAACTGCAGACCTGAGCCGATTCGGTACCTGCCAGGGACGATCGCTGGTGCTGATGTGATGTGCTTCCTCCCCCCCCCCCCCCCCGTCAGGGTGTTGGCGCAGCACGTTGGCCGACAATGACAAAGTCGCACTCCAAGGGCCATGCATGGCCCGTACCGGTGAACACCAACAGAGACGTCCACAGCTGCGTTGTGTTACAAGTCTCGTCGATTTCCCTCCTCGTACACTACCTATACCCGCATGGAAATGGCCGGCAAACTCGATTGTTGATTGCCCCGTAAGCGCCAGCTGGGAGTGGGATCGGCAGACTAGTCACCCTGAATGGACGCTGGCAAATTACATTGGGGGGGGGGGGGGGGGGGGGCACCACTAAAAAAAGCCACCGACTACGGTTAGAAAGTCGCCAACGACCCTTTGTCAGACTATGGCGCCACAACGTATTCCAGATGGCGGGCTGGGCCTTAGTGCACGACGGTAGGAAGGGAAGTCATGGGGACCAACGGCCGGCGGGGGTTTGGTCCGGCGTACCACCCCAGCCCCGAATACTTCCCGTCGAAGGGGTGCCGGTCGACGCACCTCGCCGACGGCGCGAGCCGTGAAGAGGAACCCGGCGTCCGCACATATATATATATATATCTCTTTCAGGTTTCCCGACTCGACCGCGGACCCCGGCGCGCAACGGTGCAGTGACCACGCCCCGAGTCCGAGGGACGAGCCGCGGACGAACCCGTCCATTATCGGAATGGAATCCTCGTCCGGTCATGAGTTTGCCGTCACAGGATCACGCATCTCGCAAGCATCACCCAGGTTGGAAAGTCAAAGTCATATCAATGAGTTCAATTACAACTCTAAAAGGCCGTGCGCGGCTACTGAAGCGTAAAAAGTCTACCTATTCCCGTTTTTTTTTTTTAATCCCGCAAGCCGCCTGTGCTCCCTGGCCGTGGGCGTGCTGGAAAACGTGGGGGAACAGGACCTTTTTTTGTTTTGGGTTGGTATCGAATGTAACCTGGTATGCCCCCCTCCGACCTCTACATAAGTGTAAACCCACCCCGCTCAGAAGTGGTCGGTGGCATTGTCCGCCCGCCGCTGTCTGCTCGGCAGGATAACGTGGTGACCCAATCTGCCACCGGCCTTCCCCTTGGCTCCCATACCGGCAAACGTGGCGTTGTCGCCGGGCTGCTAGCCCCAACGATGTCCCTCCCGCTCGGCCTCCATCCTGCGCATCCGCTCCTCTTCGTCCTCCGCACTGATGGCCTCGCTGCGGCGCCCCTTGCGTCGGCTGCGCTTTCCGTCGTCGCCGCCTTCGTCTCTGCCCCGCTTGATACCCGCCAGGCCGGCCAGCCCAGCCATGCGCTGCGTCTCCTTGACCAGACGCTCGCGGTCCCTGGCCTCACGCTCGAGGGCATGAGCATCCTTGGTGGGCACGCTGGGCGCAGCTTTGCTGTTGACCGATGCCTGAGAGCCTCGTCTTCCCGTATCTTGTCGGTCCGAGGCTCGACCAGGCTTGGAGCTCGCTCCCCTGATCTCGAGGCCTGATGTACTGCCCCGCGGGCCGGTGGGCGGGTTGAAGTCCTTTTCGACGGGCGTCGGCGGCTCGGCCGAGTGTTTGCGACTGCTGCGGTGACGGTGTTCCCGATCTCTATGTTTGTCGCGCTTACGATCCTTTTCGCGATCGCGATCCTTGCGGTCACGCTCACGGTCATGGTCGCGATCGCGGTCGCGATCTCTGTCTCTGTGGGAGCGGTGGCTGGACTTCCTGTGGTAGTCATCGTCGTGCTCGTCCCGGTACTTGTCCTTCTCCCGGTCGCGCCGCTTCTCGTCGCGGTCCCTGCGGCCCCGGTGGCCGGATCTCTTCGAGTCGCTGGGCGAGGCAGACCTCGACCTTTCCTCGTAGCCGTCGTCTCTGGATCGGGACTTGACCTCGTCGTCATCGTTGTATGAGGTGTGCTTCCGGCTCTTATGCTTCCTGCGACGGTACTCATCGTCTCGATCGTCGACCGACCTGGATTCTGAGCGTCTGCGCCGACGCCGGTGGCGGTCGCCGCGGTCGCCGCGGTCGCTCTTGCGCTCTCGACTCTGATCTCTGCTGCGTGATGGGGAGCGTGAGTGGTCCCGTTCGCGTGTGACGTTGTCCCTCTCTGATTTGACGTCAGGCTCCCTCTCACGATCTCGACTCGCCTCCCGTCGCCGGCTGCGATCCTTATCCTTGGTGCGCGTAGACGAGCTGCTCCTCGATCGTTGCTGTTCCACAACGGGGCTCTGCGCGACAGGCCTATCAGCCGACGCCTGTCGACCGCCTCTCTCATCAGGGATGACATATCCTCGTGCACGCAACGTGTGCAAGCTTGTATTCGGCAGGCCCTGGCGCATAGCCTTGGGACCCGTCGGGGCATTTATGGGAACATCAGGTGCCGCAGGCGCGAATCCCGGGTTCTGGTTTGGGAAAGTCGGGGGTGGGATACGCTGGGGTCCATAGCCTACAGGCATACCGTTCCCGTTATACGCAGAGTAGTCACCGGAATCCTGTGCCATGTCTGGTCCGTCCTCAGCGTTCTCCAATCCATCACGAGGGCCCTCCTCGTTCCCGGCCTCGTTCACGGGTTTGGGACCTTCACCACCACCACCACCACCATCCTCTCCGCTGTTGTCACCTCCCGCATTAGAGGCGTCGCCTTGCTCGTTGGTACGCTCGCGGCCAAACTCGTCCACGTTGCCGGCTGCTCGACTAGCGACGTCAGATGCCTGGGCGGGCATGTTGGACCCGTGCTGCTGTTGCATGTGGCTCTGGTCCCCGTAGCCGCCATACTGTTGGTATCCGCCCCGACCATAGCCACCGCCGTAAAAGCCGCGTCCTCGTCCACGTCCACGGTTGCCGTAGTTGTTGCGGCGGTAGTCATTGAATTGGTGACCGTAATTACCTTGATTGTACCCTGACTGGAATCCTGAGTTATAGTTGCCAAAGTCACCAGATCCCATGCCAGCAGCATTAGCAGAATTGAAATTATCTTGGCCGAAATTCCATGACTGTTGCCCGTTCCAGTTATTGGAGCCTGAGCCGAAACCACCGCCGAAGCCTCCCATGCCCATGCCTTGAGGACCATAGCCGCCGTTCATGTACATGTTCTGCATCGCCATTGGGTCCATACCCATTCCTGGCATACCTTGTAACGTCAGCCCAGGTCGCGTATGTGGGAACGGGTGAGACCTACCCATCATAGGAAAGTTGCCGAACGAGTTGGCCCCCATGCCGTTCTGCATGGCCATCATCATCTGCATCTGGTTGAAGTCGCCGTTCCCGGCGAAGTTCATGTTCAAAAAGCCGCCTCCATTCATACCGTTGAAGCTGGCGTTTCCATTCGCATTCGCATCATCACCTTCGGCACCGTCGTTCTCCGCGGCATCATCACCCTCCTGCGGTTGAGCGTTTCCGTTGCCTTTGGCCACGTTCTCGTCACCGGTGATGATGACTATCTCGTCGTCGTCCTCCTCTCCTTTAGAGATGGATGGCTCCTCGCCGTGATTGGGCGCGTCCTAAAAGGCGTGTCAGCGAGGTTTCAAGCCAGCACAAGCATCAATCGGGGCACCAACGTTGCTGTTCTGTGCCGCAGCCGCATCGGCATCAGTGTTCTCGCTCGTGCTCGCGTCCGCGGCGGGCGCAGGCCTGGAATCGGCATGTTCGCCCTGCGCACTGGGTGCAGCGGCAGGCTGCGAAGGGGTCTCGACGGCCGGGGGCTCGGAGGGGGCAGCTGGATATGGATTTGGCTTCGAGTCGGGGGGAGAAGGCGGTGCCGAGTCCTTCACATCCCTGGACCGCGCCTCCTCGCGCTTTTTCTCCTGAGTACGGAGGAAAACTTTGATTGTCGTTCGCAGCGACTTATGCGGCGTGCAATCCTCGGCGGACACGGGCGAGTGCTCGCAAACCGGGCAAGACGAGGGTAGGGAAGATTGACCTGGGATATCAGTCAGAGGACGATCGCAATGGCAACGCAGGAGTTTGTACGACTGACAAGTCTCGCAAATGGCTTGCTCGCAGCAGGGGAGGCGGAAGGCGTTGACGGCGAGCTTGCTGCAGATGGCGCACCGCAACTTGATCGGAATGTCATCGGGCGCGAGCGAGCTAAAGACGACGAGTTAGCCCGGCACTCCAAGTAAGCAGCAAAGGTTGTGGACTTGCCTGATGAGCTCGGCCTGAGCCGGGGTGATTGACGAAGCCATGCTGTCGTCGGTGTAGAAGGAAGGGCGCTCAAGACGAGGGAGACATGGGCGATGGAGGGGTCTGAAAAGTTACAGCGGAAGTGGCCGCGTTGCGGTCAGCCGGAGATTGGGTGTGAAAAAGGGATAAATAAGGGGTTCAACGTGTCGCGCAGGTCACTCTCATGACGGCTGGTCGTGACGGTTGTGCGTTTTTTTGCTTGTTTGCGCAAGAAAGCAAGCGGCCGCAGAAAGATTCTGTAGTGACGGACAGGTTTGAGGTGGACGAGGCGCGGGAAGGACAGTGGGACGCGTGGGTGGCGCCTGACCAATCAGGCGCCACCGTTCACCTTACCGGCCTGCTCGTTTTACAGTGCTTGCTTGGGATCGGATACCCGTGCTGCCCAGTGAATTACTCGCTCACCTGCCGACTTACCCCTTCAGTCCAGCAATCCCACGATGAGATGGGCGGCAGGGCCTGGGGTTTGTTATGCAGGGTTATCTTAAAGAACATGAGGGCGCTACTGTGAATCAATGGTCTTGACTGTGTAGGAGACTTCGTCTACATAATGCACTACGAAGCATCCGTTCCAACTGACCCGCAATCCATCCCAATGTCTTCTGCTGCAATACATTCCAGTACCAAAACGATCATGTTACACGACGGAAAGTCGGCATGCAGAGGGGTGCGAGCGTCTTTGGGCCTGCTCCCGACCCGTGACGAACTTGCCCGCTGCTGCCGGATGGACGCTCCCATAAAAAATGAACCCTATAGCAGAAATGCAGCGCATGAAAACTGAACGACTCCAAAATGATGAAAATAGCGATTCCTCTTCGCCAAGTCGGTCCCTCTCAGGGTCTGGTCACACATACACACACGCAAACGAAAACGAACACGCACGACGGCCTACGATCAGCAAGCGCATCCCTCCTTGGCGGCGGCATCCCCAGAGCCCGTGAGGCTGACGCGCTGCTGGTCTTCTCCGCCCCGGCTGACAGCGTGCGAGGCGCCCGGGCCCCGCGCGCTCTTTAACGACGTCTCCGGGATGGCGTTAGCGATCGCCGTGAAGACCTCGGTGACGTTGTGGCCCGTCTTGGCACTCGTCTCGAAGAAGAGCAGGCTCTCCTCCTCGGCGTACGTCTTGGCCTCCTCCGTCGAGACCTTCCTGGCGTCGCCAGAGTCGTCCGCGTCGGCCCCCTCGCTGTCGCCGGCAGATCCGGATTCAGTGTCGTTTGTGAGATCGAGCTTGTTGCCGACGAGGGCGATGACGATACCAGGCGAGGCTTGTCGTTGGAGTTCCGCCACCCAGTGCTTGGCCTTGGTAAGCGACGTCGGCTTCGTGAGGTCGTAGACAACGAGGGCGGCTTGGGCGTTGCGGTAGTACATGGGCGCCAGCGAGGCAAAGCGCTCCTGGCCGGCAGTATCCCAGATCTCGAACTTGATCGTCCGGGTCGGGAGGTTGCACTTTTGTGTCAGGAAGGCAGCTGCAATGGAGTTGTCGGGTTAGCTCTTGGCCCAGCAACTGTTCTGCGACGGCGATGTCTCGTACCTCCAATAGTGGGCTCCTTGTTTTCTTGGAAATCGTTGTTGACGAAGCGCAGGACAAGCGACGACTGTGATGCGTTTAGCACGAATTCACAATGCCGAGTTCAGATGGCGGCCGTACCTTTCCGACCGCAGCTTCACCGAGCAGGACCAGCTTGACGCTGCTGCTCGGCTTGGGGGCACCGCCGGATCCGTCCATCTTTATCGGTAGTTAGGTCGATAACAACAGCCTGTATGGAGTTTCGTGGGTTGGGCGGGCGGACGAGTTGAGAAGTCGGTGCAGATGGGCAAGGGCGACGAATTTAAATCAAGTTGCTGCCTTCGTGGGGGGTGGTTGGTTGAACGGTTTTCGTGGTTGTAAGGTAGTGCAGGTTAGACGGCAGTTCGGCCACTGAAACAACGAGGATGAGGCGCAACAATGACGAAGCGCCCCCCTTCGACAGGCCGCGGCGGCGCCGGCGTTGGCCAGTGCGCTTGCTCTTCTCCAGCCCTGAAATCCCTGGAGGGGTGGCGGAGAATTGATGTGCCGAGGTCCGCTGGGGGAAGGGGGGGTGTGGGCACCCGCCTGGCCAGGCCCGCGACAGGCGTGCAGCACCCGCTACTAGTCGGCAGAAAAAAAAAAGTTCCTTGACCACCTTTGGATCTTGGATTCTGGAGGGTCCGGCAAAGGCTTGCAAGACTTCAGTTCTCTCTTTTGCCCACCCCAACATTGTGCACATACGCCCGGTCTCGGGAAAAGGGAACTGACATAATGGCGCCCGAATCGAATAAAGAGAAGGTGCCGAAGAAGGTCAACCTTTTGGACGAAAGCGACTCAGACGACGAGGATGGAGGGGCAGACATCGCGGCGCCGCAGCTGAAGGTCAACGAGGAGTACGCGAAGCGATTCGAGCACAACAAGAAGCGCGAGGAGCTGCACAGACGTAAGTGGACCCAATTGGAGTCTTTCGTGGTAACCGAAGGCAATACCTGACACAAGGCAGTGGAGGAGAAGTTCAAGAAGACCGGCAAAGGCAATGATGACGACTCCGACGCCGACTCGTCGTCGTCCGATGAGACCGAGGACGAAGACGGGTTCCTCGCGACCGAGGACCTGGACGCCCAGATCTCGGCCACCCTCAGCGCGATCAAGAACAAGGACCCCAGGGTGCTCGACAAGAACTTTTCCTTCTTCCCGGACACCTCAAACGCCGCCGCCGAGCCGACGCCATCGAAGAAGAAGGAGAAGCCGATGTTCCTCAAGGACTACCACCGCGAAAAGATCCTCGCCGGAGGCGTCGGCGCCTCCGACGACGAGGACGACGACGCCCCGCCGCCGCAGACGTACAACCAGGAGCAGGACGCCCTCAAGAAGTCCATCATCTCAGAGATCAACAAGGCCGCCGAGTCGGATAACGAGGACGACTTTGTGCAGCGGAAACCGGGACAGGAGGTCGTGAAGCCGCAGGACCTCGGCGACGAGGGAATCCACCCGGCGCGCGCGGCCAACGTCAACCCGTACAAGAAGAAGACCAAGAAGCAGATCACCGAGGACGACATCGCCAACGCCGACAAGGACCCGGAGCTGTTCCTGTCCAACTTCATGGCGGCGCGCGCGTGGACCGAGGGCGGCGAGCACGGCTGGAAGGCCTTTGAGTCGGACGAGGGCGAGGACGACGAGGGCGAGCTGTACGACAAGTTCGAGGAGGCGTACAACCTCCGGTTCGAGGACCCGGAAAAGGCCAACCAGGCCCTCAAGACGTACTCGCGAGAGATTGTCAACTCGCGGTCCGTCCGCAAGGAGGCGGCCAGCTCGCGCAAGAAGCAGCGCGAGGCCGAGCGGGAGCGCAAGGAGGCGGAGAAGCAGCAGCGCAAGGAGGAGAAGGCGCGCCTGCGCAAGCTGAAGCTCGAGGAGGCCGAGGAGAAGCTGAAGAAGATCAAGCACGCCGCGGGCCTGAGCGGCAAGGAGCTCAAGGACGAGGAGTGGCTGCGGTTCCTCAACGACGCCTGGGACGACGACAAGTGGGAGGACGAGATGAAGCGGCGGTTCGGCGAGGACTACTACGCCGTGGCCGAGGGCGGCGACTCCGACTCGGACGAGGACGCGGCGGAGCAGGGCGGCGACGGCGACGACCAGAAGAAGCGGAAGAAGAAGAAGCCCAAGAAGCCCACGTGGGACGACGACATTGACATCAAGGACATTGTCCCCGAGTTCAAGGACGACACGGAACTCCCCCCCATCACGCTCACAGACGACGAGGCGGCGGCGGCGGCAGCAGCAGCAGAAGAAGAAGAAGAAGAAGACGACGAGGACGACGACGGCCGCCCGTCCAAGAAGCGCAAGACGACAAAGGACCTCAAGAAGGAACGGCTCGAGGCCAAAAAGGCCGCCAAGGCCGAGCGCGCCAAGCTCGAGGCCCTCGTCGACGCCAAGATGGACATCGACGCCGCCGTGGCCCTGCCGTCCGGCACCGCCGCCGCCGCCGCCGCCTCCTCGCGGAAGGACGCCGAGCTCCCCGCCTTCCGGTACCGCGAGACGTCGCCGCAGTCGTTCGGCCTGACGGCGCGCGACATCCTCCTGGCGCCCTCGGACGCGGCGCTCAACAGCTTCGCCGGCCTCAAGAAGCTCGCGACCTTCCGCGACGAGGACAAGAAGCGCAAGGACAGGAAGCGCCTCGGCAAGAAGGCCCGCCTCCGCCAGTGGCGCCGCGAGCACTTTGGCCAGGAGTACGAGCGCACCGGCCCGACGTTCGGCCTCGACGAGGTCCAGCTCAAGGAGAAGAAGAGCAAGAAGCGGGGCAAGAAGCGCTCGGGCGACGGCGGCGGCGGCGGCGAGGAGAACGCCGAAGACGGCGGCGCCGCGCTGGACGGCGCCAGCAAGAAGCGCAAGAGGTCCAGGGGGGGCAAGAAGAAGGCCGATGGCGTCGCGGCGGAGTGACGGACTGGGAGAGAGGGGCTGCCGATACCGAAGAGCCGGTCAAGATTCCCTGTTGATCCTGTTCTTTATTTTTCCTGAAAAGTCCTCTTTTTTCTTTCTTTGTTTTTTTTTTAGTAATTGCATCGGGCAGGCATGGAAAAAAAAATAGTTGTATTTAGACCACACTCTCACCCCATGATACCATACTATCCATGTACAGTTTTCCCCTCCTAAGAAGGGAACGGGTCACGGGCCGCACGCATCATGAAACCTAACAAGCTTATTGCATCCTCTCGTTGCCATTAATGGTAGGTATCTCGCAAGTGCAATCGTTGAGCCAAAAACCGCCCGACACCTTTTTATATCTACAAAAATCCTGTCCCTGTACCGTCCCTTCCTTTTTCGCCCCCGTCATGTGATTCATTAGTAGAGAGGACAGAAAACGTCACAAGAACCCTCTTCCCCAAGACATGAGCAATGCACCATGTGGTATGTGGCCCACAGGAACGCCCGACGCCTTCTCTCTTTTTTTTTTTTCTTCTCCTTTTTTTTTTTTTTTTTAACTCAACGCCACGCCTCACCGGCCGCTTCAGCGCGTTCCGTGATGCAGGCTGTGGCCAAAGACGTTGCCGAACCCGTCCAGGTTCATACCCATGTCTTGGCCGATTTCGGGCGGCTCCATATTGAACGGCATAAACCACGCGGTCGATGCCTCTTGACTCCCGAATCCTGCAATGCTGTCCGGGTGTCCGTGACCGGGCCCGCCCATGCCGTTGGGGTTGCCGCCGCGATGCGGACGAGGGCGGGCGCCCTCCCGGTGTGTCCCCGATGCGCTGTGGGCACTGGAGGGCATGCCATCCCAGTCGATGCCGTCAAAATGGCCCATGTTGCCTTGTTCCATAGAGTACCCGCCAAAAACGAGCTGCCGGTCGAGGGGTTGTAGAATTCCGCTCTGCTGATGCAGCGACATACTGAGCAAGTCGGGTGGATAGAATGACGGCGTGCCCTGGTGGTGTTGCCCGAACTGGCCGACGGCGATCGGACTGATTGGCGAAAGGGCATGGTAATTCGATCCCTGCGAGTGAGGCATGCCGAGGGGGTTGAAGTTGGCTGAACCGCTGGTCTGGGCGCCGAGGGAGCCTTGCGCGGCTCTCTGCTGCTGCATACGAGCACTCAGCTGCTCCTGCGCGGTAGCGGCAATGTTCTCGGTAGAGAGCGGCTCGGAATGGGCCCCTTCCGCCCTGACACCCATATTCAGTTTCTTTCCAGCAAAAGACTTGCGCTTAGACGGGTTCGGCCTCGAGGAGCTGTCCTCTACGCTACGAGGCGGCGACAGCTTGGTAAAATACTCCTCCACGGTGTGTAGCTCGGGCTTCTGTTCCAAGACGGCATCGTCGCCCTTTTCTTTCTTCTTCTGCGTCGCTGGGTCCGAAAAGTCGGATTGTGATACGCCATGGGGGTATCGGTCGAACCAGTCGCCGTACTGGAAGATGGGGGAGACCGTGGTGGCATCCTTGCTCGAGGATCCCCCTCTGGCAGCGTCGGCGTATGTCCGGTATTGGTTGCGAAGGTTTTCCGACATGTAGTGGAACATGCCCCAGTACCTTTTCATTTTGGAGAGGAATTTGACGTTGGTTGCCAGGTTTCGCTTTGAGGCCGCCTCCACGGCGGGGTTGCCGGAAAAGATGCCAAGGATGTGAATGTTTCCCGAAGAGAACGCGCAGTATCCGACAAAGGGGGCGGTGACCATGTGAGACTCGGCGTCCTTGAGGAGTTCGGAGATGCGGTTGGCCGCCGCGAATGTTTTGTCGCCGGCCTTGGTGACAAAGTCCCTGGGAAACCCTTGGGCCGCGGCACTTTCCGGTGTCACCACGGCGGCACGGTTGAGGAATAATATGTTTTGGTGGATTGCGATGTGGAGAAAAAGGAACTGGTTGGCCATCCTCTCCGTGTCATGGAGTGCCAGGTTCTCGGGCGAGTATTGCAGGAACTCGGGGAGGTCATCCAGCAGCCTGTCCGCCTCCTCGAGCAGGGCGGCGTACTGGGACTCCGAGCTCCAGATGGGGTGGGGATCGAGCTCCTTCCCTCCTTGGTTGATATAGTTGATGACCCTCCCCCAGAAGGCGATCGTCTTGATCATGTGGGCGGCAACGCCCATGTTGTCTTTGGCATTGGCCATCTGGCCATCTTCTGCCGACACGGGATGTGGAACTTTACCCTTGAGGGTTTCCGTCGGTGCCGGCATGTCGAGTTGGAAATACTTCTCCTTGATCGGTAATGGTATGTCGACCGTCTCCTCCCGTACAAACGTCGGCCGTTCTGTGCCCGATGAGTTGAAGCGATCCATGAGGAAGCAGGCCCACATCGTCCTTCGTCGAATTTCCCGGTCGATAAAGCTCAATTGCGACGACCCGTTCCGATTAAGCGGGTCATGGTCCAGGTCCTTGTGAAGTTGGAGGGCGAACGCCATGCGGATTGCTTGCCCGCCCAGAGCCCAACTCCTCCCGCCGTGACACGTGCCGAACTCGTGCAGGCCCAGGATCAACAGGCATGTCAGAATGGTGATGTTGGGCCATTCGTACCGCCTGGTGCAGATATCTCTGGCGTGTGATGCCCATTCCTCCCCGCGCAAGAAATTGGGCGACGAGCTGTTGAGCTTGGGGTGGCTGGAGAAGCGCGCGGCGATGGCGCAGACGGACAGGATGAGAACGGGCGGCAGCGTGCCGGCTCTGCGAACTGATTAGCCTTGGGTCAGCAGCAGAGGCCGTCTCACAAGACATACCTAAGTTTCCTCATATAACTCGGCTTGTGAAGCAAGTGGTATGCTTGGCCGTAAATGTTCTCGAAAAAGACCTCGGCTAAATGTTCCTGGATCTCCTTGGAAGGCAGTGCGTCGAGCCCCTCGAGGAACAGCTTATTCTCTTCGGCTTCCTGCGCCCGAAGCGAAGTTGGCTTGTTGGGCGCCTCGAGCAGGTTCTTGACCGGTGCTTTCGCCCAGTGGTCGAGGTCTTGGCCGAAGGCCTCGTCGGCGGCTCGCTTCTTGGAGCCGGCCTTGGCTGCAGGGAGGGTACCTGGGATGGCCGGCTTAACAACGGCCCGGGTCAGCGACGCGGCATTGGGGTCTTGTTCGTTTTTCGGGACGATCTTGATGATGCGCTCTTCCATGCGCTTGAGGCGCTTGTCCAACATGGCCATGTAATCGGTCCTGGGCGCGGCCTTCCTGGTCGTCACCTTGTACACGCAGGGGATCCGGGAGCGCAGGCAATGCTTGCAGGCGGGCTTTTCACCGGAGCACCGGATCTTTTTGCGTCGGCATGCGATGCATGCCAGTGGAAGGCGCTTTCGTTCCTTCCCAGCCTTGGTCTTGAGTTCACTCCACGCGGGCGTCTGGTCCGTCTTGTCCTCCTTGGCCTTGCCGGCCGGCTCGGCGCTGTTGCCAGCCGTCTGCGTAGGTAAGCCGAACTCGTCGGCTCCGGCGTCTTCGAGGGGATTATGGTCGGCGTGGCCACTATCTTGGCTGCCGTCTTCCGAGGTGATTACGCTATTACGTCGCCGGCCCATGGCTCTGTCAAAAGGACCAGGCATGACGGTTATGGTGTTTTGGCGGGCGGCTATAGAGGATAAAGAGGGGGGGTGGGACGTGGCGAAGGCGTCGGAAGCATGATCTGGCTCGCCGAGGAACATGATTGGATTCTGGTCGTGGGGCGGAAAGGAAAGGCCGTCGGCAAAGTGAGAAGGGTCGACGAGAGTCCGGGAGACGTTGTTGGAGCGCATGCCGTCATTTGAAGTTCTGGAGGAAAATGCTTGGTGGGAGGCCGAGGAAGTGGTGGTTATGTGGGAGTGAGCGCCGGGCGAGTCCAGGCCCTGCTGAGAGTATTCGAGACTGGCAGCTCTGAATTGCTGGCTTTGGAGCTGCTGCATACTACTAGATGACATTTTTCCTTTGCCATGCAGGAGGAGACAAGCAAAGGGTAAAGATCAACAGAAAGGCGACTGCGGAAAGAGGACAGTCCCGAGCAAACTGGCTCCCCGCACGCCGATGTTGAAGGACAGCGTCTGTCCCTGTCTCTGTTTATGCTTGCCGACCGCGGTGTAAGTGTAATTGCGAGTGTGAACAGTGGGGGTCACAGCTGTCGCAAGCAAGGACCATAATAGTAGGGCCAAAAAGAAAAAGAAAGACAAAAAAGAAAAAAAGACCGATCCCAGGAGCAACGCGATCGCTTTGCCCCGTCTTCGTCGGCGGTCTCGTCTCGTCTCTCCCGGTAGTGCCAAGTGTTGTAATGTGTTGGTTGGCGAGAAAGATGTACAAAGTTGAAGAGAAGAAGGGTACGAGGGAACGAATGGGGTGGGCGGAGGGGTGGGGGGGGGGAGAGAGAGGGAGAGAGAGAGGGAAAGAGGCGTCGAGCTTTGTCGTAGAGAAGAAATCCTGAGTCGACCACTTGTAGAGCACCTTTGGGGGGGGAAGCACAGTCCTGAAGGCCGAAGGGAGCGAGACCAGGTCTACCTTAGGTCAAGTCAAGTCAAGCGAGAAGGCCCAGGCCGAAAAGAAAGGGAAAAAACCAAACCAAACCAAACCAAACCAGCTTGCGATTTCCAATGGAGATGGGGAACGTCGCCGGCTTTTCGCTGCAGCAGCAAAAACTGGGGTTGGGGGAGGTGGCCGGTCGGCCGGGGAGAGGGGGAAGTGGAGTGGGGGGCCGACCGTCGTGAAGGAGGGGGCGTGTGCTAAGGAACCGCTTCTGATTGCGTGAAAGGGCAGTGGTGCTCCAATCCAAGTGGGCGTGCAAGTCTGGTGCAGATGGATGCGCAGGCGTGTGGGCGACCGAGTTGGAGACTCTTGCAGCAAGAAAGCGTTTCCGGCGGTGAAATTGTGGGGTGCCGTGTCGATGCTGGAACTGGAACGTGGCCGGGGGGGGGAGGGGGGAGGGGTAGGTAGGCCGGGCCTGTCGTAGAGCATGCGCTGTACATTGGTTAGGTACCTAGGTAGTGTATGTAGTAGAATTGAGGAGGGGGGAGCGAGACTTGGGCCGTCTGCAGAACTCTTAGCGGGGAGAAGTACCTTTTTATTCCCACGCTTCGTCACGAGACAGAGACAGGTCGTCTACGGATAGTAACCCCCGACTTCACTCGCTGGATGAAGTGAATAAGCTTCTGGACCCGCTGCTGGCCAGACCACAGCACAGTCACAATGTGATGAGCTTTCCTTCCCTGACCAGTGCTGGCGACGCTGGTGGTTTCGGTGTCTGGGTTTCGGCTGACAGATGCTTACTATGTATGTATGGCGATGCTAACAACCGCCGGGTGATCCCGTCCTCGGTGGAACTTGCTCTGATGGCCGTGAGGGGACGAGAGATGCCCGGGAAACTCCAAGCGCTCAAGAAGCAGATGATTGACACCTGCTGTCGCTCGCGCTCGCGCTCTGGAATCGGTGGAAACAGGGCGGTAGGCCGTTCGTTCTTCGTCGTTCTTGTCGTCGGTCGGCGCCGTGGCTTGGTCGCAGTAGCAACTTGCTGGATGCCGGGACGGCTCGGTGGATCGGTGAAAAGCCCCGCGTGCGAGCGGCGCTGCTGCCCGACGTCGTCGAGGGGGATGATTAGCCGGGCTAGGATAGTCTTGTCTGTAACTTTGGCGGCGCAACAACCTCTTCCCTTTGAGACAGAGGCTCCGTTCGAGCTTGGCACGGGTTAGACGAGAGAACTAGTAGAGCCAACAACAATGGAACAGGACGCAAGGCTTATGACGTTTGTGAAGGTTTGCGGGCAATGATGCATCCAAAATCTACCAAGCTTTGCGGGCGTGCACGAGATAATTGCGGTCGTGCCTGAACGGGAGGGGTTTGGAGTCCTCTTATAACGACAGTACCTAGAGACAACGAGGGCGAGTCGCAACGGAATCAGAATAGAGGAACGCGAAGTGATGGTCAACCTGGACCCTGAGCGGGATGGAAAAAAGGAAAAAAAGGTACCAAGTCTAGCAGCCAGGGTTGGGGTGGAAACTACAATCAAGCCTGGTCCCTGCGGCCTGTGCTAAGAATGTCTGCAAGAAAGGGGACGTATAGGTATACATCGTCCTTGCCTGCCTGCCCTTGGAGTGTAAACATGGGCGATAGGGGGGAGACATGGTACTGGAGACATCCATTACTGCATATGTACTGGCGCCATGATGTGCGGCAGCTTGGAAAAAGAAAAGCTTGGCCTAGTGCCTCGAGGGCCAGACAAGCGTCATCGACGCGCAGCTCCCACAGTCGTCGTCTTGGTCTTTGGTGTTGTTGGTTTTTTTCCCCCCCCAACTTTCCACCCTCATTTTTTCGCTTGACCTGAATGTTGCATCCCGGTGCCCCGGGATCAAGCGCCATGTCGACACTTGCGTATCTGCAGTTAGCCTCGCGGTAGCTAGTCTACACAGAAAGATATTAGTCCGTCTTAACATTGAAACATCTACAACAGCCATCCAAAGATATCGCAGCATGAGCAAGCCCTGGCTTTGAGAATACGGGAACTGATCTACAAGGAAGGGGTGGTAACTACTCCATCTCCTTGCCCGTTAGTATTTGGATATGTCTTCGCCTGGACCGCTGCTTTCCCTCACCCTCGCCCTCTCCGGCCAGGTAGTGTTGCCCCCCTCAGCCCTGGTGCTCCGGCTCCATAAGACCCACGATGGCAGTGCATTGTGAAGAGGTACGGAAACGCAAAGTGGAGGGGGGTGCAGGAAGTGGAGACAACGACAGCAGTCGAAATGGCCCTCGAGAACGCACCTCATCAGGGCCGGAAGTCTGGTGGAGATCGACTAGGAACATCGTCCGAGGCTCCGCCGGTACGGGTGGGTCAGCGCTCCGTGCCCAGATGAGATACCAGGCGGAGATGATGTTCCTGCTCCGATAGTTTTGCAGAACACCTAGGCCACCCAAATGCCCAGGAGAGACAGGAGTCCGACTGCGCGGTGATTCCGTTATTTGAGATGTGCATCGCATGCAGTAAGCCCCCAATTCAGACTGCAATACCATTGCATGGCCAAAGTGAATTGTGTGCAGGGCTCCCGTCGTCCCATCTTGCAGGGTGGTGTTGAAGTTGTTGTTGTTGCCCTTGGTCTTGGGGGACATGGCGAAACCGGGTCGGTTGTAATCATTTGAGCCTCCAATTGGTCGTAAGCGTGTGGGCATTACTACTAGTCGTGAGCAAAGTATCAGAAAGGCAGTCGCCGTTCAAGTGTGGTGTTTCGCGAAACCCCACTAACATCACCATGCCTTCAGGTGATCGATTGGCCATGCGTCTTCTCAGCAAGCAAAAAATTAAATAAATAAATAAAAATTGAAGAAAAAGTGCGTTCCAGCCAGGACATCTCGAAGCTGGTTGGCTGGTGCTGTCAGCCCCGCAGTTCCCAGGCCGCCGCAATGACGACATGGGGAATGCGGTGGCATCCCGTCCGCACAGGCATGTTGCTGTCTGACTTATCATTCATAGGATGTCTTCAGCGTAACGCTAAAAGGAGGGCCGTCAAGCCGCCACGGCCGGTTGCGTGGCTGTTCGGCGATGAGTCCCACCAGGAACGGTCACAGACGGCCGAGGGATCCCGGACCCGGGCGAGGAGTGACTACGGCAGACTTGCATCGATTTGGCCATGACGCGTGTTTATCGGGGCTGGCCCTGGCCACCCTGTAGCCCAGGGGCGTCGTCTGCTACAGATACGTTGCTGAGCGTGTAGCCGGATCTGTAAGGCATAGTGTCCCAACTACTTGTAGGGCCCTTGCCGTGGAATTCGTTGTATGGAAAGAACGTAGATTGAACTCTGTCGATAGCCAAGCATGAAGTCAAGCGAAGCCACTAGCGCGGGTTTCAGTGGCGCCGACGCAATGGGACGTAGGCGTACGCTGGGGAGGATTTGGCTGGGCTGGGCTCTTTGTGCGACCAAAGTTGGACTTTGGAACCTTTGTAAGATGGCATACTGTAAAGACTCCAGTGCAGTCAGTGCCTTGATGCTGGACTCTGTTTTCGTCGACTCCACTGGTGTACCCCGGTAAATTCGGGATCGAATATCGCGGTCTGGGGTGGGAATGAGAGGTGATCTTCCTGACGGATGAGAAGCTGAGGTGGTATAGAAGACGTCATCGTCATTCGGTCGAGTCAGGGACAAGATAGCTTCAGGTCGGAGTCAGTCACCCATGCCGGTGAAGAAAATAAACAATCATGGTAAATGGGCTGATGGGCTGCCATGGGGTGTTGAAGATTTGGAGGCCACATGGAACGAGGGGTGTCGATTCCTCAACAGGTGGTAGGCCATCTCGAACGGTCGAAATTTGGAGTTGGCAAGCTGAAGAAAGACATTGTGACCCTGGTGGTAGATCGCGATATGCCTGGACGATGATAGGAGGAGGAGGGGATGAGGGTGTGGAGGACACGCGCTAGAACCAGTACCCACTTCAGCTAGTCGCCTCGGATTATCGTGCTTTATGATTGGTCGATTAGGGTTCGATGACTGCTGAGGTAAGGACGGGAACAAGGTAATACTTACTTGTCTTTACCTTCCACTACCTAGGCAGCTAGATACCTATATCTACCTAGGTGTCCAATATACCTTAGGTACATAGGTAGGTAGCGTCAGAAAAGCTAGTCCTCGTGGAAAGCACAAACGGTCCCAGGAGCACAAAGGCATCCAACTGTGCGCCGGCTTCGTGGTTGCAGACATTCCGCAGCTTCACGCAATGCAAGACATTCCTGGCGCATCTGGGCTGTTCTACATCGACGTCGATTCAGAGCTTCTGCGCCTGCAAGACATTATTGTCTCGCATGTCCGGCCAGGACCCGGTAGCTGTCTCAGGATCCGCTAGGCGCAACGCAACTGCACAGACACGGCACATAGTATGTATTTTGTACGAGGATTTCTTACTACAGCACAGCACGCGACCGCGATTAACACTGCCAACGAATGATTCGTCAGCGACGCGGCACGACTAGGCTGTCTGTGGCGCGAAAACGCTCCCATTGGGGTTCGACGAGACGAGGCGAGGCGAGGCTCGACGTCGATCTACGCCGGGCAAGCGACCAGATTTGGTTAAGACTATTCTGCTGATAGCACATACCTATACCATGTATGTAAGCTGTTTGTTAGGAAGCCCAGTCTGAGCGCCTGCAACTTCCCTGTGGCTCGAAGTCAAATAGTTAGGAGGAACAGGTTGGACTGTGACATCGCATGCCTCCTTCACGCTGAATGAGGTCCCCTGGCATTGTCTGTGCCCACTGGTAGGGTAGGGTTTGATTGGGTCGCCGGACATGTCTTTGACTTCCTGGTTGTGCCTGGATTATCTCTTCTGTTCAGACCCAAGCCATTGTATTGGCCCCAAGATTCAACCCGAGGTCGACAAAATCGTCCGGCGCCCGTCGTCTAAGCTCAACAATAGGTGAGGGAGAGAGCGGAGTGGGAAGGAGGGGGTCGCCTCGGTTCAAGTGGCCAAGAGACGGTGCCACGACTAGAGGATTCCTATAGGCGCAAACTGCAAGTTATCAGAGGAGCTGAGAGGGCAAGGACCTACTCGTTGCAATTTACGACAGCTCGCTCTTTCTCACTTCCTCTCCCTCCCTTTCTCTTACGTGCACCTCCTATATTGCCCATGTGGTAATTACAGGATGGCATGCCTGCGGGAACATTCTCCCCTGTACCTTCCGGGTGCTGATATCCAAGCTCCACTTTGGCCCCTTCCTCATGCCAAAAACACCACGCGTTGTTGAAGAAGACTCATGTCTTTCAATCTTTCTTCATCGTCCTTCATCGCTTGGCAGCTTTTATCCACATGCTGTCAGGGGCTTTCCATCGACAACCGCCAAGTCCTATCGAATCTCTTTCTCCCTTTGCTTCTTCCTATTCCATTTCGAGCCGCATGAACGTCCCACATCCCTGCATGATAGCCTCCCCAGGATCTGGGTCACTGTCTTTGGGTCAACATGCTTTGACGAGTTTGACACGCCGTCAGCCAGAACATCGAACGTCAACCAGAAACAGAGAGTGGGACCGCCGTTGATACGCCATCGCTATTCTTAACTTACCACTTGTACATACATGTACACGATGTAATCCGACTTCAGACGAATGCCCAAGCACACCCACGGCCTTCAATCCCCGAGAGTAACCCAAGATCGACACGTACTCAAGCTCGTCGGCCCTCGCACTCGCAACCTTCAGCACCTTGGTTTCCTTGGATTTAGCTACTACGAGCATTTGTAGGATGAGGCGAGAGTACAGGCACCGCCGGAAATTCTGGCACAAGCAGCCAACTGGCCGGGACATCATGCGTACCATCTATTGGCCATGTGCTGACACCGCCAGTTTGCCTGGCACGTCTGTGTGCTCACCCCCCCCCCTTTCTACTCCAGGTAACATTGCTGATTTCATCAACAAATCAACCGTGTACCTCGGAATTTTCCTCACAAATCTCATGTACGCACTGTAAATCTCCGTGTACCAGTCACCGCATCTCCCTGGCTGCCCCGCTCCTCGTCGTTGCTTGTGTGCCCCCCATTCGCTACCTAGGTATGTAGCAAGTGGCCTGGGGCACGCATGATAACGGTACGTGTCGAGCCGTGTACCTACAGGGTCGTATCCCCGGATGGATGATCTCCGTCGCGTCGTCTCCGAATCCTTAAGACAATATCAATATCACGCCTAGGCTCATGCCACTGACTGGAGCTGCTGCTGGCGGCCCGAATTACTCAGTTGAGTCATATTGCGCTCTGGCAGCACGCCAACAAACACGACATCCGCGCATGATTCCGAGCCGCTACTGCATGCTAGACGCACATCAGTCCTCAAAGCCAAGCCTCTCCACCAAATGTGGCAGCTGCCGCATCGATTCGTGTAGCCCAAGGCGCCGCACACGAGGATCTCGCAGGCTCGTGCATATGTCGTTATCAGCCATAGGGATCGGACACTGAGCAGACAATTTGGCAGATTGAATTCTAGCCAAAGACAGAGCGGAGCGGCATGGGAGCAAGGGCGAATGTCTTCCCCTTCTCCCGCTTTGACGGCAGGGGAGACGACGAATAGGAAGTCGAGGGACCCTGCCATCAACGCTCAGAGCGCTGCCGTCGGCGTTCCTCTCGATCCTATGGGCGAAGGGCTGTTCGTCCACGGCCAAAAGTCAAGGCAATGGTGGAAAAGCTGAAGGCTTTCCGAGGCGGCGATGTGTGGTTATTTCGCCAGCATGGTATTGACTTTGGGAAGAAGAGATGAGGTCGGACTTCCGGGACACACAGATGTTGTCCCCGATGGGCACCGATCTTCGGGGTGCTTCCCCGGTAGGCTCTCTCGCCAGTAGTGGTGCACTGATAGCGTGTAAGTCAGACGAGACAAACCGTCCTGCTCCTAGAACTAGAATTTCTGCCCGGTGTTTGTTGTTGCCCTACGGGTCTACGACACGGCGCAGTCATGATGGGATGGCACCAACGGCGCGTTTCCTCGTCGCAATCGACGGAGTACTACGTACGGCACCTGGCATCCTGTGACCCAGCCGCTCCCAGGCCGAGCCCATTCCTACCCCCCTTCCCGCGGTCCCTAGTCGGCACCCTGCCTGGGGTAGGGGATACGCGACGTTTCGTCACCAGTCTAGGAAACAGCTTCCTATAGCGGTAGCGTTTCGTACGTGCGCACTCATTCGCACCAACACACACACGCACACACGCACACCTAATCCAATTATTCTTCTGCCTCACCTCCATTTTTTCGTCAAGGAGTCATTCTCAAAGCCTCTTCCACAATGCCCACTTCCACCAAACCTTCTGCCCCGATTCGGCTCCACTCGTCGATTCTCCGAGGATACGATTGGCTCCTCAGCTAGCCGCCAGAACGACCCCCCCCCGCTATGATCTGCACTGCGGTTCCCTCCCTGTTACTTTTGACGACTGGCCTTGCAGCGACACCTTGCAGAGACCCCCCCCCCCTCCCGGCAAGCAGACGCCAGGCCACCATCTTCCTCGCAGCCTTGTCCGCAGCAGCCGCGTTTCGGAGCGCTCCCCGAACGCAGCTAGTCGGACAGCCGCATAACTGGCGCCTTGCGGATGCGATCCAAATGACGGTGAGGCTACCAGGGACCAAAAGGAGGTAGGTAGGTTCGTTGCTCAATTCTTCTTCTTCACCGAAGAAAAGAAGCAAAACCATCACACCACCTTATTCACGTGTAGGCGACGACGGAGGAAACCTTCAGCGTCTGTCCTGTGGCTATGCCAGGTGCAGCTTGCTACCTACCTAGGGAGGTACCTATGTGTTCTACGTACCTACTACCCACCCACCTTACCCACCCACCTACTCCCCCAACACCGGTGCTCCTAACTATTCGCATTTCGCCCAGAAAATGCACAGGCTGACAGAAGATGCCTTAGTGCGGCTTGTGGTATCTGTTAGATTCGAGAAAATGAAGTAAAATTTCAAAAATGAAATTATGGTGGCCTATCCCCATCGACATTTGATGAGTATCGCTTCTGAGAAAGGAACATCGTTCTACAGCAACCTTTAGGTGCGAAAACCCACACCACGCGTGCACAGATGCCTCCAATGCAATTCTTATCGACGCCCCGTCGACTGACGTCCAACTAGGTGTGCTCGGCGTAGTCGGACCCGGAATGCTAGACGTCGGGCTCGCGGCACCCATGGAGGGCCTCATCTGGACATCTGGCGCTGGCTGCGAGGCATAGAAGGCCCCCCTTTCCCTTCAGGCTCTTCAATATCAGAGCCGATATAGCATCCACCGCCCTCAGCGCTCGGTGGGGCGTGCGCGTTCCCCCCTGATCCTGGACTGCCAGCCAACATGACGCTACCGACAGAAAGAAATCGCCCAGATCTTGCCCGCACATCACCTCCGCTCATCGACCTGGCTGCAACTCCATGTCGTAATCCAGCCCGGCAGGGATCGTATGGGGCGGGAGGAACGAGCAACGTCCGTGAGAGCAGCAAAGAGTCGGTCACGTCGCTGTTCGGAGAGGGAGGCCATCCAGGTCATACAGGCCGTACACTAATCGCTGGAGGCCTGGCAGGATCCGATTGGGGAAGTGAAAGCGAGAGCCAGGTCCTTGGGGGCCCCTTTCCTCTCTCTCTCTCTCTCTCGGGCTGTTTACGCCACCATCTGCATGGGATAGGAGCTGTCTGAACAAGAGGCGGCCTTCACGGATACCATGCTCCCCTTTTACAGGACCAGGGCCGCCAAAGGAGATGATCTTCCGCGTCTTGGGTCCAATGACAGGACCAGACAGACCTCGTCCCTCCTTCCACCTGGTATGATGGGGAGGGGGGGTTTCTGCCACTTTGGCCGATGACATTGGCACCCAGGGGGTGGTTCGGAGGCCCATCATCAGACCTGGGTTGGTAAATAGGAAATAGACTGGAAAATCATCGGTCGTCCCGCATCTGCCAACCCATCTATCCATCCATCCGAATTTTCCAAAACACGACAGGCTTCTCTCTGGTTTGGGGGACGGGAGTCTCCCCAAGATACGGTACCAGCGATGGATACCACGCCAGATCGGAAGAAAGGGGGGGGGGGGGGCTTGGCTTCACGAATCTGGGCTTTATTAAAGAAATAAAAATAAAAAACCAGTCTGAACAAGGGCGTGTATGTGACTGCCGTCCCATCCCCCCCCGACCAAGGCCCGTCTCGTGAAACGAAACCATGGACCTGGAAACATCAATTCGGGAGGCGCAGCGCGCAGTGCCCATCAGATGTGAACCTCATGATGTGCGCTCTCGCAGACCAAGACCCGTGTATCTATGTGTTTATGGTCTATGTGCGTGTGTGTGTGTGTGTGTGTGTGTGTGTGTATTGGATCCGTCTCTCACAACTAACATATTCGATATCATGATGATACCGGGTCGAATAACCCAAAACCAAAAGGCCCTCCTCATGTCGAGGACGCGCCGAAACTCATCGCCACCCTCCTCGTGCCCTCCCCACCAAAGAAGCACGCAGAAAAACCCAGTTGCCCTGCCACCGCAATGTTTTTTCTTCCCACGATACCAAGCTTCCTGGCGGTGCATGACACGCTGTCGAGATGAAATCACCTCAGACAACAACATCCCACTCACTCCGCTCAGCAACCCCATCCACTGCCCCCCCTCCCTCCTTCTCTCCCCCCCATCCACCTCCAAGGGCATCTTCGTCTCTCCAGCATCTCGCACGCTCCTGACCTCGACGAGTCATCAGACATAAGGCAAGGCCGGCCGGCAAGCAAGGGAAGAACCCGCTCGCGGCTGGCCTCGACAAATCCTACGACGACGACGACGACGATGACAACGACGGCGGAACGACATCCATCCGGGGGGGGCCCTCCCAAATCAACGAGGCCGGCCCATCGTGCTTCCAAGATGAAAGACCCGTCATCCCATCCTTGTTCGAGCCAAGCATAGGACGACAACGAGCATGGGCTCTATTTCCCCTCTCGAGCGCAATCTCCTTTGCCCTCCTTCTCACAGCAAACCATCAGCTCGGCCGACTCGAGTGGTCAGTCCCGCCAATACGGCTCCTCCGGACAACGAACCCCCTCCAACACCCCCCCCTTCCCTCCCCCTCTTCCATATCCCTCCCTCGTCCGCTGTACTCGTTCCCTCTCCTTCTAGAAGGACCCCGTCGGGGTCCTTCCTTGGGCTTCTTTCACCTCAACTTGTCCGGAGGAAGACGCCGAATATGGCCAAATATCGCGACTGTGTCAAGGTAGGCCGACAACGTCCTGCCCATCCCAGTCCACTCCAGGTCCCACCGCCACGACGAATACCCTCTTTCCCTTCTCGCCCCCCCCCCTGCGTGGTGTATCCTTTCCCCTTCCCTACGCCTCGAGGCCTACACCAGATAGACGCACCGAGGATAGACAATGGCAACGTTCATCCCATCTCATCCCACGTCACGCCAGGGGTAGCGGAGGAAAAAAAAACCTGTGAGAAAACAGATGAGAACACTCAGTTGGCATACCCCTCTGCCCACGCTATCAAAACACGCTTCCCTGCTCCATATACACCGGTACAATGCAGAAGTGGTCGTGACCCTAAGACCCAGGCATGACCCAGCCTCCCCCCCCCTCCTCTCATGCTACCACCCCTGAATGCTTTGCCACTAGAACATGACAACAGCATAACTCAGACATTGTTCATCCGACTCCTTCAGTTCCATCCAATGTTATCAGTCCGAGCCCATTCCTGCCATCGAATCAGAAAGAATACCTTGAGCCCCTCCACCCCTTTCCTTGCCGACACGCTTCTGCTTTCCATATACACTCATCTCCTGCTCATGAGTCACTGAGCTTGGCCTTGTCAATATAAACAGGGATGCCGTACACGCACACCGCGCCGGCCGTGATGTACCTGAACCGACAAGCGTCCCTAGCCTTGGCCGCGGCTTCCACGAGCGACGTACCCCCTCTTGAGCCCTCGCCTTCAGCGGGGCTCGTCTTCTTCTTCCCCCTTTCCTTATTCGCAGCAGCAGACGCAAATAGGCCCTTCCCCTTGCTCTTGCCTGTCTTGCCATGCTTTCCACCATCGTCCACAAAGGTACCCCTTTCCAGGAGCCCCCACTCCTCGAATAGTCGCCCGGCGTACCGGTCAATATCCCTATCTGTCACATCCCATAATGTCCCAACGACAGCGGGGCACCCTGCCAGCATGTAGTTCCATACAGGGCCGTGGCACTCGTACTCCCCGACGTTCTGGAGCGACGCCGAGCTGCACCCCATGAGCAGCGCCGCCGCCTTGCACTTTTCGAGTCTCCTGATCGTCTTACCACGGATGTACTGCGCGCCACTGCCGTGGCCGAAGTAAAGCAAAATGTCCGAGCCCTTGAGTGCGCCCTCAAACTCGTCCTCGGTTGGCTTGCGTGACACAATACCTGTCCAGGAGTCGCCGAGAGCCTTCAGGGGATTCTCGAAAGTGGCGAGAGTGTTTTTGAGGTCCGAGCCGGGGTTGAGGATGTATGTGCCGCCGAGGGGAGATACAGTGGATCGATGGTCATCCGTGATTTCGTCTCCGCTTCTGGCGGCTCGCTGTTCGAGAAGCAGTCTGCGGAGGCACGACAGCGAGGGGACACGAGAATAGGCTAGCCCCTCCATGCACGGAAGTGACTCCCAAGGGAACGCGTGGAGGGCCTTGTCGAGAATCAAAATGCTGTGGGTGCCTTCCTCGGGATCCGAGGTTTTGGCTGCGGCGTGGTATGCGTCAAGGGCGTCCAAGGTGTCCACGACCATCGAGTCGAAGTCGATCTCGTCGTAAGCGTTCCTCTCGCCGTGGAATTGCAGAATGTCCACGACAAAGTACAGGAGATCGTTCAAGGGGTCCTCGAGATCGGCGTCCGACGCCGAGTGGTCTCCGAGGCCGACAAAGAGGTCGAGAATCCGCGGCTCCAGAGCAATCTTGGGGGTCTTGCTGGTCTTCTTTCCTCGGACCTGTCTACGCGATGGGAGATGCTTGTCGAGAATCTTGGAGAAGGCCTTTTGGAACTTGGCAAGGAGATCAGCACGGTGGCGATGTTGGGAGAATATGCCCTTGAACCCGCCGAGCCAGACTTGTTCGACATTGTCGAGGAGGTCTTTGAACCTCTCGTCCAAATTCTCGCGCTGGGCCCACCAGGCTGACTTTGCTCCCTTGGACGCGTAGTCGCCGGAATTGTGACAACTCGTATTGGTAGCCTGGATGATATCCATGAGCTCGGCGTATCCGTGCTGGAAGTCGAACAGCTCGTTCTCGCCATCCCGCGAGGCTACGCGCTCGAGTGGCAACCGCAAAACGAAAGGCGTCTGTCCTGCCCGCAGCTTGGTGATACAGAGATCCTTGCGGTTATCGCTCAGCGCGATTGACAAGACGGTCCATGCCTTGGGAATGATGTCGACGTAGTCGCGCTGGAATTTCGCCATGTCGTCGACGGTGATGATGCTCGCTCGTCTATCGTCCTTGACCGGTAGAGCCAGTGGCCATCCCATCTCGCTGAAGCTAGGATTGAGTTGTTCCGTCACCACGGTGTTTCGCTCTCGTTTCCAGGTCAGATTGCGTGCGAATTCGACGGAGCAGGTGGCGTATCCAAAGCTTCCAATATTCTTGGGCATACTCTGGGAAGCCGCCGACAAGAATATGCCCGTGCTCTGAAGCAACGCTGAGATGCGATGAACTAGGTGCCCGTTTCCCGAAACAGCAGCGGCAGCCTGTGCTTCCATCAGCTGGGCCTGCGCTTGTTCCAAAGTCTCGACGAAAGTAGAACTGTCCTTGGACGACTTTCGCTCGGCGGAGGCAGCACGGCCTTGAGCCTTCCGAGGCGAGTGACCCATCGCCAACGTCTTTTCCGCGTGGTTCTTCTCCGGCGCCGCGTGGATCGAGGGATAGGAGATTGTTGACTCCTTCACCACAGAGAAGACGGAGTCGCCCTCCATCTGTTTGGTGCCTTGTTCGATGAGGCAGATCGCCTCGCCAATCTGCACGCGCAGAGACTCCCGCAAGCTGCTGGACATCTGCTTTGCCTCTTCGAGGAGTGCTGCCGCGTCGACCCAGTCCCCCTTGCTAAGGTGAACAAGCGCCTTGTACATCAGCATGGAGGCCTTCAGATCGGACGCTTTGTCGTTCGAGGCCACTACCACGGCCTTGGACGGCGCAGCAGCTTTGGTCTTCGGAGCCGCCACTCTTCTCGTCGTTGCAGGGGCCGCTGCCCTAGTGGCTCTGGTTCGTTTGGTTGCCGGGGCCTTGAGCGTGAGCTTTGCCATCTTAGTGACAACCTGCCCATTACTGACCCCGCTGATGGCACCGCGGCTGCTGTTGTTCAGTTTGCCAAGCGTGACCTCGGCAAGCTCGAGAAGCAGGTGCTCGTTTTTGTGATCCTTCATCTCCCCGAACGAAGCGCTGAGCTCGCAGGCCAGCTGGAAAGCTTGACGTGTGGGTTTAACGGCTGTTGCCATGAGCTGTCTCGCCTCGTTCAGGTACCCAATGCTCTTGTCGAGTTTGCAGGCCTTGATCCACACGGAGCCAATCCAGCTTGCTGCTTGGGCCCTGTGAATCGAGGCGTCCGTTGCATTGGCGATTTGATGTGCCTTTTCTGCATAATACACCGTCTCCTGGAACATGCCCAAATGGGCATACACAGAAGACAGATGCAAAACGGACCTCAGCAGAGCGCACGCCAGTGCCCAGTTGTCGGGGCCGTCGGACAGCTCAATCAGATTTGTGGAGGGTTCTGTCTTGATGATGGTTTCCTCGGCGTCGGACGAGTCTTGCCTGGAGGACTGCTTGGGCTCTGCTTCTGGCGCCATTTGCCACCGAGCTTCCAGTTTGGTCCAGTCCTGGTACAGCATGCGGACACTCGTTTTTGCGTGGAACAGCGCATGCTGGTATTCGCCCTTGTCCCACTTTATGCGAGAAGAGAGGCAAGCAGCCCTTGCCAGGAGGAGCTTCCTCTGGAGCCTGGACGCTTTTCGGATGGAAGACGAGGCCTTCTCGAACGCAACCTCACCCTGTAGAAGCATTTTGTGACTGTTTCGTGTTAGATGTTGCTCTTCATTTCGGGGTGGGACAACTTACGCAGCATCCGAGTTCTGGGCCGCCAGTTGGTACTCCGTAAAGGATATCTGGAGGTTGACTGCCGCAAGATCGGGATTGCTGCTCGTGGATTCGGCAAACTCCTTGGCCTTGTTGAGAATCTCTTCGGCCTTCTCGGAGTAGCCCAGGTGGGTATACTGGTCTGCCAGATTGCTGTGCGCCTGGACGAGCAAGTCCGTCGACAAGTCTGAGAGCTTGGACGAGAAGTCGGCGGCTAGTGTTAGAACTGAGAGCAAAAACTCATCTTCGCCCCTAAGCTTGGCGTACTCGGCGACCGCATTGAGCTGTCTGAGAAGCCCTTCCGTGTCATTGACCTTGGTCAGCAGCTCATCCTTGGTTTGGCATTCGTTGACGAGGGCGCGCCAGACGCTGATTGACTTGTCAAAGTCTGCCGCCCGCCATTCGGTTTCTGATGCGACCAGAGCCAAAGTACAAGAGAGACCGGCCTCCAGGTCGGGGACGTACGAGGCCAGGTCGCTGTCCTCCCCGAAGGTCTGGCCACGGCATAATAGCAAAGCTGCTTCGGTCTGTTCGCGAAGGTTCTGGAACTCCTCCCGTTTGCCGATGGACATGGTCAGTAGTTGAGACAGAGTCCGAAGGCGACGAATCGGGAAGCGATCGGGCGTGTAGATCCGTAGGAGAGCTTCCTCCACAGGCTCCTTGATGTTGCCGGGGCTCGAGTCGCCCGAAGAGTTGGATAGAATGAGCTGGATGATACGCTCCAGGACTGCCGCTCGCTCAACATCTGCGAGAAAGAACGTCCAGTCATTCCAGGACTGGTCGAGCTTGACCATGGCTGCCAAGGCCCGCGATAACGTCTCTGCCTTGACACTCGCGCTCCAGGCTACGGCCGGTGACTTCTCTGACAACGAGGCTGCCACTGCGGCCAGGACGCCCTCCTCTACCATGTTCGTGCAGATGAGCTTGAGGGCATCTCGGGCATCGTTGATTCTACCAGCCCGCTCACAAAGGTCTGCGAAGTACTCAAGTTTCGCTGTTGTCTGCGCCTTGTCCTTTTCCTCCGGGGACCTGTCCTTGACACAATCAACAGATCGTCTCAGAGCCCGAAGGAGGGTCTTGTCGCCGGGTTTGCTCTCGGCATTGCGGCGATACCAGTGAAAGAACATGAAGTAGAGGTGAGATAGTCTGACGTAGTGGGAGCTTGCAGCGTCTGATTTGGAGCCGGCGGCACTGATGTCCCCCACATACTCAAGCAACAAGAGGCACTCCTGGAGAAGGGTATCGAGGGTTCCCCAAGCCATTTTGTTGCTATCGATGTGTGATTTGGCGACCATGAGGGCTGATTCCAGGATCTGGGAAACGGATGCGAGTAAAAGTTGTCTCCTTGACTCATGGCGCACATGTTCTTTAGGAGAGGCGTCCCTCGTCGGCGCTTTACCCAGCCACCTTACGGCGAACCGAGGGAATTGAAGGACGAGGTTGTTCATCAGTTCGTGGACGTCTTCTGACCCGTCCGCAGTCTTGCTGGCCAAGATACCTACCACGGACCTACGGGCAGCAGACAGATTGACCATAAGTTCCTCCAACTCCGTCACATCGCCCTTGAGCGTTCCCTGCAGAGCACCGGTCACCTCCCTCAAAAGCGCGGACAGCTGTTCGTGAGGCAATGGTGTTTGTTTCGCGTAGACGGCTACAAGCTGCGCAGCTACTGCGCAACACTTGGATGCCGAGTCACTTTCAGGGTCGAGAGTCCCCTTGATCTTGGAGATCCAGTGGGCCGATTCCTTGTATAATCGAGCTGCCTGAGCTGCCGTTCCCAGAGCCTGATAAATCACGGCGAGTGGTGATTTTGATGACAGGGTGGCCTCCAAACGCTGAGACTTAGTCATCACGGTGATGCGGTCAAAGACGGCGGAAGATTTTTGATACGACCCAATTGGGTCGGATTTGGCTCTGCGGATAAACGAAGTGATGCATCGTGAAAGTGGCGAAATGATGTCCTTGTCGACATCTGCCTTGTGACTGGCCATCTGCCACCAGTGCAAACGCGCCTCCAGGCCCAGCGCTTGCAGTTCCAGTGCGGTGGAGGGAGAGCAGCTCAAGCGAGAGTCCACGGCCACCTCGTCGTCTTTGCTCGATAGACTAGGAGCCAGTGATAGAAGTAACTGCGAGAGCAGATCGAGCTGCCGCGCAACCTTTGTCTTGGCTTGTGCTGACTCTTTGGCAGCTTCCAGAAGGAGGTTTGTGGGCGACGTAGGGCAAGAAGAAACGAGACTTGGCAACGCCCTTTCGATGACAGCTGCCTTTTTTGTTGCAGAAATGAGACGCAGGATTTGGGTCTGGGTCGTGATGACAAGATTGAGCGTCGATCCTGAGAACTTGACATCGCCAAAGTCCAAAAGCTCTGCCAGCCCTTTTACCTTCGTGTCTGCTACTGTCGGCTTTCCTCCTTTTGATTTGCCTTTTGTCGAAGTACCAATTGCCTCGAGTCTTCGCTTGAGAACCGTCAATTCGCGCAATGCGTGCTCCTGAAGGCCAAGCCCTACGAGCTTGCCGATGAGAGAAGACATTCCGCTCTCGAGCTGCAGGTCCGGAAGCGTCACTGCGCCAGAGGTCTGTAAGGATCGCAAGCATGTGAATGCAGTTCGCAAACATTCAACTGTAGCGAGACACGCGATGGCAGGCGCCGTTGGCGTTGTCGTCGTTGTTGTTGTTGTCTTTGAGGGCTTGGGCGTGGCAATGGGGGATGTTGAGGTTCGGTTCAGCGAACGTGGCTGCATGGGGCTCATCGGCATCGAATTCGATCGTCTCAGGGTCCGCTTGCTAGGAGGTTTCTGCATGTCATCGCCCGAGTTCTCTCTTCGGCAGGGTGTCGTGGGTCGTATGGCGGGTGCAGGCTTTGACGCCTCCGTCAGCGACTTGAGGGCAACATTGATGATGTACGCCGCGAGTGCAGCCTTTTCCTTTGGCGTCAGTTGTTCATTTTTGCTCGCAGTCGTGCCCGATCTAGCTGATACAGCCGTCTTTCCTCGCGTGGTCGTCGTGGCCTTCGTCGTTCTTGCCGTCGACTTTTGTGATGTCGTGGGATTTTCGGCCTCCGTCGCGAGAAGTTCTTTGAGGAGAACCGAGGTTGCTGATGTGCATGTCGCGGTCGATGCTGCCGCCGCCTTGGCGGCGTCTACTTTGCTTTGTAAGGAGGTCATGGAGTCGTGTGTATCAAGGTCATAAGTGTATCGTCATGTGTTCTTCATCCTAGACAATCCGACGAGAAAATGGCTAGTTGATGGCAATACTGCTGTAGATCGTGAGTAGTTTGACATGACCCCATCCAGATCGGTAAGGCGTGCGGTTGGCAGTTGTCAGGTCTCGCTAAACAATGCCCCGGGGCGTTGCTGGGGGCAACCGAAACCCCGATTCGGTCCGTGCAGGAGCAGACAGGAATCATAGATGCACGGACCATCCAGACTGGAAAGAACCGCGATGAAATCAGGGCACTTTTTTTTGCTCCTCAGGGCCAGTTGCTCTTCAGTAGGAAGGCGACGTCAAATCACGAATCTTCCTTGTTATGACTATCGGAGCATCCATCATGTCGCGAGTTTCTACTAAACGGTTGTTCACAGCATCGCCGTGCCTGCGAGCTGCGGCATTTGCGCAAGCCGCCCATCGTCCCCTCTACCTCCACACGCGACACTCGAGCTCCCTTCCCACGGTCGCGCAGCTGGACTTCTGGAAGTCCCTTGTCCCCAAGCCATTCCGATCAGAGGAGAAGCTTCGCGACGACCCCATGATCAAGCGTGTCAAATCGAAGAGGAAGAAGGAGTGGAACCCGGCGACCTTCTATATCGTCATCTTCCTGCTGATCGGATCCATGTCCATCAACATGCTATCGACGAAGCAGGCGTTTGAGGCCTTCTCGCGCCAAGCGGACGTACGCATCAGCGTCCTCAAAGAGGTTGTCGAGAAGCTTCAAAGGGGTGAGACAGTTGATGTAGAAAAGGCACTGGGCACTGGCGACCCGCAGAAGGAGCTTGAGTGGGAAGAGAGTAGGTCACCAGCACGAGAGCACCACGTCCGGCCATGCTAACGAGTCATTCCTAGTGCTGAAAGAGATCGAGCGCGAGGACATTTTCCGTCAAAAGAAGCAGGAAAAGGCACGACAAGCGGAGGCCGCGGCAAAGAGCAAGGCCGAAGCAATTACGGAGCAGCAACCAACAGCGGCACCCGAGGCCGTCAAAGCGCCAGCACGGGGCATGTCGAGCTTTTTCTAGATTACAAACGGAAACGCTTTGAATTGGTACATATTGAGGGCTATGACAACATATCATTGAAAACGCCGGGGTTTTCCCCAAGAGTCATCCTATTCAGACCCGACGCCATTTCCGGTAACTGTTGAAGCCGCTCGACCAGCGCCGGAAGCACGATGTCTGTAGACACTTCTGTCCGAACTCCCAAAGCGCCTGTTGGATCCGGGTCCAACGCGGCGGAAATCTGATCCTCGCCTCGCACACCTCCCGTATTTACGACCGCGATGGGCATGCCGCGATCCAGCGCCCTCTTTGCTAGTCGCCATGCCGAGTATGTGGCAAGTGAAGTTCCGAGGATGAGGAGCCTGCCAGCCCCGTCGATGGCCTCCTCGGCCGCTGTCTTGACTTGGTCGGCGATACTTTCGCCGAACATGACCACGGCAGGTTTCAATATTCCTCCCGAGCTGGTGGGCTTCCACGCACCGTCGTGGTCGACCTCGATGACATGCCTGGTGCCTTCAAGCGTGGAGGGCGGCTTCGCGAGGCAATGCGGGCAGGCTGGGTATCTAAAGGTTGTGTAAGGCGCGCCCGGCAAGTCCACGTCTCCATCAGGGTTCGTTCTGATGCCCTTGGCCTTGCGCTCGGCAGGGCTCTCCGTGTCCAGAGCCCCAGAAGCTAGAGCCTCGATAAGGAAGGCAGCCCAGGCGGGATTGAGCCGTGCGAGCTCCTCTTGGAAGACGTCTCTAGGGTACTCGTTCCTGCAAGTCACGCAAACTGTGGACCTTAGGTAGCCATGAAGCTCCAGAGTAGGAATGTCTGGATGAGCTCTCGAATGAAAAGAGTCGACGTTTTGCGTAACGACGCTCCGAACCAAGCCCAGTTGCCCTAGGTCTCGGATGGCATAGTGGCCATGGTTAGGTGACGCCTTGTGAAGTGACGTCCAACCCAGGAAACTCCTTGCCCAATACCTTTTCCTGGCTTCGTGGTTGGCAAGAAACTCGTGGTAGTAGATCGGGCGGTACGTCTTGTTCACACGATATGTGCCATTGACGCCCCGGTAGTCGGGGAGCCCACTAGAAACAGAGAGGCCCGCGCCAGTCAATACGACGGTCGATCTAGGCAAGCCTTTAGGGGGCGGAGCCGTGAAGAAATTCTCGAGGGCCGCGACAGCACCCGGGATTGTGTTTGCGTTGCTTGGGCGGACTGTGGGGGGGGCTAAGAGTTCCGTGTAAGGAATACGCATAAGAGGTTTGCGCATTGGGGAGGTGTCGCGTTGCGTAAGGCTGCCGTGATGTGGGAGGTAGTGCCGGAGCTGAATCAGGGCGAGGAAGCGCCGGGGAAAGTCCGTCTTCCGTAGAGATTAAGGGAACTGGCAGTATTATATGGATATGCAAACCCCAGCATGAGTCCAAGAATAGAAGTGTGCAAGGGACGGGAAGAGAATTCTAGTTCAGACGAGCGCGTGTATACGGAAAACGTTGTGACAGGCCCATCTTGTAAGCTGAAGGGGGCGATCTCATACCAGTGATCAATTCGTCATGATTCGGCGACGAGCCTCGCCAGCATCTCCACAGGATGACCAAGCCCGATGTGGCTTGAGGGGATGTTTCATCCGATTATGTCATCATTTACTTACTAAGTCGAAAGCTCACACGTATCTCAGTGCTCTGAGGCAGACATGATACTTCGGACATGCACACCAACCCCTGCGACAAACTGGGCAGATTGCTCCATCAGATGCTAGTCAGCAACCACACCCAAAGGATTCGGTGTTTTTCTGGGGAACCCCAGGGGTGTACTCACGTCGCTTGTTCACCAATGAAGGGCCGGCCTCTACGGCATTGCAGGGCCTGCAGGACGAAGTAGCATTGTGGAGGGCGACGTTCCGCTGGTCTGTTCTGGATCGTGTCGGCGGTGGACGTACCAGTATACTACTGCGTAGTGTTTGCGCTTGTCCTTTGTCGAAAGGACAGCTGGACATGCGGAGAAACGTGTCCGTACGACGGATGGACCCTTGAGCTGATGGATATCCTCGTTTTGTCACGACTCAATTTGAATCAAAGGAGTCACGTGCGAGCGTTTCTGGCCGGGTCCCCATGGTCTTGGAGACTGAGGTGTGCTGTCGCTCATGTCAGGGACAACAAGTGCTGTGCTGCTGTGAAGGCGACAAAAGCACCTGCACTGCGCAGAGAAGAAAGATACCAGGTAACTTGAGCTTCTTCCCGATCCGCAATCCTGACGGCGCTGGGGCGCAAGATGAACCACTAGTAGTACTCTGTACTACGAGATTTGATCTGGAGGAAATTTCCTATCCAGGGATCCGGATGTTTGGTATTGGCAAGAAAGTTCCAGCGATTCATCCATCCATCCAATCTTATCCCAATTGCCTTGCCTAGGTACCTGTGAGACCTCAAGAGGGACCGCTTTGGCAACGTACCTACCTACCACTTACCTACCTTAAGTAGCGCACCCACAAACCGCAGCACCAGCACAGTACAGCAAGAGTGCTTGGATTATGTAGTGGGCAGGTAAGGCTACCCGGGCGTCGGCGTAGCCGGAACCATCGTTCCTGCCCTGGCTTTTCGAGGATTGCCGCGTCGCATTCCTTTTCGTAAAGAGCGCGCACCGAACCTGCTGAATCCGTCGCCGTACCTGAACCTTCCCTCCCTTCCACCCGTCCATCCACTTCACCCTTCCATTCCATACCTGCACTACCCCCCTCGTTTGTCTATCTGACGTTACCTAAGACCGAGACTCTCTCTCCCTCTGTAATTATCTGACGAACCGTTTCCCGTCCCTGGTTTTTTTTGGTTTTTTTTTTTGCTCGGTCGCTTGATCGCTCGCTTGCTTGTCATGTACGCGTGCCCCTGGCCTGCTCGCCATTAGCCAACCCGTTATTCGTGCCCCCCCTCCTCCCCTTCAGTCCACGCAACGCCTGTCGGGTCAATTCACCTTAGCCTCGCGTCTCGGTAACAGCTAAGAGAGACAGTCTTCTGGGCATGTCTCCCCCGTCCAAGCGTCCTGCGGGACTGCTCTGCCGCCTTTCCTCTGTGAGCTGTGTGACGTCTGCACGAACAGCCGCAGCCGAACCTGGAGGATCCGGCACGGGAACACACACCCTCCTCCATTGCCTCCATTTTGCATACCCCTTTAGGCCACCTCAATCACATCTGCGCCGCGTCGCCCTCCGCATCTATCAAACATCCAGCTCGACCACTTCTCCCTGCGAACCCTACTTAACCCCTAGCGCCGCCCGCCATTCCGCCCGCCTGCGCTCCACCACTCCCTCCTTCCCCCATCTCACACACACCCTGACGACTGCGAGGAACACTTCCCCTTCAGTACCAGCCGCAGTCATCATGTCTTCCACCACAACTGCCACTATGACTGCCAACCCCGTCCAGTCCCGTCGGAGCCATGGCGGTCACTCGCACCATCACCACCACCACGGTCACGACAATGTCTACCTGACCTCGGCCAACAAGAACGATGCCGGCGTGCGCATCACCCGCATCGGCCTCTTCTCCAACCTAGGGATGGCCTTTGCCAAGGGCGCTGGCGGCTACGCCTTCGGCTCCCAGGCCATGATTGCTGACGCCTGGCACAGTCTGACTGACCTGGCCTCCGACATCTTGACGCTGGCTACTGTTTCGTGGAGCCTGAAGCCCCCGACCGACGCCTTCCCCACCGGTTTCGGCAAAATCGAAAGTCTCGGGTCTCTGGGCGTGTCCAGCATGCTTCTGGGCGGCGGCCTGTTCATGTGCTGGAGCAGCTTGATCACCCTCCACGCGCACCTCTTCCTCGACCCTGCAGCCGCTGCAGAGGCAATCGCCCACGCTCACCACGGTCACAGTCATAGCCATGCCCATACTGGCCCGAGTTTGCACGCCGCCTGGTTGGCGCTGGGTACGGTCGCAATCAAGGAATGGCTATACCAAGCTAGTAAGCACTATTCCCCACTTCTCCCCAAGTCCGAGTCGAGTCAAAGAAGGGGAAAAGCTAATAAGGGAGGGGGAACAGCCATGAAAGTCGCCCGTGAACGAAAGTCCTCCGTTCTTGCCTCCAACGCCGTCCATCACCGTGTCGACAGCTGGACTGGTATCGTCACCTTACTCGCCATCCTGGGTGCAAACCTTTTCAAGGACGCAACCTGGTTGGATCCTGTCGGTGGACTCATGATTTCCCTTCTTGTCATCAAGGCCGGAGCCGAAAACACTATCTCTGCCGTATACGAGTTGGCCGATCGTGCCATTGACGAGGAAGTCAAGGACGACATCCGGAAATACACCCTGAGGGGCCTCTCTGACGTTACTGACGGCCACGAGGTCGATGTTCGTAACGTCTCCGGCGTCAAGTCGGGCCAGAACTACCTGGTGGACATCGACCTGGCCGTCCCCGGAGCTTGGTCTGTCGAGACCGTCCGTGATGTGGAGGACCAGGTCCGCACGCTGGTAGGCGCCAAGGTCCGGGGCGTACGGAGGATCAAGGTGCGGTTCGTGCCGAAGGAGGCCGAGGTTGCGCGCAAGTTTGATGAGTTCATCCCGGGAGAGGCCAATCGGGAAGTTAGCGAGGAAGCCGAGAACCACGGCCACGCCAACGGCAATGACCACAAGCATGAATAAGCCAGCCAGATTCCTTGTGCGTTCAGAGGAAGAGCTTGCCGTTCACGATGAGATACCCTAGGTTCCCAAACCATTTCTAGAAGCGTGGATACGCCGCCCTCTGTTTTTTTATCTAGATGTTTTTTTTTTGTTTTTTTTTTTGTTCCTTCATTAGTTGACAGGGATTACCATGTATAGAGAGCATCTGCGGATAGCACTCTCGAGGCATCCATTTGCATCGGGACGGCGTTTAGGGGGGCGTTTTGCAAAAGGCCAGCGACAGGCCCGCCATTTAAGACAGTTTCTGTTTATCGGCTACTCAATCACACAATACAGACTTTGCTCTTGACTCACTCGCTAATGTGGATGCCACTGTGTCTCGTTGAACCGCGCATGCCCTGTCCAATCCCGCAGCCCTTACGGATACCTAAAATACATATGCAGGGTCACAGCCTACGCTAGTTTAGATACGCAGAGGATGCGGGACGAGCTGTCCCAAGTCCCGAGTCCAGGGACAAGGCTGTCTCGGCTCCCGCCAAGCTGTCTCGGCATCATTGGCGCGCGTATCCGTCGCATCGACCTGTGGAACCTACGATTGGCCCGTCCGCATTTAGCCTGAATTGCCGCAAGGCTGAGGCCATGCACCCCGTCCGAACTGCCCCTCCATGCCCACACCCCCCACGTCAAGGTGATGTACACGTAGAAGCGGTGTTGGCAGCGGCCAACTTTTACAAGTAGTCGGTTGATCTGCGTCCCTTTCTCTCCTTCACACATGTCGGCCTGTCTTTCATCTTAGCCACACAACTTTGGAGATTGACGGATACTGAATAACCCCCAGTGTTGAGTGCCTCGTCTTCCCATCATGAGTTCCGGTCCATTATATCTCGGGTTCGACCTTTCGACCCAACAGCTCAAAGGTCAGTCCACGGAATCATCGACACCATCATCTCGGTTCTCGGCTCTGATGCATCCGCAGCCATTGTCGTGCAGTCCGACCTAACGGTCGTCTCCGAGGCCAAGGTCGACTTTGACGCCGACTTCGGCAAGCAGTATGGCCTGCGCAAGGGCGTCCTGACCAACGAGGCCGAGGGCGAGGTCTACGCCCCGGTCGCCATGTTCCTCGAGGCCATCGACCTCGTGCTGGAACGCCTCAAGGCCAAGACGCCGCTGGACCGCATTAAGGGCATCAGCGGCTCGTGCCAGCAGCACGGCAGCACCTACTGGGGCAAGGACGCCGAGGCGCTGCTGGGCGGCCTGCGGGCGGACAAACCGCTCGTCGAGCAGCTCAAGCAGGCTTTCTCGCACCCCTACGCGCCCAACTGGCAGGACCACAGCACGCAGGCGCAGTGCGACAAGTTCGATGTCAACTTCGAGACGGCGCAGCGCCTAGCCGAGGTCACCGGCAGCGCCGCCCACCACGTATGTGTTCCCATCCAACCCCCCTTCGTATTGCCGCCCGAGGGCCTCCCCGCCCGTGTGTGTGCCCCTCCTGACTGAGACGCGAGAGAATAGCGCTTCACCGGCACGCAGATCATGCGCCTCCGCCAGAAGCTCCCCGAAATGTACGCCGCCACGTCCCGCATCTCCCTCGTCTCCTCCTTCCTCGCTTCCGTGCTCCTCGGCACCGTGGCGCCCATTGACATCAGCGATGTCTGTGGCATGAACCTCTGGGACATCCCCGCCGGCGCCTGGAGCGAGCCACTCCTCGAGCTCACCGCTGGCGACAAGTCCAAGGCGGCCGATCTGCGCGCCAAGCTGGGCGAGCCGCGGCACGACGGCGGCGGCTCGATGGGCCCCATCTCCCGGTACTTTGTCGAGCGCTATGGCTTCAGCAAGGACTGCCAGATCGCCCCCTTCACCGGCGACAACCCGGCCACGATCCTCGCCCTGCCGCTGCGGCCCATGGACGCCATTGTCTCGCTCGGCACTTCGTCGACCTTCCTCATGGTTACCCCCGTCTATAAGCCCGACGCTGCCTACCACTTCTTCAACCACCCCTGTACCCCGGGCCAGTACATGTTCATGCTCTGCTACAAGAACGGCGGGCTCGCGCGCGAGAGCGTCCGCGACGCCCTCCTCCGGCCCGAGGGCGGCGACCCCTGGGCCAACTTCAACCGGGCCGTCCTCGACACCCCACCGCTCGACGTCCGCTCTGAGTCCGACAGGGCGAAGCTGGGTCTGTACTTTGACCTCCCCGAGATTGTGCCTAACATCAAGGCCGGCACGTGGCGGTACACAGCGAACCAAGACGGCAGCGATCTCGCCGAGTCCGCGGCCGGATGGGACAAGCAGACAGACCCGCGCATCATTGTCGAGTCGCAGGCGCTCTCGATGCGCCTGCGCAGCCAGAATCTCGTGCACAGCGCCCGCGACGGGCTTCCAGCGCAACCGCGCCGGATCTACCTCGTCGGCGGCGGCTCCCTGAACCCGGCGATCGCGCGGGTCATGGGCGACGTGCTGGGCGGCGTCGACGGCGTATACAAGCTCGACGTCGGCGGCAACGCGTGCGCTCTGGGCGGCGCGTACAAGGCCGTGTGGGCGCTCGAGCGAGCCGAGGGCGAGAGCTTCGACGAGCTCATTGGGAAGCGGTGGAAGGAGGAGGGCGCGATCCAGAAGGTCGACGACGGGTTCAAGGACGGCGTGTTCCAGCGGTACCAGCCCATCGTCGGCGCGTTCGAGGAGATGGAGAAGCGGATCCTGAAGGTCGCCCACAACTGAGCGGGCAGGCCGACGCCAAGATAGAATCAAGATGATAACAACCAATGACTACGACCCTGGCGTTTGGGCCTTGACGAATCGCGAATATTCCGAGACGGCACATACCGCCAGTGAGGGGAGAGGGGGGGTAGACGAGAGGCCAGACCTACTAGTTTGGCTGAATCACATCGAGGCCATCACGAAGGAACGTCACCTCAAAACATCACAAAGGGACCCGTCAAGTAATGAATAATGCGTGTGTCCTGGTATAATTAGGCAACTGGTCCATGCAGCCAAGTCATGCTCGTCTTCCAACCCTCGGATCCTCGACACTCAAAACTACCCAGAAGGGCCGCCCGCCTCCAAGTGCCACGTCCACAAACCTAACCTTGACCCGCCACCCTGGCAAGTGTTATCTACAACAAAAAAAAAAGTGAAGAATAACTACCACCCAAAAGCCGTTGTCGAGAAAGAGAAGGGGACATCACATCTGAGAAAGTGCCGCCCTCGCAGACCTTGAAGTTCCTTCGGTCGTGGTTCCAAATATACCGTGAAGAGCAGGGAAAAACCCCTCTGCGGTTTCATCCCCGTTGCCGAACGATCAAGTATCGGAACTCATACGAGAAAAATATCCCCGAAAAACCATTCCGCAGAACGAGTGGGGGTATCAACCATTCCAACTCCGTCCAAAGAAGAACAGAAAGAAATGTGCTTTGCTTTTTTTTAATGCCTCAGTTAGTGGGGAGGAAAGCAAAGCAAACAAAGTAAAGAGTGAGAATGCTGCTTAGAACATAACCAGCAGGCCCAGGACGAAGATGACCAGGCACGTGGTGCAGCTCTTGCAGCCGCCGGTGGCGGCATCGAAGCCGAACATGACAGGCTCGGCGCGCTTCTCCGCGTTGGAGACGACGACCACCGTGGTGCTGGCGGACGGACGGGAGTCGCTACCGCTGGCGCTGCTGCCGAAGGACAGGGCAGGGGGCGCGGTCGGGCGGAAGACGGTGCCGTTGGTGAAGGGGTAGGGGGGGAAGGCGTCCGTGGTAGGGCGCGGGTGCAGCATTGGGGTGCCCGTGATGTAGATGGTCGTGTTGACCGTGGGCAGACGGAAAACGTCCGTCGAGATGCTAGCAGTGCTGTCCCGGGCATTGCTCTGCGTGACTGTGACGGTCAGGTTCTTGTGGACAGTGACCAGGGACGTCTGGACGTGGTCGCTGGCTGTGATTGTGACGACGGAGGTTTGGGTGTCGGTCATGATGTGAGTCTCGACGCCGCCCGAGGAGGCGGGGGAGGCGGTGATGGTCTCATATACCTGGTCGACGACCGTCTTGGTGATGACGACGACATCTGTGGCGGTCGAGGCCTGGGAGGTCTCGGTGGAGGTCAGGGCAGGAGTGCCGACGTGGCCTAGGGCAGAAGACACTGCAGTGCTGAAGTTCAGAGTGGTTCCATCAGCCACGGTGACGTAGACGGTCTGCGTCGCTACCTCTGTCACAACCTGGGTCGCCTTGGAGCGCGAGTAGGTCTTGGTCGAATGCTTGGGGATGTCAAAGGACGAGCTGACGATGGGGATCTTCGAGATGGGCGTCAGGCTATCGACAGTGACCGTGTAGGTAACCAAGATGGTATCAGTGGTTTCGGAATCAGGAGCCGAAGAGGGCGTCTTTGAGACCTTGGAAGAAACGCGGGCCGAGGAGGACGAGCTGACAATGGCTGCCTCGGTGACGGTCACGTACACGGTGTGGTCCTGAACCTCGGGCGAGCACTGGGCCTCGAGGGAAGGAGTGAAACTGGGCTGGAAGTCAACCGTGACGGTGGACAGAATGATGGTCGTGGGTGTGTAAGTGACGGTTGAGGTGACCTCCTGGACAGCGGACGTGACCACATGAGTTTCAGTCAGGGTCTTGGTAAGGACGACCGAGGCGATATCAGCAGAAGAGGGCTCTACCGATGGGGTAGGGGTAGCCTCGCTGGTGAAAGCGCTCGTTGAAGACATGCTGACCACGGGCTCAGAGTCGACATGGCTCTCAGTGGCAGTGGCAGTCAAGTACGCAGTCTCAGTCACAGAGGTAGTGATGAACTGAGTGACAATGGGGACAGACCTGAGAGAGTGTAAGAAAACTAGAAACAAGATCGGAAGGAGGGAAACTTACTCAGAGACAGCGGATGAGCCAGACAGGGTCGCGTTGACGGCCTTGGCAGATGAGACGGTAGTACCCTCGGCAGACTGGTGAAGAGTCTGGGTGCGAGTCATCTTAATGGTGGTGGTAGTGTCGGCAGCGGTCTGGTTCATAAAGCCGGTAACAGTCTCCTCAGCGTCATCAGAGCAGAGAGTCGGGGTACCAGTGGACAAGATGTCAGAAAGAGTGGAGTTGATGCCGTAGTGAGTGTTGTTGGTGTGAGCAGCGTTGTACTGCATGGCAGGGAAGCGAGGGACAATGTGAGCGCCCGAAGCATGGTCAGCGTTACCGGTAGCCGAGCCTCCAGTCGCGACTATTTTGGTGTTAGTACATGAGAGGCAAGTGAAAAATGTCTGAAAAGACAGCACTCACAGTGAACGCCGATGGCAATGCCACCGCCAATGATGGACGCAAGGACAACTGCAGCGCAGATGACAATGAACGTGTCAGTCTTGCGATAGGTGCTCCAGTCTTTGTTGTTCTCGATGGCACCATCATGAACGCTTAGGTCGTCATCCTCGCGATAGTAGCTGCGATGGCTGCGGGGGCAGTGCTTGTCTGTGAAGCTGGTTAGTTTCTCCACAGAAGCCTGAGGTGCTTAAACAACAAAAGACTTACTTGTCATTGTGACGGAAACCTGCGGCTTGTTGGAAAAGTGCTGGCTTGGTTTGGTCTGGGGATTTGTTAGCTCGCTGTTTTTCACGAGAGAGACTCGGGAGCGATGAAAGAGTGTGATCTGATGAAGCAAAGGTGATGCCGTTGAGCCACAAAGAATCATTTGGTAAATGTGTAAAACGAATAAGAAAAATGAATGAGACTTACTGCGTCTGCTGAACGAGAGATAAAGCGGAAGGGAGTGTATTGTCTGCAAGAAGATTTCTGCGATTAGTTGGTGGTGAGAAAGAGAGAGACTTTGTGTGTTGGCGGAAAAGATGGTGGAGTATTGTTGGTGTGTGAGAGTGAGAAGCTCAGTGAGAGAAGGAACGCGAAGGGGGGTGGGAGAAGCGCGTCAACAAAGATGGGAAATAACAAGACCGCGCACTCAACTCTGCTCAGGAAGGTACGAAGGGATGGAAGCTGGATTCTCTGAAAAACTCGGACTGGCGGGAACAGCAAGGACGTACAAAATGGAGAGATGCCATGTGAGATAATGGATCGCTTGTTTCAATCTGATGACCAAGGCAGTTGAGATGTAATTGAATTTCTCATGAGCCATGATAAAGAAATGAGGATAACAAGGAGAAACAAAAAAACAGTACATGAAATAGGCCGATTCCATCTCAAAGATGAGACGGATATTAAGGCTGCAAAGTAGTGATCTCAACTTACCTTGAAGGCGAGATGGCAAAGAGTGTTGACAATGAGAACGAAGGACGCAAGGTGTACCGTTTCTAATTTTATCAACGACGATATAGGAAATAGACAGAAAGAGAAACAAGGCCTTTTTTAAATAAAAAAAAATTCAGTCAACATACCTTGAATATGTAGAGGGCAAACGAAAGTTGTGGCGCGATATGCGGTGGTGATGGTTGCGTAGTAGAAAAGTGGAAGCGGATCCAAGATTGCGTGGGTGGGAAGACAAAAATGATAGGCTCTCTTTTGAGAGCAAGTATGAGTTGGCAGAGAAGCCGTTTCGTCAGTTCACCGGTGAGGGGGTGAATACTCTTGGTGTGTTTATGGAGCAGCCAGTCGAGGTGGTAGGATGCTCGCCATGAGGCTGTTGCCCTGCAGCCAGTCAAGCAGCCACTCCAGCATACGGCATGACAAACCAGACATGGTCCTTAACGTAACAAGAGGCACGGTGATTATCACTCCCACGTTTGCTGAAGCATTGTGATCACACCCTGAGGTTTGTAATGATAGTTTCTGGTGTCATGAAACTATCGTGGGATCTTGCTTTCCTAGTCCAACATCGTATGCCAATGAAACTTCCATAAATACACGTCTTTGAGGAAAAGGCATTGCGTATTTGCAAAATAACTCTTTGAACGACTGATCCTATACATGTACTCGCGAAAGAAAAAGCAAAATGGCCTGGCTACCTTGTGCCACGGTATCACTAGCAGAGGAGACTATTCTGTGAGGGCCTCTGGGAAGGCATCACTTGCACTCTTTGTAAGATTTAGAAACCCGACCATGATTTTCTTTCATTGACCTTATATCGTCTTAGTCAAGGCTTGAGGCTGGTGTGGGAGGATATAACTGTAAACCTCTTCCCTCTTTTGCCCGTTAACATATCTTCTTGCTGGTTGATGTGAAAAAGTCTGTTGTGAAGGTTGACGTAGAAGACTTGCTTCTCAGAAGCTTGAGAAAAGGAAGGTTAGATGTCATGTTGACTCGACACCTGGCGCTGCGGTTGAATATTTCCCCGAACAAATGGACACTATTTATGTTTTTGAGCATGCATCTTATATTTCAAACAGCGATCTATCTGTCAGGTTCGTCGGGAAACTCAAAAGAGAGGACGGAAAATTCACTGCCCATCTAAAACACTGTTACTTTATCTCTCCCCTAATCGGGACTAAGAGTAAATTTCGTAGCTACAAAGGGGGGTGAGGGGAGAACCTGGGTAGGTTAGAAAATAACCGGGGAAATCGAAGGAAGAGCCACATGCAACAGGTCGATTCGCCCTTTGCCATATGCTCAATGAAGCACAAGTAAACAATTGTGGTTGAGGGGGCCGGCCACCCATGACGAGAAACTTGAGATGAAGCATAAAGTAGAGAGCATGGAAGTGAAGTGGAGACAGGTCGTTGAGCAATGAACGGCGACCTCCGTCACCAGCCACCCCCGAGGCACAGTAGCCGCGACTCCACATGTGTTCGCGCCCGGGCCGCGTCAAGCCACGACAAGGGGGAAGGTACAGCAAGCTTGAGCAGGTACCTTCCCTCTACCTCAGCTCAGGTAAGCACGCGTTACCTGACGAACTGTAGGCGTAGGCGCGAAACACGCCTCAACTATTTCCATCCATCATCCATTTTCGTCGCAACCTCGAGAACGCCAGCTTCACCCCCTTCCCGTCGCCCCCACCACAATTGAACTCGCGACTCCTCGCACCCGCCGCCTTCGCCGCGCGTCTTAAAAAGTGCTCTCGACGCGCTCAATTTCATCCATGACTTAGGACACGCGCGTATCATCGCTTCCCCAACACGCCCCAGTCGATCGACGACAGCATCAATACAGCCCTTCCCCGCTTCACCGACACGTCAACCTTCGAGCGCCCGCAACGTAACTCCCAAGATGGCGCCCCGTCGCGGTCGCGCTGAGCCTCAAGAGGAGGTCGAGGAGGAACAGGAACAGGAACAGGGAGAGGGAGAGGAGCTTGTTAACCTTCAATTCGACCAAGAATTGACCTGGAAGCCCGGGAAACCCATACCCACTACCGAACTTCTCATTCGCCTGCAGCTCCTATCCGAAGAGCTTGGTGGGCTCGACCAGGATACTGTCGATGTCGACTCTCTGAACGACGTTGCCCACGCGCTGGGTCAACGCAACCTGCTGGCGCACAAGGATAAGGGCGTGAGGGCGTACGCCGCAGTATGCATAGCGGACATCCTGCGCCTGTGTGCGCCCGACGCGCCGTTCACCGCCGACCAGACCAAGGTACGTCATGGTCCCCCAATGCCGTGGTCCCCTGGCTAATGACCGCATTAGATGTTCTTCAACCTCGTGGTCACACACATCTTCCCCTCCTTGAGCGATCAAGGTCATGCTTACCACAGACAGCACAAGTATGTGCTAACGGCGCTCACCGATGTCAAAAGTATCCTCCTGATCAATGATGTCGACGGTGCCGATGATTTGCTATTGAAACTGTTTTCCGTCTTTTTCGATGGCGTCTCTGGCGGCTCGAATGCGGGCCCGGAGGAGGGTGTCTCGAAAGAGGTCCGCAACACCATGACGGAGATGCTGATTGCCCTGGTCGACGAGGCTTCGGGAATGAACCCCAAGGTCATCGAGGTTATCATGGCCCAATTCCTGAGGGCAGCGCCCCCAGGGGGCTTCCAGAGCCGCACCGAACGCGCGGAGCAAAACGGCAGCCAGTTGACGTTGCTGCCCAAGGACGAGCCGCCTGCCTACATCATGGCCAAGGAGATTTGCAACGAGTGTACAGAGAAGATGGTACACTACGTGAGCCAGTACTTCAGTGACGTTATCTTGGATGCCTCCCGGTTCGCGGCAAAGACTGTCGGAAACCGTCACGACGAGGACGAGGACGAGGATGCGCCCAGGGGCCCAACGGATGCAGAACTGAAGGAGCTCAAGAAGGCCCACTACCTCATCAGGGAGCTTTGGCGCGCCGCGCCATCCGTGTTGCAAAACGTGATTCCGCAGGTCGAGGCTGAGCTTTCGGCCGACAACGTGGATCTTCGACAGCTGGCCACCGAGACACTCGGAGATATGATCTCTGGAATCGGCGCCGCCGGCCCGCCGCCGGCGCCCGTTTTAGACCCTGCCCAGTACCCTCCGCTGCGCTTGGCTGATGAGGCTCCTAGCCAGATTTCCGACAACGTCCTCACCACGCCTCTATCGCCTCAATCATTTGCGCAAACGCATTCGTCAGCGTATCACCATTTCCTGGGGAGGAGGAACGATAAGACAGCAACAATTCGCGCAGCCTGGACCACTGCTGTTGGGTACATCTTGGCCACTTCGGCTGGTGGTATCGGTCTAAACCGCGAGGAGCAGTCCGAGCTTGTGAAGCATCTCGGAGAAAAGCTCAATGATGGCGACGAAAAGGTTCGTCTGGCTGCTGTCAAGGTGATGGAGCTCTTCAGCTTCCGAGACTTCGTCACCAAGCTTGCCGCACCCGGTGGCGTGGATAAGGACGGCTCAGTTCTGAGCAGTCTTGCCGACCGTTGTCGCGACAAGCGCACCGCTGTCCGAGTCGACGCCATGACTCTGCTCGCGAAGCTGTGGGCTGTTGGGTCCGGAGAGTTGGCCGCCGGGCAGGAGAGCGTTATTGCGGCCCTGGCCGGGATCCCCTCTCGCATCTTCAACGCGTTTTACGCAAATGACTCTGAGCTCAACATCCTGCTGGATCGCGTGCTCTTCGAGTGCCTGGTACCATTGTCCTACCCCCCCATCAAAGCACCCAAGAACACCAGGGCCGTGGCCAGCCAGAGCTCACAGACTGCGAGCGTTGCGGATCAGGACCGCATCCGGGCAGAGAGAATCCTGCTCCTCACTCAGTCGTTGGACCCCGCGGCCAAGAGAGCCTTTTTCGCAATGCAAGGCCGCCAGCCCCAGTTCGCGCAGGTCCTTGAGGCATTCATCAACCAGTGCGAGAGCTACAACGGCGGTGTGATGGATGACAACCGGCCAAAGAAGACGGCCAACCTGGAGAGAACGGTTCAGTACATCACGCAGTTCTTCCCGGACCCATTCAAGGTCAAGACGGATCTCCAGAAGTTCGCCAACCTCAACGACCGACGCGCCTACCAGCTTGTCAGGTTCTCCGTCAGCGCCGGGAGCGACTACAAGACGGTGCGTCAGGCCATCAAGGAGTTGGTCAAGCGCATCAACGCAAGCCAGAGCGCGACGTGCCTGGACACCCTCTTGCCTCTCCTGTACCGGTCGGCCTGTTTGTTGTTCAACCGCAGCCATTTGGCGACAATCCTGGATTGCTCCAGGAACGATAAGGATGGCCTGGGCTCCGTCTCACATGAGATCCTGAACGAGATCTCCCAGCGCAACCCCGAGCTTTTCAAGACCCACGTGGGCGAGCTGTGCAAGGGCCTGGTCGAGCAGGCCCCTACGGAGACCAACGATAACGACTCGACCGTCGTCGACACCCTGAAGGCCTGTGCGTCGTACTCTAAGAAATACCCTGAGGAGATCCCACAGGATCGCAAGTTTTCGCAGGCTCTCGTGAGCTACGCTCTCTACGGACGGCCTGTCAAGTCTGCCAAATACGCCATCAAGATCCTTCTGGCAAAGGGTGACAGCAAGGGTCTCGTCAACGCCACCAGCTTGCTGGAGAAGATTATGGAAGACTGGAACTACGGCTCTTCGCACTTCCTAAACAAATTGCAGTCCGTCGCCCAGCTCGAACTGCAGGCCCCAAAGATCACTCTCGACTCGGACGACAGCATTCTCAACATGACGGTACAGCAAATCCTGCTCAAGGTCCGCACGGACGCTACAGACAAGGATCCCGAGTGGGTTGAGGATGCCGACGTGGACGAGGAGCTGCATGCGAAGTGCCTATCCATGCACATTCTTGTCAACCGACTGCGCAGCATGGACGACGTCGAGGAAGCCAAGGAGAAGGCCGTCCCGGTGTTCAAGCTTCTCAAGACACTAGTCGCCAAGGGGGGGGAGCTCTGCAAGGTCAAGGACACGCCCAACCACCACAAGTCGCGACTTCGCCTGTTGGCCGCTCGGTTGCTGTTGAAGCTGTGCACCATCAAGCACTTTGATGATTTTCTGACCCCTGCCGACTTCAACCGCCTTGCTTTCACCGCGCAGGACCCGCAACTCAACGTCCGCCGCGGCTTCCTTGAGAAGCTCCAGAAGTACCTCGTTCAGGGCAAGCTCCGAGCGCGATTCTACACCATTGTGTTCCTGACGGCTTTCGAGCCAAGCGCGGACCTGAAGCAGCGCGTCGAGACTTGGATTCGCTCTCGCGTCCGCGCCTTGCAAACGAGCGAACAGCATCCCATGGAGGCTATCATGGGAAGACTCATCTCCCTGCTGGCCCACCATCCCGACTTTAACAAGCCGGACAACCTCGAAAACGCCAGCGCTGAGGAATTGTCGTCTTATGCAAGCGACCTGGCGGACCACGGCCGCTACATCCTTTACTATCTCTCTAACGTGGCCACTGAAGACAACCTGGGGCTCATCTACAAGTATGCCGAAAGGGTCAAGCAGACTCGCGACGCGATCGACCCGGACGCGAGCGAGAACCTCTACATCGTCAGTGACCTGGCCCAGGCTGTTATAAGGAAATGGCAGGAAAGGAGGAACTGGAGCTTCCAGGCGTACCCGGGTAAGGTCGGCCTGCCGATCGGTCTCTACACTGCTCTGCCTTCGCACCAGGTCGCCCAGGAGATTGCCGAGAAGCAATACCTGCCAGCAGAGATCGACGAGAAGCTGGACGGTCTTTTCAAGTCTATTGACCGAAAGAAGGTGAGTTGCCGTGCCCATCGCATGCTCGGCGACCAAGGCTGACAGTACTTCAGAAGAGGAAATCTATGGACGAGAGGGGCGATCATCAACCCGCCAAGAAGGCCAAGCAGGCACCCAGGACCAAAGAGCCCAAAGCACCTAAGGAGCCCAAACCAAAGAAGCAGAAGGTTAAGAAGCCTGCCAAGGTCAAGCCAAGACGTCCTGAGTCCGACATCCCGCCAGAGAACCGAAGACGCAGCGCCCGAGCCACCAGGGTCTCTCAGTACACCGAGCGCGACTCCTCAGACGACGACCGCGAGATGTGGGATGGTGTCAGCAAGTGGGAATATGTTGACGGCGAGCCTACGCCGGAAGAAGGGTCCGACGAGGACGAGGATGAGGACGATTCTTCCGTCCTTTCAGACGTTCCCGACGAGAAAGATGGCAAAAAGAGAGCGAACAAGTCCGCTGTTGTGGCCAACGATAGCGATGACGAATCGGCCCTGTCCGAACCCGAGGACGAGGCGACGGCTGACCCGGAGCCGGAGAAGGAGGAGGAAGTAGAAGAAGAAGCGGAGGAAGAAGCAGCAGCAGACGACGAAGAGGAGCCCGAGGAAGCCGCCACACCACCGCCCAAATCCAACGGACGCAAGGGCAGATCGGCTGCGGTATTATCCAGGGCGGCGGCCAAGACGAAGCTGCCGGCTCGCCCCGCGGCCAAGGAGAAACCCGCCCCGAGAGCGGCGACTAGGGCGTCGGCGAGAACGACGCGAGGGAGGGCCGCCAAGGAGTCGATGGACATTGACGGGAGCGAGTGAGGAGTGTCGAGGAGATTGTACAAAAAAAAAAAAGTGGTTCCCCCTCCTAAATTTTGCGCTGCAGTTAGCTTGAGTGAGGTTTTTAGCTACTTGGTTTGGCTTATAGGCGATGGACAATCCCTTGTGAGGGGTAGGACGGGAGGTGCTCTGAAAGGACACTTACAACAGCACCTGAATTCATTCCGGGTTTTTTTTATTCTTTTGCGAATCCCCCCTGTATATTGGTCTCCTCACTCGCCGTGTGCCTTCTCTTTTTTGCGTCAATATATACCCTCTTCATGGTACTCACGGTCTCCTCGCACGCCAAGCCCATTTGCCGGCCTTTTGGCCGGTGTCGGGGCTGTGTTAGAGGGAGAGAGAGAGAGAGTGTGTGTGTGTGTGTTGAATCGGCGCGTGATACCCAAGCGCGCTACTGAAATGGGGAGCCCCCAGAGAGAAAAGCAGCATGCCTTCCTTCGTAGACATGAATCCCCCCCCCCCTTTCTCCAGAGTACTTGGCCCTCTGAACACCAGCTGCCATCCCGACGGGCGTGGTCGTGACTCGGAAAGCTCACGGGGTCTCGTGAAAGGATATGAGAAGCCTCGAGTGTCGAAGCCTAGTTTTTTTTTTTTTTCCTTTTTTTTTTTCCCTTTTTTCCCTCACCCCTTCATGCTCGGCCCTTGGGACCTTCTCTCGCGGGCAGTATTTGGCCACCCGAGTCACGACAGAGAGTCAAACACCTTGTCTCATGTCAAGGCGGCAAAAAACAAAGAGGGCAGACAAGACAATCATCACTTCGCCTCATCGGCTGGTCCGGCCCGGGCGGGTTCGATATGTTTTGTTACCTGGATTACTTGGATTATACTCTACAGTCCTGAATGGGGTCTCTCAAAAACCCGAGGGAAAAAGGGAACCGAGTATGGCGGGTAAAAAGGGGGGTATAAAGTCGACGGTTGTTACAAAAAAGGAAAAAAAAAAAAAAAAAGGAAAAGATGAGAAGCAACTTCCCCCCCCAAAACGCCAACAACATATATGTCATGGCGGGTCTAGCCTCTCGCGTTGAAATTTGAATCAAAGACAAAGGAAACACCGACGCGCTGACGCTGTTATCCGTCCTTCGGGCTCCTAGACCTGTGCCGTTCTCGCGCGATCAACGCTGAGCCGGCTGGGTCCGTCCTCCGCCTGAGCGGCTCCCGCTTTCTCTACAGCTTCGTCTCCGCCTCCTCCGTGTCCGGTCTCCGTGCTGCCGTTCACCAAGGCCTTTCCATTGGTCTTGGCTCCGTCTTGGGCGTCGGTGGTGTCCTTCGCGTCGGCACGGTCCGCCTTCTCGGCCCGTTGCTCCCCTTCCTCGTTCTCGGTAATGTCGTCCCGCTTCTTAGGGCTCTCCGTGGACTTGCGCGCGTCCGTGGATCGTTGTGCCGTTTCCGTCTTCCCAGACCGTCTGGTATCGGTACTGTGCCTTGTCGCGCGGCTCTTGAGCTTCTCGTCCGTCTTGCGGAGCTCCTTCTCAGTGCCGACGACGGTGTCCATGCCCTGGCCGTTCTTGATCGCCTGGAGCACGCGCTCAGCAACGTCAACGCTCTCGAAGGCGGCGTTGTTGACCCGGTACTTCTTCGACGAGAGCATGCCCCGGACGCCCTTCTTCTTCTCCTCCGCCTCGAGGGTCTCCATGAGCTCGCGGATCGTGAACCAGCCAGCCATGACGTCCTTGTCGAGGCTCTTCTTGACGTCATCTGCCTGCTTGCGCCGCTCACGCTGGCCCTGCACAAGGCGTGCGCGGCGGACGACGCGGTCAGGCTGCTTCCTCCGCTCGACCTGTTTGGCAATGCCCTTGAGGGTGTAGCCGAAGGGGCTGACGATAGCACTGAGGTCCTTGAGAACAAACCCCGTTATGCCCATACCTGTTCCCTTGACGAAGCCCTTCACACCCTCCTTCTTGGCGCCCCTGACGGGAAGCCGGACCAGTCCGGTTGTGCCGTCGTAGATGCCATATGCAAATTCTTTGCCGGCCGCTTTGAGACCGGAGCTGATACCGGTGACGCGAGGTGGGCGCCGGACGGTGTCGTCTCCGTACAGGCGGGGCGCGTTGTGGAAGCCTTGTGCGATTGCCATCGACAGGTTCACCGGCGCCTTCGCTAGGGCTTGGGCCGATTTGATCACGCCTTCTCCGACATCGTTTGCGTACTCGTCCACGGCGTCTTCAACATCGGTTCCCGTATCGACGGAAGACATTGTATCCCGGCGGTCTTGAGCTCCCGGTCTGCTAGACGCATTTCCGTCGGCCTGGGGTTGCTCCTTGCTTGTTCCCCCCTTGGCGCTACCCTCTTCCGGCGGGTTGCCGTTCGTCTGAAGGGCGTCGTTACTAATCTCGACGTGTTGGTGGAGGTTCTCGTTGGCCTGGAGGTTCCGGTTCTTGGCGCTTGTGCGCTTGTCTCTGAGGGCCCTGAGCTTCCGCTTCTTCTCCTTCTTTTCCTTTCTTTTGTGAGAGGTCTTGGCGAGTCTGTACGGCACACTTCCGATTCCGCCAAAGACGTTGCCCATTGTTCCGGCGATGGAGCCCGCTATTCCCGTCACCGGCTCCCCAGGACCTTCGAAATCGTTCCATTCGGTGTGGCGTAGTAGTCTGAGCTTCTTCCACGACAACTCGCCGCGCTCGATGATGACGTCGGCAGCGAGTGCACTGAGCTTGACGTTGGTATTCTTGACCGTCCAGACTGCGGCACGGTCTTTGAGGATGGAGCACCGCATGGAGTTCATGCCAGACAAGGTAAGGTGGTGGTGGAACGACCTGACGGCATTCTTCGCGCCGTCGCCTTCCAGCTCGATGTCCTTAGCCACCTTAGCGGCCGCTTCCTTCGCCTCGTCCGTAAGGCAGTATTCGATGCCAGCGGCGAGCTTTTCGGCATCGAGCTGCTTGTAAGGCACGGCTTCAGGCCCCGCTTTGGAATTTGACAAGATGCTGCCCCAGAAATGCTGGTCGCCAAAGAACGGGACGATCATGGTCGGCAAGCCGCACTTGAGAGCGATGGCGGTGGTTCCCGCTCCGCCGTGGATGACGCAGGCCTTGACCCGGGGGAAGAGCCAATCGTGAGGGGTATTCTCGAGCATGAAGATGTTGTCGGGCACATCCATCTCGTCCCCTCCTAGGCCGCCCCAGCCCTTGGACACCAGGGCGCGCACGCCGGCAAGTTTCACAGCCTCGAAAATCATCTGCGTAAAGCGGTCAGCGTCATCGACGACGATGGAGCCGAAGCCGATATAGATGGGCGGCTCTCCGGCGTCGAGGAACTTCTCCAGGTCGCTAGGAGGCTCAAAGGTCGAGGCCAAGTCGAGGAAAACGAAGCCAGAGATATCGATCTCTTGACCCCAGTCCTGGGGCTTCGGGACGAGACCTGGGCTCCAGAGGTAGGTGAAGGGCACGTGTAGACGATACGTGGCCCCAGGAGCCCACAGTGTCGAAACAGCATCCAGACCGAGAGTCTTGACGCGGAAATCGTTGACCAAGTCGCCCAGCCCCTGCCAGACCATCATCTCGACCAGGGGATACGAAATAAAGTTGGTGTAGCCCGGGTCTACATTGGACTTCTTGATGCTCGCCAACGGGTGGGGAAAGGCTTGAGTCGGCGTGTACGGGAAGGTGAACATGAGATGCAGCGGGATGCCCAAGGCTTCGGCACAGTGGACATGGGCGAAGCTGGGAGGGTTGGCGATGATGGCGTCGGCAATGAAGGGGTCCTTCTCTCCCATCATCTTGACGTTGTGTACATCTTTTTCGTCGTCGGTGGCGTTGATGCAAGCTCTCCAGAACCCGTCAAACATTTCGGCCATGGCCGATCTGCGTCGGCCAATGTCTCCGGCTTTGACGGCGTCGAGCGTTGGTATCATTCCCGGGTTCTTCACCATGAAAGCCATCAGTTCCGAGGGGTCTCCTCCAACGGAGAAGAACTCGAGGCCCGAGTCCTGTTCGACAAAGTCGCGGAACGCGGGATGGGTCGCAATTCGGACGCGGTGGCCGTAGTCTTCCTTGAGAGTTTTGCCAATTTTCAAAAACGGCTGGGCGTCACCGCGCGACCCGATGACCATGATGACAATGTTCAGTCGTGGTGCCGGTTCGCGGTCGGTCGTGGCCGTGGTGGCAGACGATAGACGAGAGGTTGCAGACCGCTGGTCGTCGGGGCGCTCCTCGCCCTCGGGCACCGGCACGACCTTTTTGACGGCCTGTCCCAGGGCCTTGGCTAAATACCCCGTGTTTGCCGTCTCCTTGACTGAGATGCGCAGACGGCCATCCTTCTTCACCTTCCCCTTGGTGTTGTAATTATCGTTTCCGACGTTAAAGCGGCGGTAACGCTCGGCGGTTTCCTTCTGGCGTTTCGCGTTGGCTCTGTCCCGGTCAGCCTTCTTTTGGGCGGTGCTTCCCGAATCTTCATCCTCGTTGTCCGAAGAGTCGCTTGAGCTTGAGCTCGAGCTCGAATCGCGTCTGTTGGCGGCCCAGAGAGCCCTGTCCAAGTAGGATGTTCCCGCGCGCTTGGGTACGCGACGGAAGCCTGCGCTGCTGGGTTCGGCTTTACGGGCCGGCGCATCTGTCCTCGACCTCTGGTCGATGGAGGGGCGCTCTTGGTGGCTGATGGCACCGGACGGTCTAGAGAGCGGAGGGGCCAGATGGTTCGACGAGGGTGCGTTTTGCGGCCTGTCGTCTTTGTGCGGTGCTTCGGACGTTTTGGGGGATGTCGTCGGTTGCGGCGACCGAACTTCGGGCGAATCGGTCTCGGGCGGCACCAATGACGGATAGGCGATGTTCTTATTTTCGTCTCTCACGACAGCGGCGTGCTGGCCGCCCCGGTTGATCTCTTCAATGTGAAGCTCCTGGGGCGGCGGCGTTGCAGCCCCCTCGGGCTCTGTCGCCGTGCCCAAGGCCAGCTTTGCCGCGGTGGGTTGGTGCGCCATGATGGCGTTGATTTTCACGTATAGTTGATCTTGAATTGAGTTTTTTCGATGGAGATGTCTGGAGAAAGCTCGTTGTGTAGGTCGGGGAGTATGATGTAAAATGCCTGCGCACAAAAGAAGTGGGTTGGACTAGAGACGACACTCGGTGGGACCATGGGCAATTAGGCAGAAAGGACTTGGGGGCGAAAGGTCGAACAATGTAGAAGTCGCGTCACCGTATCTTGGCTTGTTGTCATGCGAAGATTGACGTACGGTAGGTAGGTAAGTACAAAGCGAGAGGAGCCAGGAGGGCTAGTGTAATGAGAAGGCGGCGGAAGCATTAAGAGAAGCGTTGTTGTCCCTTACCTTAGTAGCACCGG